ATTAAAATTTATTGATTTTTAAAAAATAAAAAATATATCAATTTTTTTAATTAAAACAGTTATTTCCAAAAATTCCATTATTTTTTCGGAAAATGATATATATAAACAAATTATAACATATCAAAAAATTAATTATTTTTAAGCATTTTCGATAAAAAAAATCAGTATTTAAATAATATCTTTATTTAGTGATTTTTTTTAAATCAATATTAAACATAATTATTTAAAATTAATGTTTATACTATGATATTTTGAACAAATTTTAATATAATTAATGAAAATATCATGTATATAACGTATATATATATTTATTTATTTATTAGTACAATAATTGTCATTTATTGATCAATCAATTATTGATATTATCAATAGTAAAAAGTAAAAAAAAATATGAATCACAAGAAAGTGAAAGATATATAAAAACCATAAGTTTTGATATATTAATAATAAATTAAATTTTTAGTGATATTTAATCAAAATCTTTTATCAAAGGGTTTTATATACAATACACCTAAATATATGATATAGTAATATATAAACAAATTTAAAAAATTATTTAATTGATATAAAACATTACTTTATAATAAAAAATAAATAAATGTTGTATTAAAAGTTTACATTATATAACTTAAGATAATTATAAAATATTATTACAAACTTTAAATAAATTTTGTTAGTTTATAAGAAGCTAAATTTTTTGAAACTACTTTAATAACAATGTTTTTTTTTTGATTTATTTGTTTTAATTAATAATAAACGCCTCAATTATTTAAAAAAAAAAATTGCAAAACCTTCAAACAAACCCAATAAAAAAAATTTAAAATATTGATTAAAATCTGATTAATAATAATCAATTATCTTTCAATAAACAGTTGTACACGACTTTTATTTTAAAAATTATAAACAAGTGATTAACTTTTAACTTTTTTTATATAATTAAACCTATTAAACAAACAGTATTAAAAAAAAGATAACAAAAATTTTATTTTATATAAAATGAGTCCAATTAATGGCAAACACCCGTTAAATCCGCCGACTCGTCGATCGACTTATTTTTTTAAATATTTATGTAAAAAGTCCTTTTAGATGACCCTCAGGGAGGCCTTTAAACTTGAAAAAATATTTTTAAAAATATATACCTATATATATAATACTATATAAATTTTATATTATGTACTATTTTATACTGTATATAATATAATATAACATATCAAATATATTTCTATATTATATTTTCAAGTTTTATTATAACAATTATTAAACATTTGTGTCTTAAATATACAGTATATATTGAATCAATGTTGTGTGAATTAAATTATGACAAATAATCTAATATATATCGACAAATGTCAGAATATTTATGGGAATTAGAGAAACAATTATTTTTTTTAAAAAAAACTAAAGTCACTAATGTGTGATTGACATGAAATATATTTTTAAGCTGAATGTCATATAAAATATGATAGCCATTGATATTATCGATAATCTAATATATAAATATATATACAGTATATATAGTATAATAAGACAAATTTAACATATAAAATATTTTGATAATAGTTTTCAATGCATAAATTATTATATTGTATAAAATTATTGTAGTCACTCAATGTTAAAATTGTATTTTTCAAAACAAATATTTTCTATATATATATATATATATATATATATATAAAGACAAATTGTTTATTGATGACAACATTGATTAATTGTTTTATTGTAAATTTTGTTGTAATGTTACAATTACATGTAGATTCAATTTAGTTCAATATTAAGTTAGTCATGAATTATTTTTTTATTTGCAAAAAAAGATCAAAAAATAAAATAATATAATATTTAATTAGATTACAAAATTTAATTATTTATTTAATTATTTAATTACATATTTAATACAAATTTTACGTAGACAAATAAAATACAACATAAATATTTGCATATTATAAACTAAAATCAATGTCAAACATCAAAACTTATTATGTTTTTTTTTATAAATTTATGAATTAATTATTTTTAAAACTACTTTTAATATATCAATAATTTATTTAAATTAATAGGTTATTATTGATATTTATACTTATATGAAATATGCAACCTTAATCATTAATTGCTAACATTGTTTTTGCTTTAAAATTTGTAATTTAAAAATGTGTTTAATATTAAATTTATTCAAGTAATAATATTTATTTGATAGAAAGTATTTATTGATAATTATTGAAAGTGATAACATTGTGTCAAAAATTGTACTCCTATTTCAATGTCTCGCAAATTACTTGTTTTAAATTATACTAAAAACCAATAATTAATATTTAATAATACTTAATGAAAACTAATTAAATTTAATAACTTTATAATATATTAATTATTTAACTTACTGGTACTCGCAATTGAAAGAGACGCATTTTATATATAATAAAGTAACTTTGTTTTTGTGTGACCCATGTGTTATCTACAAATTGTATTTTTTACAATTAAGTACAATCATCATTAGTCTATAATTGTCTTATTCAAGATTTTTGATAAATCTTTTTATTAATCTTTTACATGGGTTAAAGTCACATGACGTCTAAGGCAGATATGCCATAAAAAACATATATTGTCCTGTAATTATAGAAACAATGGCCGACAAAAATATTAATAGAATATATTTTAAAGCCTTATGTGTGAAGACTTGTCAGACATAATAAAATAACTAAAAAGATGAATGAGTAGATGTGGAAGACAAAAAAAGTTCATAAAAAATATCAAAAGTTAAAATCGAAAAATTGTATGAATTTATAAAAATATTTCACAAGTTTTCTTGAAAATAAATAAAAGAGATATTATATTTTTATTTATTAAATACTAAATAACATTTGCCAACAATTTTCGAAAGATATGTATAATATCTCTAAGTACTATCTACTTTTACTTCTTATCTATGGGCTACATATGCAAAAATATAGCAATTATTATTTTAATATCAAATAATAACGGATTTATAAAATGAAATTAAACCTTTTATATATCATTATATTCAACATATATTGCTTTGTCAAATTACTATTTGCTTTGATTAATCTAACACTTCTTTGAGTGTAAAAAATCAAAATTTGTGAAGGGGTCCAAAATGGTAATCGAAGGGGTTTTCGATTTAAAATCATAAGAAGTGGTTTACTGAAGATATTCAAAATTATCATAACAAATGAAGAGATATTATAGAATCAAATGACATATAAATAATTAATTAAACTTCAATAACTTTTTAAAAAAATTAATTTAAAAATGTAGTTATGAATGCGTCTCTTATAATTGCGATCCCTAGTAAATCGTCTCTTTATTTTATTTAAAAAATACTTAATACAAAATTTTAAAAATTAGTTTTAACCATACAATCAAAAAATTTTAAATAAATTGTATTTTTTAAATATTTTGTAATTAAAAATTATAGATTTACTACAACAACAACAAAAAAAACAAGCATAATTTAAAAAAATAGTTTTCAAAAAATTATACAATATATTGATTTTAATCAACTCTAATAAACCTGTTTAACGTGTCATGAACCTAGATCAATTTATTTATGTTGTTTTTAATTTATCGATATTTTTTTCTAAAAATAAATCTATACACAAAAAAATACTTTTACTAATAATAATAATATTAATTAAAAATCCTTGAAATTTGTCTCATTAAATCTAAAGACTAAGCAAAAAATAAAATAAGTTTTATATTAACCTTTTATAAATGGCAATAACCTAAAGTTTGGTGTAATGTTAGAAAATATTATTATTTTTTGATTAATTTATTGAAATTAAGTTAAATGACAACAACACAAAAAATATAAAAATTAATTTTTTGACAATTTATGTTTAAAATAAATTAATTGAAATTTTCATATTATTATAACTAATAATAATAATAATAATTTTATATTAATATTTTATAAGGAAGCAATCGTATAATGAACTTTGAATTTATCAAATATTAATACAGTATATCATTGACTAAGAGATAACTTTTATCACTAAAAATAATTTTTAATATTTAACAATTTTCACCTAAATATAACACCAACACACAAGTTGTAACACATGTAACATAATTTATATACCGTATATATATATATAGCTAAAAAGTGTTAAATTTGAAAAAAAATAATTATTATTTAATATTCTATAATTAGGTTATACAGTACTTTTAATTTTAATATCATATATGTCTTATAAACATATTTAATATATAACAATATAATGTATTTTTTATTTAATGTTTTTGTAGAAATGTCAGAATACATTATTAATTTTAATTGAAAAATAATAATAATATTTCAAGTTTTAAAAAAATGGATTAAATTTACCAATAATTAATGTAATGTAAACTATTTTTTTTAATATTGTATAAACATTATATATCAAATATACAGTAATTTATAATACAGTATTACAATTTTAAAAAATTGTGAAAGTATATTAAATAATTATGTAAAATTTTTAAAATTACAATATTATTAATTGTTATTTGGAGGTAAAAATAATAATATACAGTATATTAATAATATGTTTTGAATATAATATTTATATTTTGTTAATTATAACTGTAATAATAATATGCCCATGACTACAGTATTTTTTTTGATGATGATGTGATATTATTTAATAATAATAATAATTATATGTATGGTTAAATATTTATGTATTTAATAAAAATTAATAAAAAAAGATTTGATAAAAATTAAATTTAAACATATGTTAGCAAATACACAGTATTATCTTTTTTAAAGTTAATAACGATTTTTAAATTAATTATTTAATTGAAGATAATTTTTTCTGTTGAATATCTACAATTTAAAATTTATACTATATTTATTTATTAATTTTATTAAGTTATATATATATATAATAAAGTCAAATAAATAAATAATTTTTATATTATTAAATATTTTCATTTAATATGCAATTTAGAAATATTTTTTAAGAATAATAATAATAATATGTAATAATAATAATAATAATAATAATAATATGTGTGATATTGTTGAACAAAACAGTAGTGATGAACATCAAGAGTGTGTCAACTGTGAAACAGAACCATTAAATTTGGACATCAATCAGATAATCATCAAAAAACAATCTGTTGTTTTGGCCATTGATTCGGATATCAAAAGACTCGCCGAACTGAAGAATCGTCGCGAAAGACGCCATAAGATATGGTTTCTAAGCGTATTATCTTTTGGCAACTTCTGTGTGGCCGCCGGTATCTCACTTCAGGGACCGTTTTTCCCGAAAGAAGCCGGTATTTGATTTTAGTTTTTTATTGATGGGATGTGAGGGGAGGGGTTCTAATGACAGTTATTAACAAACAATTTTTTAATCCAATAAACCACATTCAGAGATGAAAGGCGCGACTCCGATGGTATATTCATCGATATTTGCCGTCTACGAGCTGGTCATGTTATTGACATCGTTTAAATTCGGTCAACTGGTTACAAAAATACCGGCAAACTTGATATGCGGGTTTGGTTTGGCCGTGGCCGGAATCAGTACCGTATCGTTCGGTATATTGGATCACTTACCAAATGGCGTGTTGTTTATCGGGCCAGCATTTGCCGTACGTATAGTCGAGTCGTTGGGTGCGACAGCTTTTGCTACCAGTAGCTACTCTTTAATTACTTACCGGTTTTCCGACAACTCGGCCACAATGTTCTCAGTTATGGAAACCTGTTTCGGTTTAGGTTTGATAGTCGGTCCAGTAATAGGAGGCACTCTCTACGAGTTTGGTGGATATAGTTTACCATTTATAGTGTTGGGCATTACGTTAACAATAAGCTCGGCATCGATACTCATGTTTGTGACCACAAATCAAATTCAGCCGACAAACTATAAACAAGAGGCCGAAGTTGGGGTCAATAGTAATAATAATAATAATAAAGAAGACGTGATTAGTATAACAAAGTTTTTACTAAATTCTATCATTTTATTGGATTCATTGGTTATACTAACGGCTCTGAGTCTTATCGGTTTCTGTGCGGCCACTCTGGAGCCGCATATCCGACACTTTGAATTGTCACCATTGATGACGGGTCTTATATTTGTGACATTGGGTATTACTTACGCCATAACAGCGCCAATTTTGGGCAAACTGTGCGACATATACAGCCATAGTCTGACATTATTTTCTCTGTGCGGAACACTATTAAGTATAATAGGACTTATATTGATTGGTCCGATGCCGGGCACCGGACTAGACAGTAATCTATGGCTTGTGATTGTAGCCCTGTTGCTGTTTGGTATGGGAACGGCAGCCAAACAGGTTAGCGGTTATTCTCATGCATTGAACTATTGTATCAAAAACCGCGGTTTTGGTCAAAACAAGAGTCTTCACGGACTGGTGTCCGGACTGTTCTTTTCGTGTATATCTTTGGGCGGTTTTATTGGACCAACAATTGCCGGTATTTTTGTCCAAAATTTTGACTTCAAGTTTGCCTCACTTGTAATGTTTGCCATCGAAGTGACACTATTTCTGATACTATTGTTTTGTTTTATAACGAAAAAGACTAAAATATCGTAATAATAATAATAATAATAATAATCAATGATTTTTTTGTTGTAAATTTAACTAACATTTTATAATTTTGTGTATAAAAAAAATATTTTTAAAAAAATTATTTTATGAATAAAATTCTTAATAAAGTTTTTTTTTAATGAATAATATTCTTGTATTTTATATATGAATTTATAATTTTCTGGTAAACACACCAACAAAAAAAATTACTACACAAACAATTAGATAATATTTTTTTAGAAGAAAATTTTATTATCATCTAGGTTCATTTTATTTATTTATTTTTTATAATTTTAAAATATTTATTATTATTATTTTATTATTAATAAATATTATTTGGTAACTACTGTATAATTATTTTAAGCCATACACACAACAACAACAACAGTGGAAAAACATATAGAAATAATTAAAAACAATGACTAGTATATACACTGTAGTATAACAGTAGCCAACTGGCCATAAGTCACGCCCACTCCAGGTTTGACAACATTAACATTAGCAGTGCATTCCTCATAGTTTTCTTTCATAGTATTAGTGAGTCATTGCAGTCACACTATTGACGGAAATCCCAAACAACAGTGTTTTTGGGTGTTGTTTGTTGTCATTAGTTATTCAGATAATAAATATTACATTACTTTATGATTGTTATTGTTATTAATAATTTAGTTAATAATAATAATAATAATAATAATAATAATAATAATAATAATAATAATAATAATAATAATAATAATAATAATAATAATAATAATAATAAACTACATACCAGTGCCCGTCACCATCATTAACAATGCCGTCCTATCACTCGACACTTACGTCCAACAAATCCATAGCCAACATGTCTTTTATGACATTTCGGACCAAATTTCGCGGACCAGTTATCAATCTGAATGATGAACACCGTCGGTGACCACTTCATTGATATATCATATCTTTGAAATAATTTGTTTTAAATTAATCTGTTTTACAGTTGGAAAGGATGAGCTCCAGGGCGTCGACATCATCGATGAGGCCATACTATACTTTAAGGCCAACGTCTTCTTCAGTTCGTACGAGATTCAGGTAATTAAGTCTTATATTACCAATTGGTAGTCACCGATGAAGTACTGATGAGGAATACATCTTGTAATGGACACAAACTTTTAACAATTTTTTTATTTTAATTAAAAACTTCTTTCAGAGCGAAGCCGACCGTATTATCATATATTTGACGCTTTATATCATTGAATGTCTTAAGAAGATTCAAAGGGTACCGATTAATATATCCGATATCTAAGACTAGATTATTGATTATTATTATCTGACAGTGCAATAACAAGAACGCTGCCGTCCAAGAGTTGACTCAATTGGCCATTAGTCGGTTCGACATTCCCGGTGACCCGCGATTTCCGTTGAACGGTGTCTTTCAGAAACCAAAGACTGCCGACGAAACAGGTTTTTATTATTATTTTTGTCATTTGTTTTGTTTTTTTTGTGATTGACTGACCAATTGATTGTTTAAAAACAAAATCTATTTGTTTTTTTTGTTGCAGAACTGATGCGCTCATACATCCAACAATTGAGACAGGAATGCAGTGTCCGGATTGCCAACCGGGTGTTTGAAACGGATAATGGCCAGCCATCTAAATGGTGGACCTGTTTTGCCAAACGAAAATTTATGAATATCTCGCTTTCGGGTCCCGGAAATTGACGGATATATTTATATACAGTTATATTGATTGATATATACGAACATTCACTTTAAATGTTATTTTTTTTAATACAATATTTTTATTTAGATTTTTATGATATTTATATATATTTTAACAGTATTTTATAAGTTAAATAGTTACTAAATACTGTATATATTTTTATATTATCATTGATTATAATTTTAATGATTGCAAAAAAATAAGAGATTAAAATATTAATTATGTTATCCTAATATTATGTTATTATTTAATTGATTTAATTAATTATTGATATCAATATTATAGTCCAAATTAATTATAGCGTTCTTCAACAATGTATTCAATTTTTTCAAATCAAATTTATTATAAATGATTGTTTTACCGTAATATACAGTATATATCGCTAAATTTAGGGGACAGTTAGACAGCTATCAATACGAACACATACATACACACACACACACAGCCGACACACGCCATGCCTATGAAACTCAAGCCAATTAATGATCCCGAGAAAGTGGAATTGAAGAAGAAGGACATCGATAAAACAATGAAGTTGAGGTCAATTGAGTCCAAAGAGAAGGTGACGACTAAAGACGGTAAAACGGAATTCAAGAAAGTGAGAGCCAAGGATGACGCCGTCAAAGAAGCCAAACAACAAAAGTTTAAAACAATTGCATCCAAGTTTGAGATCCAACACGTGGCCGACAAGATGTCTGAATCCATCGAAAAGTTGAAATCACGACAAATATATTATATCGGAAAAGGCGATAGCAAACTGTTCTGTGGAACAGTCCTACAGGTAATCCCACCGGAAACCTATGCGGCCATTGGCGGTGGTATCTGCACGTATAGCACCAAAGCACCCATCGATAATAAGGGGTTCAAGTTTGAAAAGGACCGGCAAATTGTCGTGAGAGTAGGCAAAAAGGCGGCCGATTATTTGGTTATTGTCGGTGCCAATGGTTGCGTGATTGTCGAGTCGGGCGCCTCTCTATTACTTAATATGCCAGTGTTTGTCGTCGAGCCTACCGGTGATTACTATTTTGTAAATCACGGCCAAAGATTTGTCAATTTGGGTCCCGGCGCTCATCTGGTGCTGTACACCAAAGAGTCGCCCGTTTTATTCATTACCGTACAGAAGACCGAAAAAATAGCGGCTTCGTCACTGAAATCGGCTGTCGTTAAAAAAACCGATTCAAAAGCTAAGTCTGAGGACAAAACAAAGAGTAAAGAGACTAAAACCGATTCAAAAGCTAAGTCTGTGGAGAAAACAAAGAGTTCTGAGAGTAAACCCGATTCAAAGGCTAAATCTGTGGACAAAACAAAGAGTTCTGAGAATAAAACCGATTCTAAAGACAAGAAATCGGAATCAAAAGAGTCAATTATGAAAGAAACTAAAGAAAGTAAAGACCTGAACATCGGATGGAATGATATGAATAAAAAGGAGACCAAAAAGGAGTCAAAAGAGGCAATGAAAACGGAAACAAAGGATTCGGAAATAGAGAAATCAGAGACCGAACTGTCGGTTGGAAACACTATGTCCGAGGCATTCAAAAGTGAACCGTCAAACACAGTACCTCCTTCTTCTTTTCGACCACCGCCTCCTCCACCACCTCCTCCACCGCCACCTCCACCACCACCGCCTCCTCCATCACTACCGCTGCCGGAATCTGCTGTCCTCGAACCTCCACCGCCCGAACCTATTGTTACCGAACCCGTACCGCTGGTTGATGTTGGTGTGCAGCCTATTGCCGATGCCGCTGACAATCAACCAAATAAAAAGTTTTGGCTATGGATACTGTTGGCCATCGCCTGTATACTGGCGCTCATGTATGCGTCGAGTTGATGAAAATGTGGTCAAAATTGGAAGAAGTGATAAATGAAAAGAATTATTATATTTTTTATATTTTATTTGTATGTTTACAAACAAAACTAATGTCTAGTAAATAAAAAATAGTTTAGTTAATTGAAATAAAATTTCTAATTTTTTGTTGATCAAATATTACCGTAATTATCGGTAATATAGAAAAAAAATTAAAATAATTATATGATTTGATGGGATATGTTATAATAATTTTTTACGAGTATCTGACCATCGAAAGTACGGCCGAGTCGGCGGACAAACCGACAATCAATGGACTGTATGCTCCCGACAGCCATCAAGAAAACTATCAACTCTTTACTTAAAACTCAATATTTATTTTTGTTGAACTAAAAATGTAAATATTTTCAAATAATTAACTATTTATTATCTCTTTTTTAAAAAAAAAACTAAATATGAATTTATTATAGAAAAATGTATTTAAATCTACCGTAAATTTTTTATTATACTAATTTAAATTTGTTGATTTTATAACTGTATATAATTTACTTATATTTTATATACCGGTAATATAAATTTATATTTTATTTATTATACTGTATACTAAATTATATCAATACATTTTAAAATGAATAAACATAAAATTTAGATTTTAATTTAAATATAAACTTTAATTATATATGTATTTTTAACTTAAATCAAGTTTATGTTTAAGAAAATGTTTAGTAAATTATTGGTTAAAGTTTTACAATCAACTAATTTTTATAAATAATTATTAGTAAAGTATTATTTTCATTAAATTATTTTTCGTTTTTACTGTTAGTTTTATTAATAATCACAAAATTGCAAAAAATAATTAAATTTTTTATTGTTATTACCAAATAATGCCAATTCTTAACCTAAATAGTCTGTTATTTATTGTTTAACATTTCTATATAAAAAAAGTTAAAATCAATGAACATATAAATACGGGATTGACTGAACTGCGGTCAGCAATGGGAAATTCTGCGGTCGGCTAATACTCGAATACGGTAGGTCAGATGTTGCGGTCACCAATAGAAAAGTTGTAGAGGACAAAAAGTTTATGTTGAAATGTATGGTCAAAAAAAATATCTGACCACTAGGGACCACATAAAAAAATTAAAACTTGTATTTTATAACTAATGATGCTGCGGTCAGCCATATCTCGAATATGGTTGGTCAGATGTTGCGGTCACCAATAGAAAAGTTGTAGAGGACAAAAAGTTTATGTTGAAATGTATGGTCAAAAAAAATATCTGACCACTAGGGACCACATAAAAAAATTAAAACTTGTATTTTATAACTAATGATGCTGCGGTCAGCCATATCTCGAATATGGTTGGTCAGATGTTGCGGTCACCAATAGAAAAGTTGTAGAGGACAAAAAGTTTATGTTGAAATGTATGGTCAAAAAAAATATCTGACCACTAGGGACCACATAAAAAAATTAAAACTTGTATTTTATAACTAATGATGCTGCGGTCAGCCATATCTCGAATATGGTTGGTCAGATGTTGCGGTCACCAATAGAAAAGTTGTAGAGGACAAAAAGTTTATGTTGAAATGTATGGTCAAAAAAAATATCTGACCACTAGGGACCACATAAAAAAATTAAAACTTGTATTTTATAACTAATGATGCTGCGGTCAATGATTAACTGGAAAACAGTGTCAGATCTTGCGGTCAAAGATAAAATTGTTGTGGACAATTAAAAATACAATTAATAGATTTAGGTTTACAAGGGGATCTATAAATAAAATTTAAATTTTTTATTTAAAAAATGGCGGTCAGTGATTATCAGGAGAATTATTGTTCCTTTCTTTTAATTGTCAACAACTTTTATAGATCTGACAATAGTTCTTTAAATAATCATTGACCGTCACTTTTATAAAATAAAAAATAAAGGTTTTATTTGTAATGTCGGTCCACTGGTTGTGTGACCTAAATTAGTTTAAGTGAATCATTGTTCCTAACTTAATTGTCTAAATCTTTTATTTGTTTAAAAACAAGATCTGACCACTAGTTTTACAGTTAATCATTGACCGCAATTTTTTTTAAAATTTTTTAAAATTTTTTTATGTGGTCCCTAGTGGTCAGATATTTTTTTTGACCATACATTTCAACATAAACTTTTTGTCCTCTACAACTTTTCTATTGGTGACCGCAACATCTGACCAACCATATTCGAGATATGGCTGACCGCAGCATCATTAGTTATAAAATACAAGTTTTAATTTTTTTATGTGGTCCCTAGTGGTCAGATATTTTTTTTGACCATACATTTCAACATAAACTTTTTGTCCTCTACAACTTTTCTATTGGTGACCGCAACATCTGACCAACCATATTCGAGATATGGCTGACCGCAGCATCATTAGTTATAAAATACAAGTTTTAATTTTTTTATGTGGTCCCTAGTGGTCAGATATTTTTTTTGACCATACATTTCAACATAAACTTTTTGTCCTCTACAACTTTTCTATTGGTGACCGCAACATCTGACCAACCATATTCGAGATATGGCTGACCGCAGCATCATTAGTTATAAAATACAAGTTTTAATTTTTTTATGTGGTCCCTAGTGGTCAGATATTTTTTTTGACCATACATTTCAACATAAACTTTTTGTCCTCTACAACTTTTCTATTGGTGACCGCAACATCTGACCTACCGTATTCGAGTATTAGCCGACCGCAGAATTTCCCATTGCTGACCGCAGTTCAGTCAATCCCTATAAATACCGGTATAAATACTAAATAAAGTTTTGTTAATTTTTTTGTTGTTTTTTGTTGGCATCAATGAAATGTTTTTTTTAAAAAAAGTAATGTTTAGACTCCATAAATAATTTTCAAATAAATATTTTTTGCTTGTTTAGCTATAAATTTTATTTTAAAAAATTATTTCAATTCAAATGTCAATTTAGGGATATTTATAAGTCGTAAAGAAATGTTATTTAAAAATATTTAATATATGGTAAATAATAATAAAAAATAATAATAATAATAATGAAGAATACAAATAAAAGCCTAAAAAATAATGATAAAAATGTTATTTTTAAAACTTTTGTTAATTTTTTATTATTATTGCGTTAATGGGTTTATTTGTCTATTATATTTGTTGATTATAATTATAAATAGTATCGTATTTTAATCAAATAGTGATATAACGATTATACTAAACATTTTAAAATTTTATTATAATACTAAATATTTTAATAATTTTATTATTTGAAAAAAATTAATCGAAAACTACTTTAACTGTTTTTTATCAGTTGATCGCCAGAAAAAAAATGTTAATTATTAACAAATAAATTACATTACATTATAATATGTTTGTTAAAAAACATTTTGAAAGTCATAGTGAAAGTGAAGTCGTTTGATAAAAAACAAACTAATTTAACATTTAATAAAAACTTGAATACCTGTTCACCTAATTTTATTATGTGTTTGTATGTGTCCTAAGCTAACCTACCTGTGCCCCAGTAAACAACACACACACACATACACAGTCTCTCCTCCTAAGGAAGCGTTCGGTATGTCATGTATTTTACATATTATAAAGTTTATAAACAATTTTTATTAAATTGAGTCAAATGCTATCTAAAAAATTAATGCAGTTTTTGTTATGTCAGTCAGTCATGTATTTTACTCTCGATTTCACTGGAAATATGTGTTTTTCTCATTTAGTTGGGACATACCTGTCCTTTGCTGTTATAATATAGTAATAATTTTTTGTGTGTTTCAAAAACAAATATTTTTGCATTTTATTAATTTTGTACTGTTTGTTGTTACTAATGTTGTTGTTATTAAATTTATTTTAAATAATAATTGTGAAATTAAATATTCAGTAGATATGTATCTTAAATTGAACTATTAAAATGTTACAATCAATTAATAATTATAATTAATTTTTTTTTTAATATAAATATTGTTCAATTGATATCAATTGGATATTATTTTTTTAAGAAAATGAATAATATTTAATAAATATCTAAATAATTATTTATTTAGATTAATAATAATAATTTAAATAATGTTTTCATCGATATTTTATTGTAGAAAAATATTTTGATAATTAACAAAAAGTGATGTTAATATTTGTAATTTTCTATATAATTATATTTTATTTAGCAGTTTATATTATATTTAACACCGAATAATAATTATCATTAATTACAAAAAAAATATTTATTTAAATCATAGTAGATATATATTTATTTTATCATAAAAATATATATTGTTTTAAATATCATATAATATAAAATAATAAAAATTTATTATACTTTTACAAATAATTTGGATGTGTCTGTATGTGTGAAATAATAAGTGATTAAAAGTTTTTAAAAAATATATAATTTATTTTTTTCATTGTGTGTTTCATTTAATCATTACGTTTCAAACGGAAACTTGAAGTGAAAATTACAAATAGTTTTATAATTTATTTATTTTATTTTATTTAAAAAATATATTAAAGGTAAGTATCATCAAAAAAATTATATATATATTGTTTTTATTATTAAATTTTTTGTAAAAAATAATTATATTCTCACTACTCATGTATACTAAACACAAGTGTATATGTATTGTCTATTTTATAGCCAATAAAATATCAATATATATGACATGCAATACAAGTGTATGTATAAAGTAATAGCAATAGCATTGAATCAGATGTTTACTGTAAATGAGTGAATGTATAGTAATATTATTATTATTATTACTATTACTATACAGTTATTGAACGACAATTGCAAACAGTGTTTACTGTATTGTTGTTATGTTTTTATATACATATCATATATATTATCAACAAATTCAACAAAACATTTAATGATTACAAACTATATTAATAATAATAACTGTTATTTTGAAATGAATTATAGTATTCATTGATATAAATGACTAAACTTTTACTTTCACTAAACCATCGATGACTTAATATTGTGTAGTGTTGTTGACAACAACAACCACAACAAGAGTCGACTATAAATAATCAATTGATTGTCACCTAAATTGTCGGATCAAACATCTGTTTATCTAAATTTGATTTATTTTTATTTATTTTTTTTGCTGAAAAACGCCTAACGATTATCAAATAATAATATGAAGAAGTCATCAATAATATGGATATCCATTGCCTTTGTCTTAGTATTGATGGGAATGATATCACTAATTGGTTTACCAATTATTTTGGTTAAGATAATCGACTCGAAAGTAATACTCACTCCCGATGGCGAATCCTATCGGCTATGGCGTGATCTACCGGTTCCCATATATCTTAAGTTTTATTTGTTCAATGTTACCAATGCTCAACAAATACAGTCATCGGGAGCTAAACCAGAGCTGAAACAAATCGGACCGTTTGTCTATCGGGTTAATGTTAGGAAAGATGGCGTCAACTTTACCGACGGCTACCAATCGGTTACGTTCAACGAATTGATGACTTATCACTTTGACAGACAATTGTCTGTCGATGACCTGTCTCTTAAAGTATGACTAAATTTTTAATATTTTGTTTTTTGGATCAATTGTTTGATTATATTTCTATAAGTTTTTTTTTGTGAAATTTATGTCAATTTTTTTAAATCAAACATTTATTACAAACAATATACAGTATAATAATATTAGTTATTATTGATAATAATATATATATATATTATTATTATATAGTTTTGCAATTTTTATGTTATGAGACAATTGTTTTGTTTTATTTATTTTTAAAAAAATTGATTATCTGGTGATTGAATATATCATATCTAATATTTTAGCGATGAGTTCAAGTATTTCTGACTTTAAAATATGTTTGCTATAAATAGCAATTTTAATAATAATAATAATAATAATATCATAATTACAATAATTTTTAATACACTTATATTTAGGACATATAAATAATCAGTTGATGATAATTATTGACTGAAATTCAAACAAACAAATAATTGTTTGTTTAAACGATTGTTATATACAGAAAATTTTCTGTTATATGGTATATAAATATATATTATTTTCAATTATATTTTAGTTTAGTTTCATTCAACATTCATTTATGAATTTTTTGTTGTGTTTTTCAAGTTTGGATTTTTTTTTTAAATATAAAAACTACTTTTCAATATTAAAATGTTATAAAATTAACATAATGTCAACTATATATTTAATAGTTGGCAATGAAAATGATGTGAAGTATTGCTTCAGTAATTTTCCTAAATATATATTTATAAAAATAAATTGTAGTTAAAAAAAATAAGGAGAGAATTATATACATATAATTAGTTAATGGAAATAAAAATATTAAGTTTCTTTACATTGAAAAACAAGTTTTTTTGTTGTAAAGATATATTATATTAATTATATTTTGATAGAAATTACTTTATATTTTACTGTTTAATCAACAATTAGACAATTAAACAATTAGACTTGTTTATATGATATAATTATAAAAATCAATTAATAAATTTAGCTAGTTAATTATTTATATAAGCTTTTTCCTTTACTTTTTAAAATAATTAAATTAATATATTAGATCTATTAAAGTATGACTAATAATAATTTACATTAGATTAGTCATCATTAATTATTTTGACATTAAGTTATACATCAGTAATATATAATTTTTATTTGAAGTTTTATTTAATTTTTTGTTTGTTTATAAATATTGATCATAAATTATGATATCTGTTTTGTGAATTTAATTTCTAGATATAAATTACCAGTAATACAAATATTATAGATTTTAAAAAACAATTTATTTCACATGTTATTATTTTTGTTGCATTAATAATTACATAATAATTACACTTATACTCAGTACTTATTAGTTGGAAATAAAATCTTTATTTAAAAAATTAATGAGATTTAAATAATAATTGGCTAAAAAACCTTGAAATCTATTCAACAAATATAATGTTATAATATATTGTATATAATTTTAGATAACAACATTGAACTCGCCGTTGGCCATAGCGATGACACTGATGGAAGATTTGAATCCAATGATGAAGATTATGGCCACAGTATTGATCCGACACATTGACGACGACTTTTTTGTTGAAAAATCAGTCGAAGAACTATTGTTCGACGGTTATCCCGATTTGTTGACCAAATTGGCGCCACTGTTGAACCCGAAGATACCGTATCAGCCATCGTTTGGTTGGATGTACAAGAAAAATGATACCTACGATGGACTGTTCAAAGTGAATACTGGTAAATCGGATATCAAGAAAGTTAATGCTATCGAGACATTCAATGGACAACAGGAGCTAGACTTTTGGTCGGGCAAAGAGTGCAATACATTCAAAGGTGCCAAAAATGGTGAACTATTTAATCCAATTCCCAGCTCTGATAAGACACTGCTATTGTTTCGCACAAATTTCTGTCGAGTACTGACACTGATCTGGAAGTCGGCCCAGAAGTCACAGTACGGCGACCTATCAGTGTATCGCTACTATCCTTCAGATAATACATTTGCCAATTCCAGTGATTATCCGCCAAACAGTTGTTATAAGCCAAATAAAACCCGAACGGAAGTCAAGGATTTCGATAATAATGAATTAGATTTGAAGACTATCATCAATCGTTTGGAAAACTTAATTGTGACCAACGATTCCGATATATTTACACTTCTTGAAGACACATATATGGGTTTGTATTTCATTGTTTTATGTGATCTTCAAGAATCAGAAGTTAATTGTTTTCTATCTTTTTTTTCGACAATAGATTACAAATTGAATGGATCCAAATATTTTAAAAACTTTACAGACATAGACGTCCACAAAAAATATCGTGAATTTCCTTCGGGTATATTTGATCTGTCGGCCTGTTATTTCAAAGCACCCGTCTATATATCGAACGCACACTTTCTAAATGCTGATCCCTATTATCTGCAAACAGTGTCGGGTTTGAAACCCGATCCATCAGTGCATCAATCATTTCTCGACATCGAACCAATGACTGGTACGCCAATTGAACTACAACTACGAGTCCAGATCAATGTTTTCATCAGTTCTGTGGCCAACTATTTTATCAAATACAAGAATATGCCTAAAATTCATATACCAGTCGTTTGGCAAGAGTTTACCATTCATGCGACCGACGAACTCGCCAAAGACCTGCACTGGAAGCTGACCGGACCGTTGCTGATCACAACAATTGTCTCCTCACTACTGGTGGCCATCGGTTCGCTAACATTACTCTATTTTTTCATAAAACCTGTGATAAAACGATGTCGTAATCTGAGATCAACCGATTCATTAATGATCGATGAGAACCCAGTGGTTGATAATTGTGATACAAGTGCTTTGATCGATGATAGTCAACCTACGTATTCATAAATATTGATATAATAATTTTTATTTTATTTTTTGTTATCGAGTTTATTTCAAATCAAATTTTTCTATAATTTTATTTGTAATAACTTTCAATTACCCAATTGTGTCATTCAATTAATTGATTTAATAATTATAGTATTTACAAATACGTATACATGTATATGTGCCACAAAGTAATCGTTACGTTTAATACTAATTCACTAAAGTTTTTACTTTTATTTAAAAATAAATAAAATACGATAAATATAATAATCTAATAGACATGAGCTGACCGGTAGTTAACAGTTTCAGATTATGTATAAAAAAAATTTATTACAAACTTAAAAAAAAAGTTTAGATTGAATTTTAAAACTGTTTTTTTGTTTGAATTATTATTATTATATACTATAGTTGATTAGTCTATAATTATTATTTTATTTTAATTCATTATAATTTTTTTATATATAACTTAGATTTTTATACTGCTGTCCGAATACAAGTTAATTAATAAATTATATATTTTATTTATAAATAATATACATAATTACTTTATTCACTTAAATGTTTTAAATACAGTTTATTTAAAGTGAAATAATAATAATAAATTATATACAGTTTTAACTGCAGTCAACAAATTTATTTTATATTAATAAACAGCATCACTGACTGACTGCATATTTATTGTTTTATATTTATAAGATTTCAATGTCAGATCTATTTATAAAAATGTTTATGTTATCAATGATTTTTAAATATAATATAATTTCAAAAATTGTATGTTTTGAACATATTTTTCACTCATATTTTGTTAGCTGATAATTGCTATTATTATTTTAGTAGCTCTCACCGAATTTTAATTGATATGTAAATATTAACAAAAAATATATAATTATAAAAAAAAGTTTTGTGAATAAAATATGTTGTTTTAATTATATAAACAATGAATTTTATTTCCTTATAGATATTTTAGGTTTTATATAAAGTAAAAAGTTTGCTGAATAATACTGTAGTTTCAATCATAGGATACGTAAGTGAAATATAATAATAATTGTTTTTTCATTTCTAATAATCAGGTATTTCACAGTTTTATTGATAATATATAAATTAAAATTAAAGTAAAATTTTAGTTAATATATTTTATATATAATTATTAATATTTAATTTTAAACTAAATAAAAACTAATATTATAAACTAAATAGATTTTTATCAAATTTTATGGACCTGTGTGTGTTTGTATATAATAATATAATCATCTTTTTATTTCTAACATTAATAACTTATATTTTATGCAACAAAATGAATTACATTATTCATTAAAAAAAATTATAACTAAATTGCGTGATAGTAAATACATTACTGGATAATATGTAAATAATAATAATAACAAAAAAGTTTGAACACTTCCTCTATAGATTACCAATTGACTGATATACTGAATCCATATAATAAAATATAATAAATTTATTTTATAGCAGATTTTGCAAACTAAATATATAGTTAATAATAATTTTTTATATCATATTCAAAATTATGTTCAAAATTTTATGTTGTATTGATAACTAATGGGTCACTTATTACAAATTAGTTACTACTAGTTATTTAGTATAAAATAATCACTACTAGTATAACCACGAAATATACGATGAAAAATGTTTTTATAAAATTTGTGAACATTTTTAAATGTTGTGTTAATTTTTAAAAAAGTATTTTGTTTTGTTTATTTACTAATTGCATTTGAATTATTAATATACAGTATTATGTTATTATATTGTTAATGTTATTAACTTATTATATATCAAATTGATGATAAAATACAGTACTTTTACACTAGAGGTAAACAAAATTAATAAGTGATCGATAAAAGTTTAATTTTTTTCCTATAACTTAATATATAGTAAAAAATTATTATGTAAACATGAATTGATGCTAAAAATATTTTTTTTTTAATAGAAATATAAAATTTTCGTTATAATCATCTAAACTCATTTTGAACTTATAACAACTAGAAAGCTATTAAATGTTTAGCCTAACAAAAAAATAAATAAAATGATTACCAAATGTGTTATAATGTGCTTATAATTTGATGAATTTGCTATAGATTTTGCAAAATCAGTTTTTTAAGGTATGTATCATATCAACAACAAAAAAATATTTTGTATTTTATTATGTAAAATTTTTAAAATTATCATGATTATTTAGATTTGTATAAATATCTAGAAATAAATATACCTATTTGACAATATTAAGTATATTAATAACTAGTCGACAACAAAAATATAAATTTTATTTTTAATTGAATAGCTATTGTCAAAGATGGCAATCAGCGATATTGATTTTGAAGGACAATAAAATCAGACAGTAATAGACAGACAGACAGACAAAAAAATTATGTAATAAAGTAAACGTTTTTTTTCAGGAAAACACTAATAAATTACAGCATTATTATTATTACAGTAGTATTAATGATATTATAAACATAATTATATTTATCAATTTCTCAATAAATTGTGAATATGAAAAACAATTGAAATTTAACAAATTAGACCTTGATAGAAATGTGTTATAAAATATTATTGCGCAAAAATGCTCACTTTTCTTATTTAGAGTTATACTATATTATTTTTTTAATGATTTACAATTAGGTAATCTATACTAATTAATTTTTTTTAAAGTCTAGTAATACTAATTATAATATAGCATTACTAATATAGTTATAGTAATTAAATAGTATATATTTAAGTATTTATTTGTATAAATTAAATTTTATTTATAATATAAAGTATAATATATAGATATCGATAAATAAATAAGAAATTGTATAATATATAAGTAAATTAATTAATTAGACGCCAAAATTTGAAAATATATTTTTAGTATTTTTGATTTATGCAAACACATAATAATAATAATTTTTTTTGTTACATTCAAATTAAATTCAATGTGTTTTTGTTAGAAACGTTGATAACATTGATGAAAATGTGAGCCCAGAAAAATAGGAAGTATTATTATTATTATTATATTTGATAAAAAATAAATAAAATTGAAATAAAAATTACATTTACTGGAAACAAAACTAATAAAAATTTGTTGATAAAAAAATCCCAAGTTCAATGTCAATTTATCACTATTCAGATTACAGTTATTAATATATTATATTATATTTAAATCAAGTTTTTGAGAGAGAAACACAATTTGTGATGCAATAAGTCGTATATATATAGTGACCAAAAAATAAAAAAGTTTTAAACTTGAAATTTTCTAAAAATGTTTTTTGTAACAAAAATAATTAAAAAATTATAAAATATTGCAATTTTACATATAGAAAATAATTATTTATTATTTAGTAAGTTACGTTATAAATAAATATTGTTTATTGAATATTAAATTTTAAAAAAATTATAAATTAAATAAAAGTGTCTAGTTGTATTTTTGGCAACACATATAAACACACTGTATAACTGTTTTTCCTTATATCAGTTTCAATGATCACGCAGTTAGTAATATCTAAAAACTTTTTTTTGTTGTTGCTATTTATTTATTAATATTTGCTGATAAATTATATGAATTTGCATAAAAAGTGCATCAAATAGTTTTATTAAAATTTTTATTACATTTATATACTCTATATTTGCATTAAATAAATTAACTTAATATTAATAATTTTATTTGCCTTCTAATTCATTTATATAGTTTTGTTTCCCTAAAATCACTTTATATTTGTGATAACTATATAATATTTTTGTGTAATTTATTTTTATTATATCTCATTCATAGTTAATAATGTTCAGTGAGTTTTGCATCGAAGATCTTAGCTTATCATTGAATGTCATCAAAGACAACAACAGCAACACCGCCAACAATGCCATCATCACTGTCGGCAACAATGGCAACAAACCGATGAGGAATGGGATCGACTATAATGGAGTCATTGGGAAACTATGCGACAAATACCGGCACCAAATGATGGCATTCATGAAATCTGTGCCACACATGACACCCACACCTTTCGAGTTGAATGTCAGACACAATAAAGTGAAACATCATCTGATCAGTCAATTGCAAGAGTTTCATATGAATAGCAAATCAATTTGCATCAACAATAATATCAATAATAGCAATCATATTGTTATTATTAGTAATGATAATACTAATAATAATAATGAAAATCAAATTAATAATTGTAATAATATTAATAATAATGACAACAATGTTGTCGCCAACGGCCGGATCAGCGATGAGTTGGCTATACGACAGGCTGTCGAGCGATGCGATAATGAATTGGACATTATATTCAAAGAGTTGGCCAAAGATAACCGTTTGGAGTATAGGAAGTGTCAGTTAGGGTTTACCATTGGCTGGAAGTGTAATGTCAATCAACCAAACTATTCGTATAAGATGTTTGACGACAGGTTTTAATAGATTTTTTTTTGTCTGTTTCTGGTTTTGCGGTCGAAATCCAAAACAACCAAAAAAAAAACTTTCATTAGATGTCTGCAAAAAAATGTTTAATTAGTCATATATTATAATAATCAGACATCTGTATTATACATTGAGCTTATATATACATAGAATATATTGAGAAAAATAATAACTAAATAAGTATAACTGATAATCATATTTTTGCATTAATTTTCAATTGATAATTAATTTTTAGTGATGTTATTGGTTTGTGATTAAAAACATCATATTATTTGAAAATCTAATTTTAAATATGTTATCAAATACTGTATAAAATGCTATTACCGTAATATAATGTCTAGATTTATATATTTATTATTTATATTACTGTATATTCTATTATAAAAGTATCTTTTTGTTTTTATTTCATTGAATATATATTATTATTTTTTAATTTAAAAATACATTTAATATATTAACTCTATAGACTTTCTAGTATAGAGTATATATATGTGAATATATAATGTGATTTATTATCTAATATTTTTAATTTACCAAAAAAAAGAAAGATTATATTATATAAACTCTTTCTATTAAATAACAGTAGAGTTATTGATTTGCATAATAATAATAATTATTATTATTATTACCAGTACTAGCAGTAGTAGTAGTACTGGTATATATTGTATAAATTAAAAATTGTTAGCTATAATATATTATTGCTACAAAATGCCAAATAATTTCAATTTAAATAAAATTATACTATTAATAATAATACAGTAAACTTAATTTAAATAAATTGCTTAAACATTATTGTTTTAGACTAAACATTATATTAGTCCAAATTGAATGCTTAAATTCACGAAATTGATAGGATATACAACACTTATTGACTTTTTTTGGGGTCAACTCTATGGGTGCGGCCTTTTTGAGAGTCCCAATAGACACCATATTTATAGGTTTTCCTATTATTATTATTATTATTACTTATAATTATAATAATATGAATAGAAATTTTAGTGTATTATTTGTGTCTGTTATATTATTTTAATTTGTCTTGGTGACAAATTTAGATAAATCATGTTATTTAGCTTTAATAACCTATTGGTTATAATTAGATTTTAATTAAATTAATGTAAAGTACAGTACGTACAAGTTGTGTGCATATTTTAAATATTAATTTACTGTCTGAGTTTAATTGGAAATTTTTGATATTTTTGATATTAACAATAATAATAATCTGGGTCAATTATCTAGATTAAAATAATCAAGAAATAAAAATCTAACATATTCAATTTATGTTTATATCTATTGTACATTTTTATAGTAAAACGATTGTGTTATTAATTTAATTTTATAATAATAATATGATATTTAATATTTTATTTTTTATGATTATTACTATTGATATATAATAGTTGTTATATGTCTATATTATTGGTAACTTAAGGTCCTTATTATAATTAACTGTCAAAACAATATTTATTTTCAAAACATTTGTTATTGTAATTTATTATAATTAAAATTTTTTTTAATGTACTAACAACTAATGAAAATATAATTTAAATAAAATTATTTCACATTATTTAAAAAAATGTTTTTCAGTGTTTTATTAATACTTTATGGCTTAATATTAATATAGAAAAATGATCAAGTAAAATTATTTAGATTAATATTTGTTCAAATAGTATTTATATAAAATATTTGCCATAGATATAATCAAAGATATTTTAATATTAATTTTAATATTATTTATTATTAGTATTGTTATTGACCTTCAATTTTGGTTAATATTTATTTATCTGAATACAACAATATAGTTATTAATATTGTATTATTTGATTTACAAATGATAAAATTTATGTTGTATAAAAATTAATGATCCGGTATTATTTATTTTTGTTGGTATTCAATTATTAGATAATTTCCAATTAAATAGACTATTATTAGTTAAATTACAATTTTTAAATAAATTATTAAAATGTTGGACATTATTTTGCATTTGTTAAGATAGTTATGTAACAAATATATTAAATACATAAATATTAAATGAAAAAACAATAATTATATATAATACTGTATAATATACAGTGTATATATATAAATATAATACCGTATATTGATATATAATTCATATATTTAATAATGGTTTTTTTTGTAAATGTTTAATTTTACTTTGAACATGATCAACATTATTATTTATTTACAATATTTTTTTTTTATTGAACAATCATTAATAATATGACAATAAATTTGTTTTTTTCTGCATCGATATTTAACATTGATAAATAAAACTAATATATAAATAGTTAGTACTCTATTACCTGATATCATAATACATACAATAGTATATAAAAAAATACTGTATTTCAATGCCTTAATATTTTGTATGCAGTTATTAACGATTATTACTCTGTATATTAAATATATAGATAATAAAAACAACAACAAAAAATTATTTTTATGTAATTCTGGGCGTAATTCTGCGCAAACAGTAATAGTTATAATCAAATAGATATATAGATATAAAGAATATTATGACTAAAATACCAGAATTTTCATTACTGGATATTATATTTTTCTATAAAAAAATTGTTTTATATATAATTTTTTATTCAATACTACAGAGTAGACATAGTCTAGTCTATTGTGTCATATAAATAATTGGGACTTTTTTTTCGGTGAGCTCTCTATCTCTATCTTTCATTTTGTGTGAATAGTATATAAAATTATTTTTATCAGTTTAGTAGTCTTCAGCAGAAATTATTATTATTATTATTATTATTATTTAATACAATTAACTGTTTGTTTGTTTGTTATCCTCCTCTTACAGACACAAAATAAAATGCAACAAAATTTATTGATGACAATTGAAATTTTGTTGATATCGTTGCTGGCGATGAGCAATACGATAGCTGGTGACAACATTTTGTCAAATTTGGCCGATTTGGCTAACATTGGTAACTGTGGTCTACGGGTTAGTGAAAGTGAAGATCTGAAACAATGCAAACAAAAGGTTACCGAAGATTGGAAACTGGAAACAGATGTCAAACGTCAGGCCTGTTGTCAGCCGATAGCCTTTCTGGACTGTACTCTCAAGATTGCTAAATCAGTTTGCAATGACCAGGAATACCAGCAAATGTCAAAAGTAGAGAAGTCAACCGTCCAACAGGCGGACACATCCTGTCTTATCTATCGTCAAACTCCATCCCTGTGCGGTACCAATACTATACTACCGATCTTTTCGTTTATTATAACCTTAGCACTGGTAGTCGTAACTATTGGCTAATAATCTTATTTATTATATATATATATATATATTACATATACTAATATATAATTTATATTTACATTAATAGTACTGTATATCATAGTATTAAATATAAATATAATTTTGATTTGTTTATTTGTCTCTTATTTATTTTATTATTAATTATTTTATTGAAAATATTAGATAAAAGTTTTTAACAAAACATGTAACAAACTACTTGTTATTATATTATAATATATATGAAATATTTATTATATTAAACAATTTTAGTTATATTTATCATAGGTTTAGGAAAATTAAATTATAATAGTTATAGTGATATTTTATTAGTTAATTTTTTTATATAAAAAATTATACAGTTAATAATAATAAATAGATTGTTATTTTATAAAATTATTTATATTCATGATTAATATTTTCAATGTTATAAACAAATTCAACTAAATTTTTAAAACATTATTGTATTGTTTAAAACAAGCAGAAATTATTTAATATTTGTTTCATACAATATCTATTAATAGATTGATGATTTCAGTTAACTAATTTTATTATAATTAGATGCTTATTATATCATACAGTATATACTATTTATTATATGCTTTCTAAATATGGCTAAAAGCATTTCAAATGTAAATAAAATTTTGTATTATTTCGGGTATTTAAATAAATTTTATTACAATAATTAAACTCAAATTTTCAAATTAGTTGTTTGACGTTAGTTACTATTTGGAAAATACTGTAATTTTAATGTTTATTCTGATTATAAGTATTGTTAATAGTAATAGTTTTGTAATTAAATATATAGAAATTAATATTAATGATTATTACCAATGAAAAATAAAATAAATGTTTGCTTAATACAGTTTGTTTAACATTTAACAAAAAAATAATAATATTTTTATTGAGTTATTTATTATAAAATTTATGTCATTTAAAATAATTCATGTTAATTATTTTATATTTTATTGTTTTGAAATAAAAAATAATTTTAATTTTATAAAACATAAATCTACTTATATACTCTATGTATACTGTAGTGTATTGTATATGTACTCTATTGTTAGTTTAACTATATTATAACTTTAAAATTAAAAAAAAGAGTTATAAAGAGAAAGTGCAAAATTGGCACAAATTTTGTTAAGTATAACAAAAATTAACAGTTAAAAGGTTTAAACAATTATAATATGTTTATAAATAACATTATATTATAACAAAAGGAGGATTATTAAAAGTCTAACAATAGTCGACAATAAGTATTAAATTTTGGAGGTTAACATAAATATACAATATATATATATATATATGTTTATGAGATAGTAATGTCATGTTTTAAATAATTCAAGGTTTACCATAACGTAATGAAATACACGACAAAATTTATTTATTTATTTTTTAAAATTTGACTAACGATAAGATTTTGTTAGAAAAATATTTTTCTAATTCAGTACTAAAAAACTTTTTTTTCCAGAAAAAAAACTACAGTATATATATATATATATATTAATATATATATGATAGAAATGAAATTTAATTCATTGGCCAAATATTTGATTTTTAAACTTTTATATATAAAAAAATAAAAAATAACATAAAATTTATTGCAACCCTACAAATGTCATTAACTTTTTAGATTAATTTTTTTTCTCTCAGTGAAAAACAAACTTTTTTCCAAAACTAATGAAACTCATAATATATATATGTTTGAGTATTTGCACAAAAAATAAACGATTACCAAAAAAATAAAAAATAAAAATACATTATATGTTGACAAATATCTTATTAATATTAATGGTTTATATTTATATTTGTGGGTTTTTGTGAATATGGATTGACATTTTATAATATTAGTTTTTTTAAATAAATATATATATATATATATATATATTAAAAATATGATTTAATAGTAGTAAACATTTATTTTGATGCTATTTATAATCTACATTCTCTCTCTCTCTCTCTCTCTCTCTCTCTCTCTCTCTCTCTCTCTCTCTTTCTCTCTCTCTATCTTTGGGTACTTTCCAATAGACTTACATTATGAAAGACACTTCACATGAATAGTTGTGACGAACAGTACTTTTTTTTTATTTGAATCAAAGCCACGAAATACCATCAAATACTTCATATTATAGCTTATATGTGACTAAAAAAGTCATAATACGGTAATCATAATAATAATAATAGACATGAATATACAGTAATTTAACAAAATAAATAGTTATACTGTATATAACAGTATAAATCTAATAAAACAATAAATTTAGTTTTTTTTTCTTGAATTTATTTGTCATACAATTTGTTTATGCATATCAACAACAACAAAATTAAAGACTAATTTATAAATATTTATATATTAAACACATATTGTAATATTATATAATTTATTAAATTAGTAAATATATTTTTAAAAAATTATTTTTATTAACTACTGTATTACTTATGACAGCCATCTATTTTACTTTTTAAAAAATATTAACTATAAAAAATTATTAAAAATATTTTATCATTTTCTAATCTTGTTTTTTATATAATAATGGGAATAGATAATTAAAATAATTTTTTTTACACATAATTTATTAAGTTTTATTTATATTAAGCATAACATAATAACTATTAATAATAAGTAATTTACACATTTTTAAGATAAACATCTATATTAATAGTAACAACAACAACAACAACCATAACAAAGATTGTTGTTTATTTAATATATTATTATATAATATGATTTTTTTTTAATTTGTATATAATTTTTTTTCTTAAATTTGCATCACACACACACACACACACACACACACACACATACATACATACATACATACATACATACATACATACATACATACATGCATGCATACATACACATATATACATACATATATATACACAAAGAGAGAGAGAGAGAGAGAGAGAGAGAGAGAGAGAGAGCACTGGTATTATACCATGTGATGGTCCCTTATATGCCGCACTTGACATCATTGCATTTTTGCATTGATGCTATTTTTGTAGAATATTCTTGTTATTCTATGTATAAGAATCTCTCTCTCTCTCTCTCTCTCTCTCTCTCTCTCTCTCTCTCACTCACTCTCTCTCTCACTCACTCACTATTATCAGTCTTTGTCTATCCATCTATCTATCTGTCTGTCTATTTGTCTCACTCTTTCTAAAAAGTAATGTAAAACAAAATTGCTTACAAATACACAGTACTCTTAATCTCATCCACAAAAAAAATCACACACAAAACACTTTAGCAAACGACTAAAACAAAGATCATATTTAAATTTAGACACAATTTACGACTGACTATTATAGATGAGAGAGAGAGAGAGAGAGAGAGAGAGAGAGAGAGTTTGCACATTAAAAACTTGTAGGCAACTAATCTAACCTCTCTTTTTCTATACTCTCTTATCTTAAAAAGTTTTCACTCTCTGTGTGTGTGTTTTAGTCAATATTTACTCTTTAAAAAAATTATTTATAAATATAATTTATTATTTTTATTAATACAAAAACAGATATAATATTTTTATGATTTTCTTTATTGATGATGAAGTGATTTTTTTGGAGCTAATTTGTGTTATATTTCTAACTGTTATATTTGTACGGATTTTCGACTTAATTAGCGACAGATATCAAGTGGACATCAATTTGTTGGCAATTATGGGAAATCTGTTTTCCCGAGTTGTCGGCAACAATGATACCGACGGTTCCGATCATAGGATTAGTATTCGCCGTAAAGGCAAATGTAAGTCATAAACAAACAAACAAATTAATTAATATAAAAATTTCTAATAATAATAAAATATAAAGTATTTTTGTAGTCTACCAGCAGATTACTTGTAAAAATTTAAATAATTATATAGTATTTGAGTAAAAAAAATGTTGAAAAATGATAAATATTAAACATTTTTTGGCTTATATATTGCAATTCAAAAAAAAAAAAAATAGAAAAACAATATTTGTTTGAAAATTTTTCAATAAGTACCGTAACATTTATGATACTCTAACCAAAACTTAATTGTAATATAAATACTTTAGTTTATACTAATAATTATTATAATAAATAAAAGAGTATTTATGCAAATGAAGTGCTACTAAAACATTTGTAAATTGAAAATATCTTTTCAAAAATATATCTTTTATATATATATAGATAATCATAAATTATAAGCAATTTACACCACAGTAGGCCTACTGTAAAAATGCTATTTGAGGATTGTATTAGTATTATTATATTTTTTGATAAAAAAAATAAAACTAAGTACTGTATAATTTAAAAATATATAAAAAAAACTATTTTCTGTATAATATAAGGTATATTATATAACTAATAAAATGTTATATTTGAACTGTATATTTGAAATATTGAAATTAGCTATACATTGAATAGTTAAATATTAAAATATTTTATATGTCACGTATAAAAATTGTTTAAAACAAACAAACAAACAAAAAATGATTTTAGATATCAATTTTACGGCTGTTATTAATAAGAACTTGAACTTCAAATATAAAGGGAGTTCAAAGAGATCATTAAATGTCATCGAAATACAGCTATTTATTATTATTATTATTATTTATATTTAAGTTTAAAATCTTGTATTTCTCAATAGATTTTTATTTCTCTCTCTCTCTCTCTCTCTCTCTCTCTCTCTCTCTCGCTGTCTCTGTTGGTCTCAAAACTTGTTAGAAATAAATAGTTTACAAAATGTCTTAATGTCTATATATTGGTTCATTGCCATCTATTGCCATCCCATCACCAGTTATAACCATATGGTTTATATCAGATTGATAAGTATTTACAGTATTATTATTATTATTATTATTATTATTCATTTACAAGTATACATTCACATAATACTGTTTATAGTGTTTCAGTGGCAAAAACATGAAATTCAATTTATAATATAAATTATATATTATATATATATATAATTTTGAAACCATAAAGTGTCAAAAAATAAATTGTGAAACCAATTAATTGACAATTTATAACTTATATACACATATTACAGGTCTACTTAGTTTAATAGTAAAGTCTATTTGCTTATATTTTTTTATAAATAATATTTAATGTTTAGCATAGTATTTAATATTTAAATTCATATTTAATTGCTATATAAATTTACTGTACAAATGAATTTAATTAGCAATCATAGTGTAACCTACATTAACTAGTTTATACTGTATATAATATTATATTTATAATATGAAAAACATATGCATAATTTAAAATAGTTAACTATGACCAACATTTTGCTATCAAAATGCTAATAGTAAACTACTGTTATTTAAAAAATAAAAAATTAAAAAACAATAAAAACAGGAACTTTTTATAGAGTATAAACAGTACAATAAAAAATTTAATATCACATAAATCTACTGTACTGTATATTATGAATATTAATATATATTTATTTTATCAAAGCTGTTAATACTCAGAAAGATGTTTTTTTTTTAATATATAAATATAAATTTATGCTAATCATTGTAAAATCAATTTTAGCATCTCATAAAAAATTATTATTAAATATTGTTTATTAAATTGATTTTTAAATAAAATACAGTAGTAGTAGTAGTAGTTAGTAATCACAATTTTATTATTAAATAATATTGTATTTAGTTTTCTAGACAATTATATTTTTAAATTATTTATATATATAAATATAGTAATGTATAAACATTTATTTGCCATAAATACATATAAACAACTATAAAATCCAATGCAAAACAAATATATGTAAATAATATAAACAATTTTTTATTAATGACAATCGCTATTAATATAATTCCTGGTAAATGTTGTCATAACTTCCCCCATAAAATTGGCCGACAATCTAAATAAACAATTGGCGTATCATTTAATCATTACAACAAATGTCACATAAAATTCATTAACCTTTTAGTTTCTCATAAATTTTGTTTTAACGAATGTCTTATTAAATATTATTTTCTAATAATTTTGTTGTAATTTTCTTATAATTTATTGTTTGGTGAATTGTACAGTAAATTTTTCATTATTCAATAAAGTAAATTGAAATTTATATAAAATAAAAGTCTCTAATGATATAAAAAAAATTTGTTAACTTATAAAAATATAATTATTATATATACAAACTATTATAGCCTCTACTAAATATAGAGTTGTTGTCTAATCAATTTATTAATATATATATAATTAATATATATATATATTTATAACAAAACAATGTTTATGTTATATTGAAAAAATCTAATTATGATATCTAATATAAATACATTTAATGTTTATCTAATTAGGAGACATATTTAATTAGAAAATCTGATCATTTAGTTTTTAGCAATATTAATGATATATATATATACTGTAGTTATATAAACAAAAATGTTTTCAAAGTCCTCAACTCATAATTTTTATTAATATTAATAATTAAATTAATATATTTTTAAGCATTTTGTTAGCAACATTTTCGTTCTTTATATAAACTAAAAATAAATATTAAATTTATATAGACTTCAAAACAATACTTTATGCTATGTTTCGACTAATTTCAGAGGAATTTTTATTATTTATATGATTTATACGCTATATATATAAACAGCCAATTAATAGAAATATTTATTATTTATTATTATATTTATATAAAATATAATTTATACCTGTAGTTATAATTGGATTGTTACTATTGTTTACATCTACACCTATAACTACAGTAGTAATAGTAAAACAAAATTATAAAGTATTTTATAATTAATGTTATTTACTAATATATATATATATATATATATATATAATGTTATTTTTTATACAGTTTAGTTATATTAACTATAGAATTTACAAATTGTAAAAAAAGTTATTACAGATATTATTATAAAATTATCGCATAATAATAATAACTAATAATTATAATAATTAATTATAAATATTTAATTATAAATATTTAATTAATTGGTAATAGTTTAGCGTTTTTATTTTAAACTGAATTTATTATTATTGCTGTATTATATTTGGAGCACTTGTTTGTGTGTTATAGTTTTTTTTTTGAGACGACAAAATCAAATAAAATATTTTAAACATAAAAAAAAGTTTATTTATAGCCAAAAAAGATTTAGTAAATGTTTTGTGAGTCTGTGTTATGAAAAGAGCAAAGAAGTTGAAGAAGAAGACAGAGAAGAAAAATAAGAAGAAGTGGAGAAAAAAAATTGTTTTTAAACTACATTTACAACAGTTTGCGTTAAGTGTGTATATGTTTAGGATGTTTAGTATGTATGTGTATATGTATTATGATATGGTATAGAGTTTTTCATTGAGAGAGAGAGAGAGAGAGAGAAAGAAAGATAGAAAGAGAGAGAGGAGAGTCTATCTATCTTTTCTTAACAAACCCATAGGTTTGGTGAGTGGTGTGTATGTATATGTGTAGAGAACTGGTAGTAAAACTATTTGCTCAATCATTTTCATAGCACAAGGAGTTTTTGTACAAACTATAGAGATATACATACATTGAGTACATATACTGTTTTTTTTTCTCTCCCGAGTCTTGTTTCATACATTTGATATGTAAATGCAATACTAAGACATTATTAATAATAATCAGAATAATAATCATTATTATTATATTTATAATTATACTAATATTCAGATTAATCATATAATCTAAAATCGTTTTTATGTATTGAGTATGTGTTAAAAAAAATATTTTATTTCAACTAATAATATCAATTGTGAATTGTTCGCCAATTTATTAAAATAGTTTTTTAATAGTTTTTTTTTGTAAATGTAAAATAATGGGTTGTTTTTTCTCAATTTTCCGATTTGGCACTTATGTCATCAAAGAGTGTAAGTGTTGTTATTTTTTTTATTTGTTATTATTTTCAGAGACAAAACTATTTTTAATTATAAATATATAATATTAGAAAACATTTCTGAGGATTTTAATTGTCAACTCATATAATAATAATAATAATAATAAATGCTGAAATGTCATAATAATTAAAAGAAATAATTTTTTTAATAAAAATAAATCTAGAAGTTTTAAATTTAACTTTTTTTGTGTTTAATACTAGATTTTTAAAAAATAATTTCTTTACTTTTTTTTTGTTGAAAAACATTAGTCACCAGATATTTAAATATAAAACACTGATTAATATGATATACTGTACTAAAGACTTAGTGATGCAGATAAAAAAAAAATTTAATTTTTAAATATTTATATACAGAATAATAATATTGTATTAATAATAGCAACAAAATTATTGAATTAAATCCAACAGAATTTTCAAATAATTAGTCATAATTTTCATTATATTTTTATTTATAAAAATATTAGCTTTTAAGCTATTATTATATAATAGGATTATTTAAATGTAACCTTTTTTAAAAATTATAAAAAATTATTTGAAGAAATAAATTAAAATATGTCTGGTTTTTGTTTATAAATTTCAACTTAAAAATATATATAAAATTTCATTTTGAATATTTTATTTGATAAAATGTCGTCAAATGTCTTATCTTTTTTAGACATTCATTAAAAATGTTATTTTTATTGAAATGTCAAATATTTTTCTGGTGATAACAATTAGACTCTTAAGGCTATCATAATTTGTGGTAAATTATTATTACTAATAATTTATTAATTGGCAAATATTGAAAAATGGGGGGTCCGTAATAAACACATTCAATAAATAAATATATTCAAATTATTAATTGATATTTTTAATTATATTTGATATAAACAATTTTGTTGTTTATTATGTTGAGATAGTAATAATACTTATGTTTATTAGCATATCATAAGTTTTAACTATAAGTTGTTTATATCATATTTTTCAAAATCAAAAGAGATTTCATTCATATTCATATTTTTTGTTTTAATATTTTTATGATAAAATAAAATTTTTAGACAACATTTTTGCTGCTAAAAACATAACTAAAATAGATTGTAATATTGATATATTTATGATAATAATAATATTGCTGTATATTAAATTTTTGAATATAATATTTTTAATGTTTTAAATTTCAATTGTATATCAATAGCTGAATATATATTATATGATACAATAAATGTTTGGTATATACTATATATCTACTGATATCTACATATTGATCAGTATATAAAACTAACATTAAATAATTTATATTTAACACTTTTTTTCGGTACCCCATTTTGATCGTCTCAACAATGATATCTATATATATTGAAAATTATGTCTAAATATAAATTTTTGAGTGTAAAAGATATTTATAATGTTTTTCATTTGTATTAATAATATCTTATATAACTGTAAAACTTTCGATGTTTACAAAGCATACATAAATTTGCCAAATATTCAAATTTATATAAATATATACTAAATTATATATATTATAAAACAAAATAAGACATAAACAAGATATCAAGTAATAAAGCAAAAATTTTTTTGGCAAATAAAATATGATTTTTTTGTTGATAGAAAACACAAATACCTTACATACTTTAGGAGTTTTTTTTTAAATAATAATCTATGAATTAATGTTTTATATTAAATTGATAAATATATCAAACTATTTATTAATTATTAATAGTCTAAATTAATTTGATTGAAAAATAGTATTCTTTTAAAAAAAAACTTATTTTTATTTATTTTTTTTTTGTGAATACTATCAGCGGATAACCCAAATGCCACTCAAGTAAATATACCGGAGATTAGGAAACACTCGTCGACGCCGTTGACCGTCGAGACGACTTCACTGACCAAACAGCAAAAGGCCGTCAAATCAGTGCACTCGCCGTCAAAAGGCGATCGTCTTCAACGAAGTGGTGGTGACCATCAAAAGGTCGCTACCGATGACATCAATAAAAAGAGTCCTATTATTAATAATAACAATAATAAAGAAAAAGTAAGCAATTGAGTTGAATTGAATTTTAGTTAAAAAGCACTTTTGAAAGCTAAAAATATACACACATACACACATATAATTTATATATATATATATATATACCGGTACCCCAAAAACACACGACCCGGTGCTTGAAATAAAATGATAAACATATTGATGAAAGTGATGCTATAATTTATGAGTGCAGACTGTTATTCAAAATATACTCTGATAAGTGTTGGCTTAAAAATTTTTTTGTTGCTTTTAAAAGTTTCAAAAACTGGTGATGAAAATAGCTTTCAATTATTTATTATTTATTTTCTTTTTAATTATCATTTTTTTATTTAAAAAAAAGTAGTCAACTTTTACACTATTAGATATCTATATAATAATAATAATAATAAATTAGAAACTTATGAAACACATAATGAACGGATGGATAAACATTTTCGGAAATTTGGAAATTTTCAAAAAATTAATTATAATTTATTGTTTTGCAAACACACTTAGTTCTCATAATTTTTTTACCCATCAATTTAAGTACACGAAAATAAAAATTAATTATTTGTTTTTTATCAGTTTTTTTTGTGACAATTTTTAGGCAAAACACAATTTTCAAACAAAAATAATATATTAAATATTAATGAAAAATAATATATTTTAGTACTTAGATGTCATATTTATAATTAAAAAAATATATAACAATTATTAAAATAAACAAATTGCAAATCACTGTTTACAGGATTATTTTTTTAAAAATGTTTTATAGTGATTAATCATTGCATATTTTAATGATAATTAATTTTTTTTTATATTTATCTAATTAAAATTTACACGTGTCTTAGTTATTATTGAAAAATAATAAAACAAAATTTAACTCTCTTATAATTATTTATTATTATTATTATTATTATTATTGATAGCAAATATTTAAAACAACGTTTGAGACCCAAATAGATGCCCCTCCGCCCCATCCATTGGAGGAACGCCTACTGGAGACCGAGGAGATCGAGATAGACACCAATCTATATGCACCCGAAGTAGAGGACGCAGCCATTAAAATACAGGCCGGACTTCGAGGATATTTGGCCAGAAAACAGGTCAAAGAGATAAAAGAGTCGATTAATGGTAAGGAAAATAGATTTTAATATATGTTTGATAATTAAATAATGTATATATAATTATAATATATTTTAATACATTAATTTATTTATTAATATTTTATTTCCTATTATATCATATCGTAGATACATAACAGTTAGTTACTAATATTTTAATGAAGTAATTTATAGTTAATTTATTATAATATATTTTATTAATTTTTTATAAGTGTTTGATACAAAATTTTATTATTACATTTTGCTATTGAATAATATTATTAGAAGAAGTAATTGACAACAAAATATGAGATTAATTTTTCAATTCATTGAAATGTTTGACATTAATCCGATAATATATATACAGTATATTATTTAATATATATATTATTAATTATTGATAAAAACATGTTTAACAACAATTTTAAATAAAATCAAAAAAATTAATAAAAGCATAGAGAAAGCAATAAAACACAAAAAAAGTGAATACAAAATAATTTTTCATTTAGATATTAAATAATTTTTTTTTATATAAATACAAGTTTTAAAAATTTTATTTATAATTTTTTAAATAAAAAAAAACTTTTCATTAGATTTGCCGGTTGTTCCGCCGCCCAAACATTTTGACGATACCGTCACCACCGCCACCACCACCAACACCACCGTTGCCGCCACGACTGATGATAGTCAACCAACACTGAGTCCGTTAAGCGATTTGGCGAAGTGGAAGAAATTGTCGCAACATTTGGAAGAGATTGTCGCCGACGACAATGTGGTCGCTGACAACAATGGCAAACAACAACAACAAGAAGAAGAAAAAACGACAACAACACCAGTGCCGTTGCCGCCACCGCCTCCGCTTCAGTTGTCGCCAAAAAAGTTAGCCGAAAGTGTGATACCATTGAAGGACGACAACGGCAACAAAACTATCGAAACCTATGTCTGCAAAGAAAACATATTGGATGTCGTCGAAGATGATAATAGACAACTGTCAGATCAAACAGTGGTGACACTGTTGAAGGCCGCGGCAGACAAAGCAGTTGTCGACAAAGTGTTTGACGTTTTGATGGCTGAAACAGAGTTTGAAAACATTATTGACATTCAATCGGCAAACGATAGCGGAGTCGATGTGTCCACCGATAGACCGCCGCTGGAAGAGACTAACAATGAACTGTACGATTGTTTCACTCAAGAGTCGCAAGTGTTGGCAGAACTTAATGATATACTCGACAACAATGAGAGAGTGGATCAGCAAAAAAATTTGAACACAAGTCTTAGCAAATCAAAAGCAGCAGAAATTGTATCCGAAAACACTACTCAAGAGATCATAAGAAATTCGTTTCACGAGTTCATCAAAGAGATGACGCGAACGACCGATGAAGAGAAGATCCTAATCGATGACAAACCATTGATTGACACCGAAGTCATACAACAATTATCTGCAGATAACACTAATATTGTTGAGAAGACAACTACGACAACAACAAAGAGAACAACTGAGGAAAGGAAAACTGATTCAACTATTTTTGAAGAACATGTCGTTCAGTCGATATTCGACGAAGAAATGATCAAAAGTCAGGCACAGACACAGATATTTGCCATCGAGTTATTCAAGAATGACTTGACCGACGAACAGCTCCAGAAGGTTACTACGATTACGGAACCGGAAGAAAATAAGAAGAATATTGAGGACAGAATCTATAAGACTAGTGTCGACGAGTTTGTGATAAAACCAGTGGCCGATGAATTGCAGTCACCGGTGATGCCAACGACAGCAGAACTGGTTGATCAACAAACTGAAGTCGACTCAGAGCCGGAAACATCGCAATCAGTGACGTTAGAAACGGAACAAAAGATCGACGTAATAGTCGTAAGTGAAAGCCGTAAACATTCTGTGGATAGTCTTCTCGGTGGTGGAGATGGAATCGATGACAATCTAGAACTACAGTCACAAGAAATGGTGGAAAACGAAACGATTGAAGTAATGCCACTCATGTCGCCTATTATACAGATTGAAGAACAAAACGGTAGAATTCTTGATGAAGAAGAGGCTGCCATCAGAATACAGGCAGCCTTTCGAGGATTTCAGATCCGAAGATCGATGTCGAGGGAAGCGTCGCCCAATCGCAACAATAGTAATCACAACCACAACAACACCGATGAAGTGGAGATCAATAACTTTGATGACAATGATAGCCAATTAATATATAATGCTATTCATACAGCTATACCATATCAGACAACTGATCCAATTATAGTAGATAATAGTAATGATGAATCGCAAGTGCCTGTCAGCGATCAATTGGAAGAATCGTTGGAACAGCTGGAAGACCAATTGATGCAACAATTAATCTCAGACATCGAACAAGACAAGAGTGAACCGCCGATAAGTGTCGTCAGTCAGGAAACTACAGATCTTTTGATAGATACGTCTGAACTGTCGGCACCGTTACTCTTGCAGCGTATCCAACAATCAATGATAGCCACGGATTCGCCGTCGCCGACACCATCACCGGAAGCTATAGCCATTGAGGCCCAAACACTTCCAACAGTTAATTATGCAGCCATTGAAGTCATTCATGATGTAAACGATGAGATTATTGCCATAGAAGACAAACAGGTGACTGAAGACAAGCCACTAATTGAAAAGTCCGATACTATTATTGCTGATCTGTTGGCATCTAATGCTGAATCAAATCAAAAGACTGTAGACATCATCAATAGTAATGATAGTCAACCGCAACAACCAAACCAAAAGACTGAATTCTCTAATGAAATACTCGATATTAATCAACAATTGATTGAAACTCAAGAAAATAAAACAATTTTAACTGATTTACTACAGAATGATAACGAATTGATATCAGAATCTGTCGAACAGATCGTCCAAAACACTGTCGAACCACTGATTCAACTATCTGTTGATCAGACAATCGAAGAACCAGTTGTCCAAAATGTTGAGCTATTAATTGAACAGACAGTTGTTAATACAGTTGAAGAACCTATTATCCAAACCATTGAACAGACGGTTGAAGAACCTATTGTTCAAAGCATTGAACAGACTGTTGAAGAACCTGTTGTTCAAAGTATTGAACAGACGGTTGAAGAACCTATTGTTCAAACCATTGAAAAGACTGTTGAAGAATCTGTTGTCCAAACCAATGAACAGACGGTTGAAGAATCTGTTGTCCAAATCACTGAACAAACAGATGAAGAACCTATAATCCAAATAATTGAATCATCATTATCCACAACAACGACAAACTCTTCTGAATCATCGCATGAATCGCCAGCAACTGAAAAGTTGTTACCACTTACTATATCTAAGCCAGAATTCGAGTCATTCGTTGAGCCGCCGACACCATCGGATGAAATAATTTCGGTGTCGACTACACTGTCCTCGTCGTCGACAGAGTCATCGCATCAACAAAATCAAGAATCAAACAATCCTTTGCCTGTGAGTAACATCGATGACAGCCGTAAACCAAAATCAGGATCATTGAAGAAACCTAAACCTATTTTGAAAGAAACTGATCCTAATATTCAGTCTCTTATTAATGAAGAGGTAATTAGTGTCTTATTGTCTAATAATAATAATTACTATTAACTGATAAAAATTAATCTTAACTTTTCTTTACATCAGATGCACTCAACATCTGAAGAGATATCGAGTCCAGATGACGACAATCCCGAGTTTGTCGGTTTGGGTCCCAATACGCCAATACCGGTGCGCGCCTCCAGTCCCAACCCGTTTGGCAAAAAGCGCCGGAGGGGTAAAAAGGGAGGCAATAGAAAGTGATTTCAATAGATGCCTTCAAACGACACACAAAATTTTATCATATCTTATAACACATTTAACTAATTTTTTTTGAGAAATATTTATGATAATATATTCAAAAATCAAATATATATATATTATCATAGTTTAAATCATATTTAATAATAATTTTAAAAAATTGTATTTTAAATCTGAAGTTTATTTGTGACACAAAGTATTTATATATATTGATAGCTAATATTTAAAAATATATTATTAAATATCTATAATTTACTAAATAAATAAATCATTATAAATTTAGCAATAAATCATTTAAATAAATAAAAATTATTTTAAGCAATGAATAAATTTTATTTAATAAGATTTTATAACTTATAAAATTATATATTTGTTTATTATTTTAAACTTATAAAGTTATAAATGATTAAAAAAAATTGATTGAAATATGAGTAAACATTTTTTAAATACCAATTATTTACAAACATTAGCAAAATGTTTTTAAACAAGTAATGTTTAATTTTTTTAATCAGTACTTATCATAATAAAAATTTTGTGATAATAAATTATAAATATTAAAAATAAAATAATAACATTTTCACAAATATTATTCAATATAACACTTTATTTATACAGTTATATATAGTACTCAAATATATTATACTCTATTATATAGATGTGTATTATTAATAAATTTTTAAGCAATTAGTCTTTTAAAATTAACGGTAAGTTAATAATTAGAGAAAAAAAAATCATATTTAAGTTTAATATAGAGTCTAAATATTAATAATCTGACCCCTCATTAATAATAGTTAATTTTTAAGTTATATAAAAAATTATTATTATTATTATTATATCAATTAATAACTATTAATATATATATATATTCAAAAATCACTTCTTCTTCTTTTCTTTGACTTAGGTGTGGGTAGTATTTGGTCGGATGTCTTATCTTTACGTTTTTTCGACTTTTTTCGATTCGGTAATCTCGTAGTGATCTCCTCCTCCTCTTCCTTCTCAGTGTTGTCCATGACTTGTGTTTCATCATCTCCCGGATCGACCACTTCATCGATACGATCTTCAGAATAGTTTTGTTTTTTAATATTCTTCGTTTTCTTGTTGTTTTTATTCTTCTTTTTATTCTTGTTATTATTGTTGTCATTGTTGTTGTCGTCGTCGTTGTCATTATTCTTGTTTTTATTCTTGTTTTTATTCTTGTTTTTATTCTTGTTTTTATTATTGTTTTTATTGTTGTTGTCATTATTATTGTCGTTGTTGTCATTGTTGTTGTCGTTTCTGTCATTGTTGTTGTCATTATTCTTGTTATTCTTGTATTTATTCTTCTTTTTATTCTTGTTATTATTGTTGTCGTTGTTGTCATTGTTGTTGTCGTTTCTGTCATTGTTTTTGTCATTATTCTTGTTATTCTTGTTTTTATTCTTGTTATTATTGTTGTCGTCGTTGTCATTATTCTTGTTTTTATTATTGTTTTTATTGTTGTTGTCATTATTATTGTCGTTGTTGTCGTTGTTGTTGTCGTTGTTGTTGTCATTGTTGTTGTCATTGTTGTTGTCGTTGCTGTCATTGTTTTTGTCATTATTCTTGTTATTCTTGTTTTTATTGTTGTTGTCGTTGTTGTTGTTGTTGCCGTCGTTATTGTCATTGTTGTTGTCATTGTTGTTGTCATTGTTGTTGTCATTGTTATTGTCATTGTTGTTGTTTTTGTTGTTGATTTTGTTGTCTTCACGTGAATCACATTTAAACAAATCTCTGGCACTTTTCCATTCGTCGCACTGATTGTTAAATTTAAAGAAAGAAGAAAAAAAATTATTACTATTATTACCTAATCATCCAAAACATACTGAGGGTGTCGGCAGTGGACACAAACTTACACAAAAGGTCAGTGAATCGCTGCACAGCCATCTTCTACGACAATAGACATCACCCCTAAACAGATATACAATATTGTCTGCCATACGAAAGGCCGCCGTCACGTCTTTAGGCCAATAATCTGGTCCTTCCTCGGCATTGACTGTCGACTCATAGTTTAATAAAGTTCTTGTACTGGAATAGGTGTGCACCTGATTGTAATAAACAAACAAATATACAATTATTATTATTTATATAAATTATTTATAACAAAAAAAAAATAATAATTTACAAAATTAAATACTCTATTAAACACAAATATATAAATTATTCATTTTTAATTTTAAAAAATCAATTTTTCCCCAAATTATATTTAATTTATAATATAATTATAGATTGCAAGTACTGTACCTGGTTTTTATCAAAACCATAGACCAAGGGGTTCCTAATGTCTCCATTGTCTATATAAAAAATTATTATTAGTATTAGTATCAATATTTTTTTTTTAGATATATAAATAGTTTAATGTTTAATTTGATAGTATATATATATATATATAAAACAATTATAAAAATGATGAATACAAACGCATTAGTGCTCCAAATTTCAATGAATTTGCCGGTTGTGCCCAAAACTCTTTTTTTCTTCTCCATTGGTTATTATCCGGATACCAGAAAGCAATAGACGGTCCAAACGTGGCAGCCAACCAACCTCTCCTAGTTTTACCTATATATTAATATATATATACCGGTAATATTAATAATTGATTAAATTAATAACCAGTAAAATTCACAAATGCTAAACAAACAAACAAAGACAGTACAGTACAGTACAGTACAGTACCTTCCTGTAGGATGGATACGGCATCGGGACTCTGATTAAATCCGGTCCACGTATCCATAATTTTACCACTTTGCACAATACGTGGATTACTGGGAAAGTCGGCAATTCGCCAGTACTTCTTGTCTCTCCAAACATATATCTGATCCTCCCGTTCCCAGGTTCGGTCGGCGTCGTCTATCTTCAGATTTGAACACAAATCGATTAGTGCCTCAAAATCATTGTCCAATTTTGGCATCGGTTTCGTAGTCTTATTTGTATTCGGCCCAAAACAGCCAAACAGTTCACGATTATGGCCCCAATCGGGACACTAACAGAAATCACATTTTTTAAACATACAATACAATTAAAAAATAAAATAAAACATTTTATCATACATATGATGGCTTTCTATCGTAAAATAACTCTCTATAACAATAGCGTTTGCCTTTAAACAGATATAGCATTTGGTTGGGCATTGAAAAGGCGGCCGTCACTGCCGACGGCAACTTTTCCAAACTATCGTAATGTTTGATGTGTCGATCCTTTTTGGCAAATGTCTCGCCAAGAGTCGTATAGTAATAAACCTTTTTTTTTATTTGAGTTGAAGGGTTAAAAGCAAAATATATTAATTAATTAATTACCGGTAATTAATAAAACAACAACAACAACAACAACAAAATGACTGACCTCATCATTTTTGAGGGCAATCATCATTGGATTAGTAATATTTCTATTATGAAAGGCCGCCTGAAATCCGTAGGCCTCCCACTCGATAAATGTTTTATTTCTTTCAAAAATTTTACGATCAAAATCCCAACTATTATATTGGGTACGAGATTTCGAGTCCTTTACTATTCGTAATATTAAAAAACAAAAATAAAAAATAAAACTACTAATAAATATTTATTAGGCTTACATAGTGTTATGTATTCAAAAATATATCCCCGCTGTGGACCCTCTTTACAAGTCATAACGGCCGCTGAGTTGGTATCAAATGTTGGCCACAAATCTTTGGCGTCACCCGATCGGACCAGTTTACCCGTTTTGTAATTCTCTTTTAAACCTTTAGTTTTTTTTTTTGATAATAATAATAACAAATAGATTGTAAAATTATTAAATTTTTTGTTTCATATGTTAGCAAACCTCTTAACAGGTAATATCGACTGCCCTTAAACAGGTATATATCGTTTCCGTCGAGACTAGAATCAGCCGAATCGATGTCTGGATGTTTACATAGATCTATAAAATCTTTTTCTTTATAAACAATAGTTCCCTCAGGAATCTCATCGTCTTTATCTTTATCTATTGGATCTATTACTGGTTTTTCGGTAAACAGTTGATCAGATCCTTTCTTGGTTTTAAGTGGTTTCTCACTAATAGTTCCCTTATATTTAACATCTCCGCCATCGAAATCCCAAATCTTATATCGATGATTGTGAAACATTACTAAACTGTATTCATCTGTAATTTTTAAATATAATAATTATATATATATATAGTTAAATCTAATTCGACAGACAATTAAAATGATAGGAAATATCTTTATTTGATTATAAATTTGTTTTTTTTTATTTAATAAACAAAAAACCTTTAATTTTGATAGTAAATAGTGCATCGCTTCCCGGTATAAATCCTTTCCATATTTTGGTTGCAATTGATTTATGTTTAGATAGTTTTGCTTTCCAGGCATCGATTTTTCTCTTTGGAAAGTCGTTAAGTAACCAAATATTTGTGCCCCTAATCAGCCAAACTGTCTTATTGTTTGGCCCTAAAAACGAGTGCTCTATTAGAGGATTTTCGCACACCTTGTTTACCTCTTCCTCATAATTATTGGTTTCGCAACTGAATGCATCTTTAATAGTGCCACTCTCTGGACACTGGGGGAGAGGGGGAGGGGACAAATTAGACGGGTCAGTTAATTAATAAAAAAATAATGTAGTTTTTCATGTTTTTTTAGTCCATCACAAAAAATATGATATATTTATATATACATAATCTGGTGGATCCAAATAGAGTTTTGATGCGTCTAACGGGCGCTGACACCAGACATCTTCGCGAACAAAATAGTAGACACCATCGGGTACTACAATATTAGGGGTTTTTTTTAAATATATATCAACAAAAAAAATAAAAATTATTTTTAGGCTATTATTTTTTTTTAGTTGAATATATACAGTATATTATTAACGTAATAAAATTCATTTCAATAATAATAATAATAAAAACAAAATTATTATTACCTCTAAAAATATTTGTTATCTTATCGGATAATTTCATATGAAAATTTCTAATAGGCATCGAATAGTTGCTAAATATAAACTGGTAATTTTCTAGCTTAAAATTTTGGATCTTAACAAAAAAAAATATATATATAGTATATCATTAAATAGTTAATAATCATTAAATAGTTAATAATCATTAAATAGTTAATAATCATTAAATAGTTAATAATCATTAAATAGTAGTTTTGAAAAACAATGTGTAAAATTATTTTATCAATTATAAGAAAAAACAAAACATAATAATAATAATAATAATAATAATAATAATAATTTCCGTACAGTACTTCCTCTGACCCGCAAAAACTTTAGTTCCGATGTCGAGTCAGTCGACTGTACGACAAAACCATAGGTTCCGTCCTTTCTCGACGGATAATCCATTTCGATTTCATCTGTGGTCGTAGTGGTAGAATTGTCTTCGCTTTTATTGTCTTCGATGGTTTCACCAGTGGATTCTTCTGTTGTTCTATAGTTATCAGATGATGGCTCAGAAGACATTGTCGATGATTGTTCATCAGTTGGTTTATTATTAGTCCATTTCCATCCTTTGGTATAATTTCTTTTTTCTGATGAAGTTTTTTAAAAAAAAATTATAACCAATAATACAGCCCATAATTTTTTGAATGAAAAGAACTAAACAATATAAATACCCTAATATTAAAAAAATAAATTAAATAAATTTATGTTAATTTATGTTTGTTTTTAAGATTTTTTTAATAAAAATATTTATACATTGGATGTATCGGCAAAATCGGACGGATTCTGTAACAAAATAAATAAATAAATAAGAAACAAAAAATTAGTATAACTTAGCTAATAATTAAACAATGGTTTGGATCAGATTCAGAAGATTTAGGTGGAAAAGACAGCAAAAAAAAACTGAATTACAGTATTATTTAACTTCATATTTAGTCTTTATATTTTTGTTCACACCTTAAGCTGATAATCACCAATGAGTTGGTATGTCTTTCCATTATCATAGCTTTTGTTGACATAAACAATCTCATAGACGGATCCGTCGCCGACAATCTGTAACATTTTATCTGATTTCCCTTCATCTTCCAAATCATCACCATCTTTGTCACCACCATTACTACTACTACTACTACTACTACTGTTACTTACGTATGTATCACTTTTGGTAAATAATTTCTTGTAAGCACCACGAACCAGATCGAAGAATGTCATCGAACCTTCGACCAGTCCATTGGTGATAAATGACCTCAACATGACGTCGTTGTTTTTGTTTTTGGTCACAATCATCGATTCGGTAACGGTATCGTACGGTACGGCTAAATAGCTTTTGGTGATATGTCTGTTATAAAAATTGCTGAATACGCCACTCTTTACGTGCTTACGACGGTTTGGTACAACCAATTGGTTGTCCTCATTATATCTTTGACTATCATCTTCTATCACTTGTTTTCGTTTTTTCACTTCTTTTCTACCACTGATGACATCAATAACCAGTGCTAACAATATAGTCGCCAATATTAATAGGAAAATACATTTTTTATCTATGATTCGCATGACTTGTGTGTTCAGTCATTTATTTTTATTTTTTTATATAAATTATTTACTTTCATAATAATGTAATTTTATTTTTTAATTACTTAAATTTAATTTATTATATATGAACAGTCAATACTATATTGTACTGTATAGTGTATACTGTAATTAATTAATTAAAAAAATGACAGACAATTATATACGGCATATAATTTTTTTATATAAAAAATAATAATAATATGATTTTTAGATATAATTAATAATTGAATATAAATTAATATAATATTGTAATATCACTTATTTTAAAATAATAATAATAATAACTGACTAAAAATAAGTTATTTTAAAAAAATTGTTTTAAATAGTCTAAGATATATATGAATAGATATAAATATATTATACAAATATATACAAATTTTCAATACATTTTAATTGTAAATTTATATATGACTATTGTCGGGAAAAAATCAATTGTAAAAATAAAGTCAATTTTTTTAGTTATGTTTGACAAACAAAAAAATTGTATTAAAATAATAATAATAATAAAATTAATCTAAATATACAGTGTATATATATATCCAGGTCAGTTATTCTCTCTCTCTCTCTCTCTCTCTCTCTCTCTCTCTCTAATTGAATGACCTGGTTTCAAAACTTTTTTTTGTATGAATAACTTTACACCAGTGTTTAAAGTTTACAAATACATTATATAACAATTAAAAACCAGATTAACTTTGACGCCATCAGATGTCATACCAATGCCCGCAAACATTTCAGTAACATATTATTATTGTATTATTTTTTACACACATATACAGTATAATGTATACTGTATTATACCCATTGGTAAAGTAATCCCTAAATTTAAATCATACTACTACTACAAGTTAGCCCTATTTTCATAGCAAAAATTGACAATAATTTAAGTAATGGTGTTTTCCATATATTTCTATAATATAATAAATTCTAGTCATAGCGCTTGACTAGTGTATGCCATTACACGCAGACATAGTATGGTTGGCAATACATTGTGTGTTTGTATATGTTTTTAGTCACCCCTTAATATTGTTTAGACTAAACTATCAATTGAAACATGGATTCAACCATTGAATGTATTTCATAGCCAATGGTTGTATTGGTTATGCAATTGTGGCGCTAAAGTAAACCCAAAATCTTTACATTCATTCACTAAACTATTCAAATGCATACCAAACACATTCACACACACACTGTGTCTATAGTATAGCTATAGTGTGTGAGCCAATAGTTATGAGCCAAACTCAACCTACCAGTGCTATTGACATACCATTGCGCTGTCTTTTCCTCTAAACACTGCACATCACTGTTGGTTTGAGCGCTCAATTGATTGAACGCTTGAAAATGTGGTGTCAGTCGTAAAGATGGCGTCAATACAACTAACAGTCAGTTTGTGCGCCAAATTATAATCAATCGGTTTATTATTATTAGTATTATTATTGACTGGCCATCGGGTTTATCGGACAGTTATGTTTGGGACAGTTAGTTGTTGACAGTGTGTTTCTAGTGTGTGTGTCTGTACGGACAGTGTATACGCGAACTCAAATGAATAGTATTATTAACAGCGAATCGATGGTCGCCGCCGATGCCGACAATGGCCACCGCGACAACTGCTCGCCACCGTCGCCACCATCTGTACCGATCGGTTTCCGTGCGTTTGCCAGCTGTAGCCAAGGCGGTCGCAAGTATATGGAGGACTGCTACGACATAAAGTACCAGTTCAACAGCCAAAACGAGCTCCAGTACGTCTATTTGGCCATTTTTGACGGTCACGGCGGCGATGTGGCCGCCAAGTATGCCAAACAGCATTTGTGTCACAATATTATCCGTCAGCGAGACTTCTGGTCCGAGAGTGACGACCAGATACTTAAAGCCATTCAAAAGGGTTTTATTCAAACCCATTACGATATGAGGAAAGAAGTCCGTATGTATTCAATTCAATGGACATGAATTTGATCCATCATTTTGTTTACTAATAATGATTAAACACTATTGCAGACATACATACAAATACCAAACATATCATACATACATACCGTATCCATGCAATGAAAAACAAATATTTTTTCAAATATGATATTAATTTATGATTATTATTATCATTATATTAATACAATTATCATATATAATATGTTATAATATTTATTTATTGTTTTGTCATTTTTTCTATACATATATTTATTTTAGTTATCGCATTGAATATTATTATTTGTCACTATTTGATCCCATTTTTTCTTGTTTTTGTTGTATTATACTATTATACAATCTCAGAGTAATTGTGTATAAACTTTGTTGTCTACTTTTTTTTTTGTTGACAAATCAAATTGATAGATAAATTAAGTGTTAATTGTTTTAGTTAAACACATAAACAGAAAGAGAGAGAGAGAGACAATGTCTTTGTTTTGATTTCAATGGTAAACATTGGCTTTTTGCAGATCATGTGTTTCTCAATGCTTGTTATTATTGATAGATAATCAAACAAACTTTTGTGTCACACAATGTTATTGTATTTGTGATATATATCATATTGATTGATACAGTATTATGTTTATGTCTATAGTATTGCCTATAATTTCAATATTGGCGCTCATATACACACAAAAAATAACTATTTTTTCAAACATATTTGTCACCAGTTATTGACTTGAATCTACTGTACATTCAGCTTAACTTATAAGTTATAATAATATATTTTATAGAAAAATTTTACTGATTATAATAATTATTATTTAAAAAAAATTAAGTTTAAGTAATAAAAAAATTGCATTTTGTATGAAACTCCCCGATAACTCTATTTTGTTAAAATAAAATTAATGATATTTTAATATAGTTTCACTCTAGTTATGATAAATTAGTTTTAATTATAATTATATATATATTATGTGATATATATTTCACTGAGAAAAAAGTTATTTAATTAAAAATTAATTTATCAATTGAATTAATATATTATATAGCAATTATGTAAATTTTTATATAGAGTTTATAACCAAACCCACAATGAAAGAGAGCTTAACTAACATACAGTACTGTATATAATGTATTAATATTAGAAAATATAATATATTATTGATTGAAATGAAACATAAAAATTATATAATGTTTTATTAGTTATAGCAGTGCTTTGTGTGTGTGCTTTGGCTTACAATGACTGTACAGTTTGAGTCATGATTTTGTTGCCCACACTTACTATCAAACTGTTTGGTTATGTCTGCAAAAAATATTTGTAGTGTACTCTAGTACTGGTATAGCCTATAGAGGGCAATATATATAGATTTGTGTTAACTGCTAGCCTTTACTGAATGCCGGTTAACATAATTATTAATAGTTAATAATTGGCAACTGTTTAAACATGTATTTGAAAGCGGTTGCCAATAGTGACGGCACATTAATTAGGGTTTGCTATATAATACACTGTAAATGTATTATTGAGTGCAACGAACCAATCGATTCATTGCTTTTTCTAAGACATTAAATACCATTAAAAAAAATATGTATTGAAGAGAGTAATAGACGACTGCTTTAAACATTGTTTTAAAGGCACTCATAATTGGCTGTACTTTATGTGTGTATAGAGAAAGAGAGATTCAAAAACGATTATATAATATAATAACTTTTTATTATATAATATTTATTATTAATGTGTTTTTTCTAAACTATTGAATCATATAATCGATAATATATTAAATATATGAAAGATAACCAACAAAATTAGTTTTTTCAAACTATATCTAATAAATGATATTTTATTTATTATTTATTGAACGCATGTATGCATTGATGGCATTTGGTTTGATTGGCGATTACATCGATTGCAATATAAATATATCTATGAGATTAATAATGTATTTGTTTAGCGCTTTAATAGTTGGCAATAATATGATAAAGCAAATAGCAATGACAATAATATATTTTTATTTATTTTATTACATAATTTAAATTGTTTCATTGCATATGTCATTATGAAATAATTCAATACTAGATTTTTATATTGTATTGTTGTTGACCCCTATTATAATAAATTGCAATATAAGTTGAATAATATCGGGAACTTGTTTTACAAGTTTTATTATTATTTATTTTTTATTTATTTTTTTTGTTATTTAAACAAAACATTTTTTGAATAGCATTTTTTGGGATTGAATTATTTATTGCAATATTTCTAAATAAATTGATTGACATTATCAAAAATTTAAAAAAAAATTATACATGCATAATTTTAATAATTAAATTTGAAATAGATGATTGAATATAAATTTATAATACAGTGTATAGCTTTCACTAAATTTCAATCATGTATTTTATTTTAACAAAATAAATAAATATAATGGTAGAAATTCTGCGGGCATATATTCATTATTTATATATTTATAAACTAAATAGTAATATAAATTAATATATAATTATTAGTCTATTAAAAAAAATATCTGTATTATCGGTACAAATATTTCATTATAGGTTAATATCGGTATAGATTATATCATGCAATTGAATTAACATTATTTGTATAACACAATTAGTTATCGATTGACTACTATTTGATTATTATTTAGAAAAGTTTTATTATTTTAATTGATAAATAATCATAGATAATATATATAATCTTATCTATCATCATATGGCTTATTACCACATCTATCTATAATAATTTAATAACTAATTGATAAATTTATGGCAATAGTTAACTATAATAAATTAATAGTTTTGTTTGAATAACTTTTTAATTGAATTTTAATTATTTGTTTAGTGAATTGGCCGAAAACGGGTTCTGGTTTGCCATCGACATCGGGCACCACAGCTTCCATAGTGTTCATAATGAACGGTAAATACTATACGGGTCATGTGGGCGACTCACGTATTGTGTTGGGTCGCAAACACGAGGCATCCGGTAAATGGATGTCCTGTTCGTTGACCAGAGATCACAAGCCAGAGTCGCCGCGCGAAAGGAGGCGCATAGAGGCCGCCGGTGGCCAAGTGATGAACAAGTCGGGTGTCGATCGGGTTGTCTGGAATCGACCCAAATTGGGCCATAAGGGCCCTATCAGACGGAGCACTAGTTTTGATCAGATCCCATTCCTTGCAGTCGCACGATCTCTCGGTATTTTTGTTTATTTTTTTCTATAAAAACATGTAATTATTATTTTTGTTTAATTTGCAGGTGATTTGTGGTCATTTAACTCGGAGCTCAACACGTTTATCGTTAGTCCAGAACCAGACGTCAAATGTATACCGATTGATGGTAACGATATGTGTTTAGTATTGGCCAGCGATGGCCTCTGGAATATGATGAACACACAGACAGCTGTCAAAGTGATTCAAGAGGTCGAAGAAGACCAGTACAGTCCCGAACTGCTCGAAGCCATCTTCGATGTCGGCACCACTCGATTGAGTCCGTCTCGAGCTTTGGTTCATTTTTGTCTGAATCGATGGTATCAATCAAGGTTTAGGGCCGACAATACTACAGTACTGGCCGTTATGATTGAAGACAATCAAGGAGTTTCACTTAACAAGAATGACCAGAATATGCCAATGATGTCGCTGTTTACTGATAGCGAAGATGAAGAAAGTGATGACGGATACGATGACACACTGGAAGAGATTTACAACAACTATAACAATCAAAAGACTGAAAACAATGAAAATCTTTCAATAAATAAATGTAATGAAAAATCAACCGAATTGTTAACTAATATATTGACGACTACAGGTATTTTGTAATACATTTTTTGTTATTGTTTATGTAATTTGTGATTATTATAATTGTCTCATAGATAAGGACACATCTACCGATACGACAGTTCCTTCAATGACCAGCACTTCTTCCAAATCAACCGAATTATCACCTGATTTATCTAACTGTCCAAAGACTAACATAAACGGCACACAAACGACTGATTTGACGCCATTTACTAATACGACTAATACTAAGCCAAATATTGAATCATTTAGTAGTGATTTATCAACTGATAGCTCAAGTCTACCAACTAATGACACCACAACAACAACAACAACCACCACTAGTATGTGTGAGTCGACAAACATTGTTGACGACACTGACGGTCAAAGTAGTGAGTCTTCACGAGACAGCGGCACCTCATCGCCACCGACGCCAACAATGATTGCCGGTGTATGCGATGAGTTGACCGATGAAGAATATGCAGCTCTTCCATCACTAGTGAATCTCTCACAAAACGAATGGGAACTCTATGTAGTTATTGATCCCAAAAATTTAAGTGTCGACGACAACTCACCATACGATTTGAACAATGTTTCTGCAATTAGTGATGAAAATAGTTGTTTAGTGGAAACGCAGTCTTCGTTAGCAAACATTAACAAAGTTATTGGAGATAATACTCCATTAAATCAATATTTAATTAACAAAACGGGTTTAACGACACCTCATTATTCGTCGCAACAAACAATGAATAACAGTAACTCTTTCGACAACAACAATACCAGCTCTAAGTATTGGCCAAATGCTAGTAATTATATTCAAATGACTTCACTTAAACCGCGAACTTCACTGCCATTAAGTTATGCGGATAATCATCTTCAGACGTCGTCACCGATGATATCGAATGGTCGCAACAGTAACAGCAGCAGTAGTAGTAGTACATACTCATCATTGATGATATCGCCAAACATCGATAGAAATTTATGCATTTTTGGTGCTATCAATGGTACCGATGATACTAACGATACGGAAAATAGTTTCCAAAAGTTGTCTAAATTGTTCTCTCAAAGCAATAATATTAGTCAAGAAATTAAAATTGATAATAAATTATGTGCTAAGAAAAACACTAATATTTTTCGACACAGAAGACTATTGAGACGTTTAACTATTGACAACAATAGCTCCACAAAATTGCGGTCACAGTCGGCATCCAGAAGTAGTCTCAAACGCAAGAGATGTTCGTCCGACTACTCGCCGCCGTCTAAGCACTTGAGGTCTTCCCTATGGACTCGACCGGTTGTATCCAAAGAGCAGATCATGAAAATGAGTTTTACTCGAAGTCTCAAACAGTTGGCCGTCGGCCGACTCACCCGATCCAGACTTAGACCAATGAAAATGTTGAAAACGTGTTCAGCAAAGAAATGATTTTTATTATAACTGCTATTTTATAATTTGGTGCTTATTATTCACTGAAAACAAAACAAAAAAAAATCAATTGTAAATTGTATTAATAGATTTATTTTATTTTAGCAAAATTTATGACAGATTATAGTTTAGACTTTATATTAAACTATTAGAATTGTATTTATTATGATATACTCTAGAATTTTTCTATTAATTTCTTTAGTTTTTTTTACTTTAAAACTTAGGTTATAATTGATTTATTTGTCTTACAATTTACTTTATTTATCAAATTGAAAGCGAGGGAAAATGTGATGTTTTTTGAGCCATTTTTTGCGATTATGAAAATTAAAGCACAAAATTATATATAAATATATAATTAACGTAATTGAGATATTTATTTTTAAAAAATTGACGATAAATTTTTTATATGGATTAAAATAAAATAATTACCAACTTAACTTAAATATATATATAAATTTTATATATATATATATTTATGTATTGATTACAACACATAAGTTGTATAAAAGTGAAGCTAAATTTTAATCAATTATCTGTGATTTGCATTAAGACATATAAATATAATGTATAAATTCATTTTATCATTCATTAATATATATATATCTATATATATATATTAAATGAAATCAACTAATCTAAGACTTAATTTTAAAAAAATATTATTTTCATTACTATTATCATTAAATATTTTTCAGTGAAATATAGGTTCATTTATATGAATTGAAATGTATTAGGAGTTTATTTTACATTTAATTTATACTTAGAAAAATGTTTTTTTTATGTATACATATTTATTTCACTTCAAGTAACAGTTATTTATTTTTTTATGTAAATTCTATAAATTTTAAGTAATTAATTAATTTTGTTAGTCAACTAACAAATAGATTTTTTTTTAATCTAAAATACTAATACAATTTAACGAGTTTTATTCAAAATAAAAAAAATAATTGGCTTTTATTTTTAACAAATATTTAATATTACATTACAAATTTAACATTATTAATTTAATACAACTTAAAATGCCAAATATATGTCAATATTAAAATTATACCTATATATATAAACACACAATAATAATAATAATGATTTTTAATAGGTTTGTATAAAATTGGATGACATAATAAACGACAGATTACTATATATATTATAAATATATTAAATATTTAATTTGTAATGAATTAATTAATAATCAATATATAAATAAATAATTTAGATATTTAACTATATCAATTTTATTTTAATCAATGACTGTTGTATATAATTATTTACTTTTTCAAAATTTATTGACAAAAATTTCTATAACATAATAAAATTGAGATATTAATGATTAAAATTGTATACAAATAACAACATTTGCCAAAATGACCATGGTCATTATTATCAATTAGTTTTGATATAGATTGTATGTATCAATCAAAAAATATGTATTTTTAGGATGATTGACATAAAAAAAATAATAAAGCAATAAAATAAAATAAATATTTAGTAATTATAAAAAAACATTTTATTTATTGAATTAGATTTTCAATTCGTGATTAATTTAATTTATCTGCAAAAGACTACAAATTAGTATAAAATAAAGTATGCCTTCGGCTATAATATGATAACAATCAAAATCAATGTATTTTATGGTCCAAATTGCAAAACCAATGGGTAGTTCACCGGAATATCTTTCAATAGTTGTCATAAACTTTAACTTTTGCTTAAGTGTCCAAAACTGCGATATCTTTACAGATCTACACTTTATGGCCATTAAAATACTCGTAGAGTTTAACTTTTTTATAGAAACTGAAAGCCTATTATTATTAATTAATTAATTAATGAGAATTTATGTTCAAATATGATATATTAAATCTATTACTAAACAATTATACACAACAAAACTGTTATAATTATGTAAGAAAATTGAAATCTACCTTTTGATGCAAAATAGCTGCAAATGGTTGGGTAATCAATGAAAATATATTGAAATTCAATAATAATGAAAATAATTGGACGCTTTTATTCATCGGTAAGAATATTAGTACATAGATTTCAAACAACAATTGCTGTATATATGAGGCAAAACAGGTAGCAATATATTTACGCCAATATTTGTTATAATATATGACATCATCATTAGTATTGTTAAGTTTGTCGAGTATTTGATCCAATTGTAGTCGACATTCAACTAACAATAATTTTGTCATCGATTGTGAATGTTTTGATGATAGTCGACAAAAGTTTTTATTCAATATTTCCAGATCTTTGTGAATCTCGTCGTACCTTCTGGACGAACAATCTTCGGGTCGTCACCATAACCATCGATTCCATTGAACAGCGAACACACTTTGAGTGCGACATCAAAGTTGATCTGTTCTTTCTGTGGCAGTCGTTGCCGAAGACCTACCGTTTCGTTGATTTCAATTTATTTTACAGACATCACTACCAAATCGATGACTTTTCCACTGATAATCTCTTGATTTTGTTTAACTTAAAATTATTTTTTGTTGTCTATATGTAAATCACATTAAAAAATATTTTTTGTGAACAAATAATAAATAAAAAATCGATATTATTTAATGATTATCTTTATTATAACTTTTTTTGTTTCTTTTTATTAAAATAAATAATGAAATATTTGCATAATTATTTTTATATAACTTAAAAGTATTTTTTTAGTATAAGACAGTGCATTGTCTTAATGAATAGTTTATGAATTATTTTATGTAATTGTTTATTATGTTATTATGTTAATACAATTGCTTATATTTGACTGATTATTGCTAAATTAAAATATTAAAATACAATAATATAAACAAAATTAAAAAGACAATTTTATTAAATATTCAGTATATTTTAAATATTTCTATTTTTATGTTCATATAATTTAATTAACCTAATTTATTTAATTAAATAATGTTTGTGCAATATAATTAAATTAAATCGATGTCATAATTTTCAAATTAATTTGATAAATGTTTTGTTTTTAATGAAAAATATAAATATAAAAATATAAAACAATATTTCAATTGTCATTTTCCTTGATTGCAATAATATTATTATTCTTTATGAAAAAAACTGAATAATTTAAAATAAATTTTATTATATTGAATATAGTATTATCAAAATAATTAAGTGTATTGTATTCATTGATTAATTTTAATTATTTTGTAAAAGACCACAAATAAGCATAAAATAAAGTATGCCTACGACTACTATATGATAATAGCACTCAAAATCTAATAATTTTATGGTCATAATTGAGAAACCAATGGGTAGTCCACCGGAATATCTTTCAATAGTTATCATAAACTTTAACTTTTGCTTAAATGTCCAAAACTGCGATATCTTTACAGATCTACACTTTCTGGTCATTAAAATACTCGTAGAGTTTAGCTTTTTATAGAAACTGAAAGCCTATTATTAAATTAAATGTAAATTTATGTTCAAATATGATATATACTATTATTAAATTATTTATTAAACATTAATATTACATAAACAATAATTATGTAAGAAAATTGAAATCTACCTTTTGATGCAAAATAGCTGCAAATAGGGACAGTTGGGTAATCAATGCAAACACATTGAAGTTTAATAATAATGAAAATAATTGAACGCTTTTATTCATCGGTAGAAATAATAGTACATAGACTTCAAATAATAAATGCGGTAAATATAAGACAAAACAAATAGCAATATATTTACACCAATATTTGTTATAATATATGACATCATTATTAGTATCGTTAAGTTTGTCGAGTATTTGATCCAATTGTTGTCGACATTCAGCTAACAATGAGTTTGTCATCGATGGTGAATGTTTTGATGATAGTCGACAAATGTTTTTATTTAATATTTCCAGATCTTTGTGAATCTGGTCGTACCTTAACTTTAGATAATAGCAAACAATATCGAAACAACCGGGCAATAGACCCATATTGGAGGTGATATAAAAAGTCCAAATTCCTTCATAGATTGTCCAAAAAATACCGAAAAATAACAACTCATACCATGTCTTGCAATTGATGGCAAATGTTATGAACACAGATATTAAGTACGGGATGAGGACACTAATGCACGACATGACACCCCTTTTGTATGTTTGTTTCATTTTATTTCTCAACTTTTTTGCCGCATTAATGTCTACAAGTTTGGTCTGTCGGGCGGAAATCAATCCATTTATATACTTGAATGGCAAACACCATCGCTTATTGATTGTATCGGAAGTAATATTCAGAGTGCAGTACGCGGGAACAATTGCAACGGCCGCGTAAAACACAACCTGATGGGCAATATATGGCTTTCCCCACCAGGGCTTGAAGTCACCCAACCAGAGGAATATTGGCGAACCTTCCGGCAGAAAGCACTCGAGAGTTGTTCGCAAAAGATTTGAATATAGAAATGTCAATACAATTGCATTATATATACGATGTCGACGAACAGTCTTGTGGTCCACACCGTAATCTTCGACTCCATTGAACAGCGAACACACTTTGAGTGCGACATCAAAGTTGATCTGTTCTTCCTGTGGCAGTCGTTGCCGAAGACCTACCGTTTCGTTGATTTCAATTTCTTTTACAGACATCACTGACAAATCGGTGACTATTCCACTGATAATCTATTGATTTTGTTTTACTTAAATTTATTTTTTTCAATAAGTAAATCACATTTTTAAAAAAAATATTTATTGTCAATTTGCAAATGATTGAACAGTATTTGTTTGCAGTTAAATATTAAGTTTTATGATTTAATTTAAAATAAATTTATTTTTATCATTATTTTATCATAAAATTCATATTATAATAATTTCCAAACATTGAAATTAGTAAAATGTATTTTATAATTGCATTAAAATTTTTTGAACAAATTGTAATAATAGTAATTATTTTCTTAATGAGATAATTTTCTTATATAAACTTTGGAAATATATAATTGTATCATTTGAGTACTAATTATTATTGCCTTAAATATGATTTTAAATTAAATTGATATAATAGTGTTATTATGTTTTGATTTTTATGAAATTTTCTATAATACAGTAACTATTATATAAATTTCTATATAACAGCACAAAAAATATTATATTAAAACTTTTCTACTGTTATATCATAGTTAGATATTTATATATAACAGTTATTATATAAATTGCATAAAATCAAAACATAATTGCACAATTATTTCAACAACAAAAAACACAATTAAAATTTAAAATTGCAAGAATATTCTGTAATTAATGATGTTTTTTATTTAAAAAAAATCGTAACTGTCATGACTATGATTAATGTAAATCATAAATACTACATTAAATATAGTAATAAATAAGCATTTATCTAAAAATTTATAGACATAATTAATGAAAAAAATTGTATTCAAATTAATGTCAATATTAATATCGTATAAATTGCTATATTTATCCAATAATATTATTCTTTACTACAAAAATAAACTAAAATTTATATAATTTCTTATTATATATTATATAAAAGGAATTATAATTTAATTTTATAATATAATCAGTAAAATTAAAATCATTTTGTAAAAAATACTATAGAAAATAAACAAAAATATATTAATATCCAATCTTTGTGAATATAATTAAATCTAAGTAATGCCATAATTATCAAAATGATATGACAAATATTTTAGATTAATGCAAAATATAAATATTGAAAAACAAATTAAAATCTATTTTAAGTGTTAGTAATAAATAGTTTAGTTAAATTTATTGAATTGAAATTTATTTTTAAATATTTCAATAACTTTTTTTTGTGCAAAATATTTGTTTTAATACTATTTATAGTAATAATATAAAATATACAATATTTTCCGTTTCTAACGATGAAAAGAGGGAAAATAAAGTATTTTCAGTGAAAAATTGAAGAGATTTTATAAGGAAATTTCCATCACTGGGAAAGTTTCTCGAATTCTACTTATAAGAGACTAATGTATTCATAGGTTTAGTTATTTTGCAAAAGTCCGCAAATAAGTATAAAATAAAGTATGCCTTCGACTACTATATGATAATAGCATTCAAAATCTATTAATTTTATCGTCCAAATTGAGAAACCAATGGGTAGTCCACCGGAATATCTTTCAATAGATGTCATAAATTTTAACTTTTGTTTCAAAGTCCAAGTCTGCGATGTTTTCAATGATCTATACTTTTTAGTCATTAAAATACTCGTAGAGTTTAGCTTTATATATACACTGTAAGCCTATTAAACAAAATATTAAACAAAAATACATGTTTATAATATTATAAAATTAACTTTCAAAATAAGATCTACCTTTTGATGCAAAATAGCTGCAAATAGGGACAGTTGGGTAATCAATGCAAATATATTGAAATTCAATAATAATGAAAATAATTGGACGCTTTTATTCATCGGTAAGAATATTAGTACATAGATTTCAAATAACAATTGCGGTAAATATGAGACAAAACTAGTAGCTATATATTTACACCAATATTTGTTATAATATATGACATCATTATTAGTATCGTTAAGTTTGTCGAGTATTTGATCCGATTGTAGTCGACATTCAGCTAATAATGAATTTGTCATCGATTGTGAATGTTTTGATGATAGTCGACAAAAATTTTTATTTAATATTTCCAGATCTTTGTGAATCTGGTCGTACCTTAACTTTAGATAATAGCAAACAATATCGAAACAACCGGGCAATAGACCCATATTGGAGGTGATATAAAAAGACCAAATACTCTCATATATTGTCCAGAAAATACCGAAAAACGCCAACTCGTACCACGTCTTGCAATAGATTATAAATGATATGAGAACTGATAGCGAGTACGGAAAGAGGACACTAATACACGACACTATACTCTGTCTGAATGTTTGTTTCATTTTTTTTCTTAACTTTTTTACATCAGCGATGTCCACAAGTTTGGCCTCTCGGGCGGAAATCAATCCATTTATATACTTAAATGGCAAACACCATCGCTTATTGATTGTATCAGAAGTAATATTTAATGTACAATATGCGGGAATAATTGCAACGGCCGCGTAAAACACAACCTGATGAGCAATATATGGCTTTCCCCACCAGGGCTTGAAGTCACCCAACCAGAGGAATATCGGCGAACCTTCCGGCAGAAAGCACTCCACTGTTGTTCGCATAAGATTTGAATAAAGAAATGTCAATACAATTGCATTATATATACGATGTCGAAGAATAGTCTTGTGGTCCACACCGTAACCTTCGACCCCATTAAACAGCGAACACTTTTTGAGTGCGACATCAAAGTTGATCTGTTCTTCCTGTGGCAGTCGTTGCCGAAGACCTACCGTTTCGTTGATTTCGATCTCTTTTACAGACATCACAACCAAATCGATGACTATTCCACTGATAATCTATTGATTTTGTTTAATCTATTGATTTTTGTCTCGAAAAAATCGATGACATTTTATGAATCACATGTATTAATAATTGTCTGCAATATTAATTTTTATGAAATAATTTAAATTAATTTATATTATTTTTTTATAATTTATTTATACTATAAATCACATTTGATATTTTTATAGTGAATAAATAAAAATTAGAAAAATCAATTTATTTAATGACCCATTTTATTATATGATAAAATTTTATACTATTTTTGTAATTAGCCAAATTTTGTAATTAGCAAAATGTATTTTATAATTGCACAGACATATTGCACCAATTGTAATAATAACAATAATAATAATTGTTTTAATGAGATATTTTTTTTATTATATAAATTTAGAAAATAATTGTATCATCAGAGCACTGGTGATTATTATTGCTGAATGTTTTAAATAAGATTGTAATATAAATATTTTTACATAATAATTGTTGTACTATTATAAAAAGTATTTATGAATCAGGCTATTATATAAATAATAATAAAAATGAAAACATATTAACACAATTATATGAAAAAAACACAATATTTCAAGAATATTCTGTATAATTAATGTTGTTGTTGTTGTTTTTATTTTAAAAACTCATGATTTATTATAATAATCACTGAGATTAATGTAAATCTTAAATTTTGTATCAAATATTATAACAATAATAAACATTAATTTAAAAATTGTAGACAGTATTAATATTATTATTAATAATAATATATCCAAATTAATGTCAATATCAATGTCATACAATTATTATATATATATTATGAATGTTTAAAAAATATTGTATCAACTTAGCATACAATGATTAATAGATCATTATATGTTTCAACAATTTTTTTTATAGATTATTAATATTTTATAATAGTTATGAAAAAAATAAACAATGATTTTTAAATGATTAATTAAGTGAATAATACTATTGTTCAGTATATCACAACAATTTTTATAAGTTACTTAAAAAAACTTATTGAATAATATAAACATTGATAAGAAAATAGTAATATAACTTAAATAAAGTAAAATACATTTTAATTAAATATAAGACATAATATTTTGAAATGTTAATACAGTATATATATATATATATATAATTTATATATTATTTATGCATACATTCATATTTTTAAATAATTTATTGTGTAAACTAAATTTATTTTTATTCATTAATAATACTGTAGTAATAATAATAAAACTAATAAAAAATAACATAAAAAACAATATAAACTTTTTTTTTAACTTAAAATATAGATAATAATAAATTATATCCAATAAATTCAAAACTCAATTATAAAAATTATAAATTATCTAAAAGTGTGTAAATTTATAAATTCACAATAGATTTACTTACTATTACTAAACAAAAATTATTAGATTTTTATTCCCGAGGGTTAGGTTCGGTTAGTTTACCGAAAAAAAATATTGATAATGTCTAACCATATCATCAATTATAAACGGTTCCCATCAGTGATACTTACTTTCACTTTCTTTTTTTAAGACAACTTTCTTAAGACACGTCTATCTAAGCCATTGGCTGCACATCTATCTGACGTTACTTTCATACCCACCAGTGCTCTCTCTTTCTCTCTCTCTCTCTCTCTCTCTCTCTCTCTCTCTCTCTCTCTCATACTCTCTCACATACAGACAGTGAAAGTATTAAAATAAAGTAAATATCAATAATATTGTAAAAAGCAATAAACAGTATTTGTTGTGACGTTTAAACACATGTTTTCACTCATCTATAATATTCAAGACATTCAATAAAATATATGATATAATAATAATTAAATATTATTAATAAAACTAATAATAAAAAAAAAGTTATTAATAAGTAAATAAAAATTCAATTCAATTATACAGTAGTGTTGTTATCCAATGAGTGTCAAACACATTGATTGATTGATAATTAATTAATTTTTTGTTTAATTTTTCGGTCAAATAACCAATCAATCAATCAATCAATCAGTTTAAATGATTAGTTAGTTATAGCAAACTATCGACAACTAAACAAAAAATGAGACACAACTTCATTGTATTGGTATCGGTGTCTGTGTTTTGTCTGCTATTGACCGCTAGTCTGTTAGTAGTGGTGGTGGTGTCCACTAGCGATGGTGACCACGAAAACTATTATGAACTGTTGGGCGTCGGCAAGGATGCCGATAATCGGGACATTAGAAAAGCATTCAAACGGTTGGCACTAAGCAAACATCCCGACAAAAACAAGGTATGACCGACAATACGGTTGGGACACAAACATAACACACACCTAATTAGGATGTATTGTCGTAGGCGTGTCCACTCACTTATGGCAATACTTAAGGCTATATTTAAGTTATTACAAAAAAATTATTTTATTATAAATTTATTTTAATTTATTAACTAAAAAAAATAATCAAATTATTTATGAGCATTATGTGAAAAAAAATAATTAGCTAGCACATTTTTTACATTATCATTATAATTTTATACATTTTATATAATACATGTTATCAAACATATATTACAAGTTAGTAATAATTACTTATAATAATTATTATACAATTAATGCATGTACTTGATGATTTATGAGATATTTTTATTAAAAAATAATGAAAAATCATTATATATTGGATAATATTTCTAGATTTTTAACAAAATAAAAAAATATATATTTTTTTAAAAACTTGATCTATCATTAAATTTAATATAAGTTTTTTTTGTTTATTTGTCTATTAATTACAGAGCGATCCTAAAGCTCACGAAAACTTTTTGAAGATAACCCGAGCCTATGAAGTGCTTAAGGTATGACTAATTAAATTGTGTGGATCAGCTGACAATACAATTGTTTATGTTTTCACTTATATTTTATCATTTAAAAAAAAGGATGAAGAGATGCGCAAAAAGTATGACCAGTTTGGCGAAGACGGACTCAAAGACGATTCATCCGGCCATCGCTATCAATACCATTCGTGGAAATACTATAACGAAGATTTCGGTATCTATGATAATGACGAAGAAATTATAACGTTGTCGAAGAGCGACTTCGAGACATCGGTTACCAATAGTCCGTACGTTTGGTTTATTAACTATTATTCGCCGCAATGTTCGCACTGTCATCACTTGGCACCCGATTGGCGCAAATTGGCCAAAGAGTTGGACTCTGTCATACGTATCGGTGCCGTCAACTGCGAAGAAGAGTGGATCCTATGTCGCCAACAAGGCATCCGTTCCTATCCATCGCTTATCTTCTATCCCGAAGTAAGTTAATTGACAGACAATTTATTTTTTTTGTCTACAATTTTAAGGACTGATTTGATATGTCTTTATAATTCAAAATAATAGTCCGACAGTTATGAAGGTAAACGCGAAACACAATCAATGGTTGAATACGTGTTAAATAAATTGCAACCACGGATGACAACTATCGATAGATTCAATTTGAATGCTTTCTATACGCACACCGTTGATGAAGATGATGACGATAATCAATTGAAGACAAAGCCAGCAAATCAATGGTGGCTTTTAATGTTTTGCGTTAATAATAAAGGTAACAATATATACGTTATATAGATAATTGATTTAATATATAATTTATAAACATTTTATTTAACTAATTTGTAATGTAATGTTTTAGACTGTGCTTTTCAAGACACCCAACAAATGGTGGCAATAATGTTGGAGAATGTGGTAGAAGTGGCGCAAGTGTTCTGCGATTCAGATGACAAACAAGTTTGCGATCATTACGGTATTCACGAGTCAAAGATTGCTCTTTTCCAAGACATTTCTGGCGATCATCACAACTATTTCGAGATCGCCAACAGTGACCAATCGGTGGAAGCGAAACAGATATTTAAAGCGGTTCTCGCAAAGTTGCCAAACGTCAAGAAATTGTCGACAAAAGAGTTGCGCACTGTTTGGCACAATTTAGGCACAGATTTGTCTACTGATCCATGGATTGTCGAGTTTACGTTGAGTGATGAGGACAAAGAAGTGAATCAATATGAGACCAAACGATTGGCGGCACTTGTCGGCGACGAAAGTCTTAATGTGGGTAAAGTTTTCTGCGACAGAGAACCACAGGCTTGCTCTCAGTTTTTCATTAGTAAATATCCGACAATCGCTGTACTCAATGCTGGACCAACTTATGAGTTATACCACGGTTTGTGTCTTTTAGTTCTCAAAATTTCTTTCTCTCAAAAAATCTATTTCTAATTGTGGTATAATTTATATTTAATTTTTTAGGTCGAATACTAGCCTTTGATATCGCAAACTTTGCCAAAGAATCACTTTCTAGTCGTTTACAAACATTGGATCCGATTCTGTTTGAAGATAAAGTGCAAAATCCAGTGTCCACTGATAAACCCTGGTTTGTCGACTTTTTTGCACCGGTATGTCGTCTATACACACTATAGTAGTTGGAAATATTTTTTTAATGAATGAATTTTAATTTAATTACCGGTCTGATTGTCTCGTTTATAGTGGTGTCCGCCGTGTATGCGATTGATGCCCGAAATTCGTAAGGCTTCCCGAAGTGCCAATCATTTGGTCAACTTTGGTACCATTGACTGTACTATACATTCGACAATGTGTCGTCAGGTACTAATCAAATGATAATATTTATTTTTTTTTTAAAAAAGTTTTAAAACATAATTGTTATGATTTTTTGGTCGCTATTTTCAGTATAACATCAAATCCTATCCAACAGTACTTCTCTATAACTCATCGATTGCACACCAGTTTCATGGATCTCATTCAGAGCAAGATTTGATTGATTTTATACATGTAAATCAGATAATAATAATATAATTTATATATTTATAAAAAATACCTTGGTTGACCTAAATTTTGGTAATATTTTTTTGTTTTTTTTAGGAGACATTAGTTCCTTCAGTGGTACACTTGACGCCCGAATCATTCAAAGAATCGGTAGACAATAAAAAAGGTAACAGTTTTTGGTTGGTTGACTTTTTTGCGCCCTGGTGTGGCCCGTGTCAGCGATTGGCACCGCAATGGACTAAATTAGCTAAACTACTCAAAGAGGAACCAAACGTAAACGTTGGATCAGTTGACTGTCAGGCGTACGCACAGCTGTGCAGTGATGCCGGTGTTAGCTCTTATCCGACCATTCGTTTGTATCCATCTAAAGACTCGAAATACTATTCAAAAACCCAAAAGTTTAAGTTAGTTTTGTTGAGATTTTTAATATATATAATATTCGTAGTATAAGTATTATAAAATTATTTTTTTTTAATATTTAATAATTTTAGCAAATATAATGGTAATAATAGAGATGCCGAGTCATTGAGAGTTTGGGCCTATAATTTCATACCGAGTACTGTCAAAGAGATCACCAGTGAAGACATGTTCAAAAAGTTAATCAAATCGGACACTGTTTGGCTAATTGACTTTTACGCACCCTGGTGCTCTCATTGTACCTATTTTGCACCTGAATTTGAAGTCATCTCAAAGGTAGTTCACATCCTAAATAATTACTAATAAAACTAATTTTTTAAAATTATTATTTTTAATCAAATTTATTAGAAATTAAAAGGCAAAGTAAAGACTGGCAAAGTTGACTGTCAATCATTTAGACAGTTATGCAGAGATGCCGGCGTTAACGCCTATCCGACACTTAAATTGTATAAAAAATCAGCTAAAGGTGTAGCTATTGATGGCCAGTCAGCTAAAGAAATCATACCTATTGTTGAAGATTTTCTATCAGATGATAATCAAGATGTAAGTTATTATTAATGATTTGATTTTTTAATATTTAGTATTTGTGTCAAAAATTTATATTAATTTAATAATAATTTATTTTTAATTACAGAATATCATACGCGACGAGTTATGACCTGAATTTTTGACTAATAATTGTTTACTTAATTTATTTTTAAAAAATTACAATTTGGATACTATTTTTAATACAATTTTTTAAAAAATGTTTTTAACTGAAAATATTAAAATGCAAGGTGACAATTTTTATTTATAATTTTTGTTGTTGAAAATATTTTAATAAATGATTTAAATTAAAATTACAATCATTAATTATTGTATCAATTGTTTAGATAATTTACATTATATTTAAAATTTGATATAAATTTTAATTTTACAATTATGTGATACTAGCTGTCATATTACTGTAATATATATATATATATATATATATATATATATATATATATATATTGATATAATGTATGCTATTTATATTATTTGTAAAAATCAAATTATTGATAAATATTTCAAGTGATGTAAAAAAATTTTATAAAATAAATATTTTATAACAAATAAACGTATTATAAAAGCAGTGTTAATATCTGTATATAAAATTACCTGTTTGTATGCAAAGTTTGTCCAGATTAAATATTAATATTTATATACCTGTAAAACAGTTAGATATATAATATAAAGAGAGAGAGAGAGAGAGAGAGAGAGAGAGAGAGAGAGAGAGATTTTATTTATACAGAAAAAATTGAGTGCGAAAATTGTTTTGAACAATAATTTAATAATTAATGATATAAAGAGAAACATAAATAAAATGTCATATAAACTGTTTAAAAACAATGTGAAACCAATTAAGAGACACACATTGTTATTGACACTATTGAGGTCAACAAAACAATTCATATGAGAGGAAAATATATATATTTATATATTGAAATAAAATATATCTTAAATACAGTGTATTTTATTTTATATATTGTAGTGAAAGTTGAAATATATAGAGCACTGGCTGTGTTTGCGTCAGTCAATTGTGTTATAATTTTTTTTTATTATTTATTTGATTGCATTACAAACATATGTCTGTTTTTTTAGAAAATAAGAGACGGCTTATTACAGTATTACTAATAATAATAATAATAAATTTTTAAATAACTAATTATATGTGTATATAAGTTATACAAACTAATCAATTTATAATAGAGTACAGTAATATTCAACAACAAAAATTTCAAAAAAAATATATTTTAATTTTCGATACGCTATTTAAGTGTTTAAAAATCATATGTTTTTTTTTATATAAATTATTTGGTGACAAACCCAACCTCACTATCCTATCGTTCCCATAATAACTCATAATAGCATCTCTACTACACTGTTATGCCGCATAACCTATGATATAAATACTGTGAGTTATTATTAGTTATATTATTAAATATAAAAATGCTTTAAGGGTTTTGTATGTTGTATTTGATGTGTTTGTTGTGTTTGGTTCAGTCAATTGACTCAAAAAAAAATCTATGTATGACTTACTGTGTGTTTGTGTAATGCATTCAACCAAATGTGAAACACCAATGGATTGAACACTCAAAATGTATTAATATATTAATATTTGACTTTTACTATACATTCAAAATATATAAGTAATGACTTTTTGAAAATACAATTGAATTAATGAAACATTTTATTTATAAAATAATAATTAATTAATTTCTTAATATAATATAACATATTATATATAGGTTTCAATTGATATATTAAATCATAACAATTGTTTGATATAATTAATATTTATTTTACTCATTTGATTGTGATTATAGTGACTGTGATTTTATTTTGATAACTCATTCATAACAATGTTTTTTAATCTCATCTATTGATCGATTGATTGATTGATTGATTGATTGATATATTTGTTTATCAATTTGTTTGACCCGTTATGTTGTGATCTCTGAATAATGATGACCACCATCACCACCACCACCGATGACTGGTGAAGACCATCAGCAGATTGTGTGTCTTAATTGTGGTGAGATTGAAGCCAAAGATATTTTTGTATAATATATATATGATATGATATATATGAAGACAATAGTGATGTCGTAAATGATAAACAGTGATATCAAGTGATAATTATTTGTGAGACACAAACAAAAGATATGTCCGGACACCGCAAGAGCTCTTCCAATTCGTCGCTGTCGTCATCCAAATGGGATCCGATGGGCGGAACCGTATTGAACAGTCCGTTGCTCGGCTCGCAGCCCAACGGCAAAGACATGAATCAAATGCTTGTGATTGGCGGCGGCGGTGGTGACCATCAATCGGCCGACGAATATACTATAAACTCGGAGACTCAACGATTGCACGACTCGACCGATGTTTGCGATGAACTGTTTGACGATTCATACCATGAGTTCAATTGGCGATTATATAAAGGGATTATCTATTCGTCGCTCAGTTCTGTCTTTTTCTCCCTTTCCTCTGTTATCGTCAAATATCTGGACGTAAGTCAAAACCATATCTACTTATTATAATGATTATTATATTTCAAAATTTCTTATCAAACAAACAAACTAATCATTTTCAATATTATATCAATTGATTGATTGTATTTGGTTTGCAATTAACAGTTTTCACTGAACTTTATTTATAGATAATTATGATAATAAATAGTGAAAATTATAATATAATAGTTTCAATTGTTTTTTTTAAAAAAAACGTATAATTATTGTATTATTAATATTTTTTAATTTGATACCTTAATCAACAATATTTTTGTATGATTATTATCTATTAATCAATCAATGGTATTATAAATTGTATTTATCATCAAATATATCATATAATAGGGTATATATGATATATCTCACTGAAGTAATTAAATAAATACTAGTTTTAATTCCCAAAAATAATTAGTTTTTTTTATGTCTCTGTCTGTCTGTCTGTCTGTGTGTTGACAACAATTCAATAGGAATTTTTCAAGTGATCCGAAAAAACTAATCAAAAAAAATCTTATATTAATCTATTAAAAGCTATTATTATGATTATTATTACTAATAATTTATTAGTATTAAAGTCTATTTATATATATATATCTGTATTATACAGTATAATATACCGGTATATGTGTCCTATCATACAAAATATTGAGTATCTTTAATAAAAAAAAAATTTTAGGTGTAAAAAAAAAGTTAACCACATTTATTGCATTTATTATTGCATGTCATTATTATTATATATATTTTTTTAATTATACATTTTCATCACACAATCCTCTTACACATAATTTTTTTTTGATTATGATTGATTAATTACATGTGTTTTTTGTACTAACTATAAATTATATGTATATTCAATATATCAAATTTGCAATTATAAATTTCAATTATAAAATTTGTGATAATTTATTTTATATAAATTATTCTAAAAATGTAATCAAATTTTATGATTATTTAATCTTATAATTAATGAATATAATTTTTATTATTAGTTTTTTTGTGTAAAATACTAAAATTGATTTATTTTTACAACCATTAAATTGCAATATACATAGTTGTCGATAATGTTTGTATTATTATTAATGAAAAATGTTTTATTTTATCAATAACAAAAAAAACTAAAATTATGATAAATATTAAAAGGGGAAATAAGCTTGAATGTGTCTATGAAAATACAGTTATGTTAATTTATATGAGTGATAAAAATTATCACTACTTTACATCCATTAAACCAAAATGTAAAAACTTGAAGGAAATGTAAATAACTAAAAAAAAATTAAAACAATTATTTTATTTTCATAGGATATCCATATTATATTATTTTATTTTGTATATTGAAAGCAAGGTTTTCTTACCATATTTGCTAATTATAAATATTTGCCAAAAATATTAGTAGTTTTAATCAATTTTTTTATGCTTTATTTGATATTTAAAATAAAAATAATTAGTAATGTGAAAATATTGCCAATTTATTTGAATTATTATGACATTTGACATTTATATAAACGTTTAAATTATTTATCTAGTATATTAAATCAATTTGAGCTATATGCATTTTAATTTTTTAAATAAATAAATATAATTAATTGAGATGACAATAAACATTTTTTAAATTAACAATTTATTTTTTTATTAATATTTTAATTTTTATAATAAACTATTTTATTGAAAATAAATAAAAATCAACAATAAATATCAAACTTTTGGATGCAATTATGATATTAATTATTTATAATATACTTTGTTTGTATATATATATATAAATACAGGACATACACCCGGGAGAGTTGGCTGTATTCCGGTTTGTGGGCATATTATTGCTAACACTTCCGCTAGTCGTCCGCAACGGTAGTAATCCGTTTGGACCGCCAGAGTTGCGACACTTCTTAATACTAAGAGGTATAGCGGGCGCCACTTCGCTATTTCTCCGGTTTTCTGCCTTTCGGTATTTACCGATAGCCGATGCGTCGGTTATTATATTCTCAGTTCCCGTATTTGTCTCATTGTTTGCTTGTATTTTTCTAAAAGTAAGTCAACAGTTATTTAATTGATTAATTAAAACAAATTTAATAATTAAATATTTAATAAAAAATTATATATATATATATTAGGAGTCGTGCGGTATTTTTCAAACGATAACAGTATTCATAACAATGGTCGGTCTGTCGCTGACCACTAAACTTCCTATTATTTTCGGCTCCGACGGCGATATCAATATCAATTCACAATATGTTAACTCATCTATACCTTCGTTGTTGGTCAACATGACTATTACGTCGGACAGTCGTCAAGAATTGTTGGCCACACAGAAAATGCATCACATCTATGGTGTTATGTCGGCACTGTCTTCAACGATATTTGCTTCGTCAGTGTTTATATTTATTAGGAAAGCCAAAGGTTTGTTATTTTTTATCCACAAAAAAAGTGTTGGTTTAAAACATACATATTTTTATTATAACAGGAGCTCATCACTCCATAATTATGTTCAACTTTGGTTGGGTGGCTATCATCGAAACGGTAATTATTACAGCTCTGATGGACGGTTTTTCATCGCCCAAAACTACCAAAGCTTGGTTTTTAATTATATTGTTGGGCATATTCTCATTCTGTGGCCAAATACTGTTGACCCGTTCCCTACAGCTGGAACAGGCGGGTCCAGTATCTGTGGTTAGAGCCGCCACAGACATTGCGCTGGCCTTTGTCTGGCAATTGTGGCTTTTTAACGATATTCCCGATATCTGGTCAATAACTGGTGCCTTTTTGGTCACGGCTTGTATTATAATAACAAGTGTCCGCAAATGGGTGCTCACACTTCCGGAGCACTCAAAATTAAAGTCGAAATTATATTTTTTCCTATACTAGGCATTTATCGAAATATATATATATAATATATACCGTATATATATAGTATAATCTAACTTATTATATATAAATTAAGTGTTTGTTATCATAACTGACCAAATTCAACAAAAAAAAATATTTTCCAAAAATATATTATGAGATTTTTTATTTTCAAATACTAAAATAATACGAAAATATTATTAGCTTTTTTATTTAATAGCCAAAGCATTTACAAATCAATTGCATTTCAAATCCAATAGGTTTTATATTTTTAAAATTTAACATATTTTAGTGCTTACCGTATATACTATTTTTAATTATCTAAATCATTTGAAACAACAAATTTTTAGTATACTTTAATGACAATATTTTATATAAAAAAAGGAAATATAATCTGTTATTATGTTTAATGTATAAAATAATTATATTTAAATATTTATATTGTAATATCATTTAGTGAAACCTATCAAATGTTGAAATTCAATCTACTATTAAAATATATATCGCATTACATGTATGTTTTATTTGGCATTAAAATTGTCATTATTATTATTATTTTGATAGTATTTAATTACAGTCAATATGTCTAAATAGAGATTATTATAATAATTATATGTTTTATTTAAAACATTATACATTCATACATACACACACATAATGAGAGACTTATTATTAAATTAGATGAATAATCAATGAATTTTAACCAAAGTTTTATTGTTTTTTTAAAGTCATTTTTAATTGAAAACATAAATAGTGATGTGATTTTTGATTTGGTATTACAAACATAAATACCAAATTAATTAATGAAATACTATATAAACAAGTGTTGTGTTAACAAAAAAAAATTAAATGAAACAAATGTTGTGATTCTTAATTGTTTATTAAAAAAAATAATAATAATTATGTTATTATAATTTATTACTATTAATGATTAATAATAATAATTTTTATTATATCAATGTTCATAATCTTAATGTATTTTATGTTGAAAATTGGATTATTTATGAATTATTTCAAATACATTGTTATTTATTAAATTTTTTTTAAAAAAAATACTATGTTTTAAACTCTTATTTATATGTAATAGTAATATATTAAAAAATTAAATTGTATTAATTTCATGATAATAATAATAATACTCGATTATAATTATAATTAGTTATATATTTAAAGAAAAACTGTTAATAAAATTAAAAAAATTATTTTTAAAAAAAAACAACATTATCAATTTGAAAATTTTATGAATTATTTATTAAGTTACTTATTTTAAATTATTAAAAGTATTACTGTAGTAGTTGTTATATTAGTTGTAATAATAATATAAATAATAAATTAATAAAATGTCAATTAATCATCAGTGAAAAACAGTTGTCTATTCATTATTTTCATTTTTATTTATTGTTGAATACTTTAATTAAATTGTAATTAATTTTCAATAAATTATTTATACACTCATAAAATTGTTGATTCACTGTACATCAGTGAAATCGATTGAAATTCATTAATATTCATAATTATTGATTTTAAATATAAATCGACACAAAATAACAAAAATTGTTAATTCATTTAATTGTGAAATTAAATTAAATTTAGATTCAATGTGTTTTGTTGAGTTTTTTTTAAACAAAAATTCAGTAATTAATAAAAATTTATAATTGAAATTTTATTTTAATTGAAAAGTACAGGTATTTTTTCCTATTAATTAATATTTCTAAGAATTTTTGCAAAAATATATATTTTCTATTTAAACAGTGGACTTATGTTGAAATATTATTTAGTATATAAGTTGCAAACTATATAACTATTTCACTTTTATTTCTATAGTTGTATTTTGTTTGTATATATTCAGTAAAACACAAAAATATGTCAAAAAATATTGAAAATCAGAAAACTATTGACCACATTGTCATCCGAGGCGATCCCTATACGAGAGGCTATAGTTATGGACAACAACTAAAAGATAGGATCCTAAAGAATCTGCAATTTTATAAACAAAGATATGTTATGCTTGACTGGACACAAGTGGAAACGTTTGTTAACAATAATTATGTAAAAGCTTTGAAACGATATTATCCGTCCGGTCTGAACGAAATGAAAGGTATGGCCGATGGAGCTCAGGTATCCATCGAGGATATCATTGTGTTAAATGCCAGATACGAATTGATGCGCTGGAATCGGGATCTGATTCGGACACAATCGGACAACAAATCGCCGACCAATGATATATCTGAGCTAACAATGCAAAAACAATTGCCCCCCGAATGTACATCGGCTATGTGTTTGTCGAAAGCCACCAAAAGCGGACACATCCTGATGGGTATCAATTGGGATCAAAACAAGCGTATGCTCAACGATGATATGGTGGTACTGTTGGAAGTACATCCCGATCCCAGCGAACATATGGCGCCGTTTTATATGCTTACAGAAGTCGGACAATTAGGCAGATATGGTATCAACGCTAATGGATTGGGTTATTATTTTATTTTATTTTTAAAACAAAAAAAACTTTATAATTAATGTAAAATTATTTAATAACAATTAGCCATAACTGGAATGAGTCTATTCTCAAGTGATGACTTCTTTGGCAAAGACAGTCCAAAAGGTTATTTACCGATAGGTCTATTGAGACGACTGTTTATTGAATCACCTAATCTTTCAGTGGGTTTAAAACGACTAATCGGTGCGCCCAGACATGTGTCGGTCAACATGACTGTGGCTTCGGCTGACGGATTGGCCATCAATCTGGAGATGACTCCCACCAAATACTTTGTCACTTATCCATCAAAGAAAACTGATTCTCTGACTCACTGTAATCTCTTTAAGTCGAAATCGTTTTTTGCCGACTCGTCGGTCGACGACACCTATCATTGTGGATCATCACTGGTCAGAGACCATCAAATGCAGCGACAATTGCTCGACAAATGGGGAACAATTGACGAAACAAGTTTTACTGATTTATTCAAAGATCACGTTTCGTTTCCCGACAGTGTATGCGCTCACATACCTGTGCCGGGAAGGGAAGATCTGTCGACATATCCCAATATGTGTACTGTTGCTAATATAGTGATGAATTTGACCACAAAAACTGTACGCATCTGTAGAGCTAATCCGTGTTGCGGATTGTTTCAAGAGTATAGGCTTTAAAAAAAATCAATTGAAATATTTTATTAAAATTATTTTTATAATATATTTTAAAAACAACAATTTATCATATTTTGACAGTTTATAACAAAGATATAATAAATAATAAAATTAAAAAAAATAATATTAATTGTATAATTGTTTACTTATATATATTTTTTAATACAACATGAGTCAACAGTATACCAAAATAATACAATAATTAAAAAAAATACTTAATAAGTAATAAATAATTTTAAAGCTTAACATCTGGTTTGATAATAACCTTATTATCAAAAAAATATATTATCAAAGTTACAATCGATTTAACAGAAATATTACTAATTTATAAAAATATATATATATATAATGTTTATTTAGTCATAAAACATAATTTTTGCCTAATTTTTGAGTCTTTCGGTAACGAAATAATCCATTTGCGGACCGAAGACATTAGCACTGATAACATGACCAGCAGTGCACCCAATACTGACCACTTGTCGGGTATTTCCTTGAATATTACTATTTGAAACACAAAGGCATAGATAACCTGTTTTTTTTAATAAATAAAGATAATGATTAATAATAAAATACAGTTTCAGAGTATTATAAAAAGCTTATTAATTAATTATAATAATACCTCAGAACTGGCCCTAACTATAGACACCAAACCAGCCTCTTCTGATTGAAGCGCTTTCGTCAACAATAACTGTCCGTAAAACGAGAAGATAGCGACCAAACACATTAACCACGAATTGGCATTAATGGCCTCAATATTGTCGGGCAGTTTGAAGTTGTTTGTCAACAATGAGATCATCGCTGTCTCGGTTATGGCGACCCACGAAAAGTTAAACAAAATTACCGAATGATGTAAACTTTTGAGCTAATGATTAAAACGATACAAATTAGATCCACCGAAAAAAACAAATACTTAAATATGATTTTTTGAAATAAATATCAATATTTGATACCTTTCTGACCAACACGTAAACCGATGCACCAATAAGTGTAGCGCCAATACTGTAGGCCAGTCCTATTAGTTGACTGTTACCACTGTTGACAGCGGACTTTACTACCGAACTGTAAACATTATCCGAGTCATCAAATATGATGGCAGCCTTCGATGTCAATGTAATACCGATTACTGTAATCAATAGGGCAAAGATGTGGAACAAACCGAACGATTCTTTGAGAAATATTCGGGCAAAGATGAAGACAAATACCGGCATCGACAGTACAATTACCGTAGCGTTGGCAATGGACATGTAATGCAGGGCACTGTACCGACAGTATAGACTGGTAGCACCGGCCAGTCCGCGTACAATAAGCCACAGACGCGAATTGGACGGACCAAATGGATTGCTGTTGATCTCCAACAGTACAGGTATTGTAAATAATAGTATACCTGAAAATTGATTAGTAATTGATTTTTTTTATTTAATAATAATTTGTAAATCAATAGGAAATTCTTATTATTTTAAAAATAAATATTTATAAATACCAGTAAATCTAAAGAAAGCCATTTGAGCCGGTTGTACATCAGTAACATATTTGACGATAACTGTGGTCACCGAGAAAAACAGTGCCGAAAGTATTGTCAATGTAATGCCTTTCAATGCTTGAGACCAGTGTTTGTTTTGATTGACAATATTGACATTATTATAATTATTAGTATTGTTTTCTTCACATTTGGTGTTACCGTTTTTGTTGGTCCCATCAATGGGATCATCAAAAACAGTAACCGGATTATCGATTCCTTGTGTATAAAGAATATCGTCATCCGATTCATCGTTAGGACACAACTCTTTAGTACTGAAGCTTTCGTGTATACCAAATGTAATACTAATTTTAGTTTATTTTTAAAAATTTTTAAAAAACATCAATTAAATCTTGAATAATAATACATGAATATAATTTTTTAAATATATAAATTTCTATTTCATATTATTTCAACTTTTTTTTCAAATACATACGGAATTTCTAAACGATTATATTCCGGTAATATATTAATATTATCCATTGATACACATATTTTATCTTGATTATGCATTATTATTATTAAATAATAATTTTCAGCAAATATATTGAATAATAAATATATAATTTTAAAAAAATATAATATCCAAGAATATGCGTACAATAATATTAAAGTATAGCTAATATTAAAACAATAAAACTTTTAAAAATAAAATTTTTTCTGTCATATATGCGTTTTTAAATATATATATATATATATATATATAGCAAAAAAAATAATTATAAAATAATAGTACAATAATAGATCCACACAAAGAAATATTATTAATAACAACAAAAAAATCACATTAATTTTTGTGAATATAGACTAAAATCATTGCACACTTTAAAAAAAATCAATTGTCGAAACATTTGTCTAATAAATTAGATATGAATGACGACAATACTGGCATAAAAATTATAAATATTTATCAATGTTTATAAACATATATATATATATATATATATAAATTTATATATATGAGATAGATATACACATTAATTATACAGAGTGTATATGTATATACAGTATATATATATATATATTTTATGAACGAAAAATAGTTATTAGTATAAAATTCTGTAATTCTGTAATCAATTATATCGATTTTTAATACTGTATTTATAAACCTGTGAGACATTTATACTGTCATAATAACAAAAGTAATAAATTAATTAAAAAAAAAATATAGCTTAAAAAAAATTCAATGTTAATACCCGGAAAATTAGTACTTAAAGTCCACATTTTATATATATATAAATTTTAAATTGAAATTGAAATCAAATAATTTGTTTTTCAAAACTAAATATAGCATATAATTCTATGTAATTATAATTTTAATAAAAAATTTTTATTACAAAAACAGATTGAGTACATTTTTAGTAAAATAATATCTACATCATAAGTTATGATTCACAATATTTAAATTAAATTATTTAATATATACAAAAAATACTATAAATTGATGTAATATTATATAAATTATATATATATACAGTATAAGTTATATAGCTTTCAATATAAAGTACTAAATAATAAAAGTAAAAACTAAAAAAAAAAATATTAATTCAATACAGATATCAATGTTGTTATTGTAATGTATAATATCGTACTGTACTATAATATATCAAATAAAACATGTGTACTTAAAGATAGTTGTACAGTACTTAAATAAAATTGTAACCTTGGTTAATCGATTTTTTTTGCAATAATTTGGTTTTAAATAATGCAAATAATTTTTTTTATTTAATATATTATATCTACAATAAATCGATTGTTTAAATATTATACAGCATATTAAAAAAATGTAAATTCATTTTATCAGTTATATTTAATATTTATTTTATGTTAATATGATATATATAATACATACACTATAATAATATAATAATAGATGAGCTAACAATCATAATTAACAAACTTAACAATCAATATTTTTAAAATAATTTTTAGCAATTTTAGGATATAATTAAAATATAAAACTATTCCCTAAAATAAATAGGACAACTATTTATAATCATATTAGGCATATTTAGAGATGGGTAAATAGAAAGTTTATAATAAATTTCCCTGAAAAAGTTTCTAGAAAATTTCTCACTTTCTATAGAAATTTAACTTTATTGTTATACTATTTGGATGCCCATATCTATAGCTATTGGAAGTAATATAAATATATTAATGAAACATAATAACTGTACATATAGTATAATATTATACAAAATGGAATACCTATATAAATAATTATAATTATTTAATAATTAAAATAATAATAATATTTAATTATTACTTATAATAACAATTATTACAAGATAACAAATATCGATAGAATAAAATAAACCATAGATCCCATGGGATCCCATAGATAGAAATTTATTTTAGAAACTTTCAAGAAATTTCTCTTTTTTGTCAACACTAGTCATATTATAATCCTTGATGTTAGTGGATAAAAAATTTACATAAATGCCTAATTTTTTTGAATCACAAAAAACAACATTTAAAAATACAATTATAATATATTATTTAATATAACAGTAAAAACATACCAATGATTATAACAAACTGATAAATTTAAAATTATATATATATATTAAATTAACAAAACTATACAATAATAAATATTAAACAAAAAAATATTTATATTGTAATTAATTATTTGATAGCATTAAATTTCATATATTACAAAAAGTACACTGAAATTTTAGTATATATATAAAAAATAACAAATTTAATAGTGATTTAAAAATAAACAAAAAAAGGTTAATGTAGAAATACATAAAATTAAATTATTAATTTTTATACTAACAAACTTATTAAATTATTTACAATTACAATGCAATATTCAATCTTGGTTAAGCAACAATAATATTAAATTAGTAATAAAATTACCTGAATATTAAATAAGTATTAATAACACAAACTATTATATTTAATATAAAATATATAATAGCATAAACATAATAATGTAAAATGTTTTTAAATATAAATAAAGATATGAATGTATTTTTATGATTTTATCGAAAATAAAGTTTTAGTAAAAATATTAAATTTATATTAAACATTCTATTATTGATTATTAAATCAATCGAAATGAATAAATATAATTTTACTAAAAAAATAAATAATTTTGTTTTAAATTAAATTATTTTTTATAAACTCAATTTTGTATAGAAGTTCATATGTTTTGATTTAATAGTGATAATAATATTACTAATACTAATAAATATAAATTAATTAAGACAATAAACCATAATATTATATAATAGGATAATAATGCAAAATATTAGCAATAAAATTATTCTTGATTGTTGTTATTTAACTATATTAGAAACAATTGCAAAACAATAAGTAAATTTCTAACTAAAATTCAATTGATATTTTTAATCCGTTTGTTACTAATACTATTTTATTTTTAATTTTATGGTTAATAAGGTTATAAAGATTTTTCTAAACAATGATTAGTTAGAATTACAATTTTTTTATTAATAATCATATTTTATTACTGTATTTAGTAAAAAAAAACATTACAAAACATTTTTTTAGAAATATTTTTTAAGTGCATTTTAAAAATAGTAAAACGTGAGAGATATTTTTAATTTTTACAGCTAAAAAATTTATAATATGAAAAATTACAGTAAATTATAAAATATATTTCTATAAATAACTGTAATAAGCCAATTGCATGCATATATTATATGAGATGTCACAATAAAAACAAATATTGATATAAATTAAACGCAACATTTACTCCTACAGTAGACTTCAATATAATGTCAAAATATAATTTTAAAAAGTAAGTAATATAATTTAGTATTATTTATATTTATATATATAAAGTTATGATAATAAAAAATAATAATAATATTTTTTATTATAAATATTTATTCATAATATAAAATATATTATATTAGAGAGAGAGAGAGAGAGAGAGAGAGAGAGAGAGAGAGAGAGAGAGAGAGAGAGAGAGAGAGAGAGAGACTATTCAAATAGATTTGTAGAATAGAAAATCTAATAAAATATATTTTATAACTGTATTATTATTATTATTATTATTTTACATACAATGATAACCTCTAGAGACCCCTAATCGTAGTGTTATATTTTTTGGTGTCAAATAAAAGTCATTGCAAAGTACTGCACATTATATATATATAACATAGCGTTTGTTAACACAAACAGAATATCGATTTAGTTATACCCATAAAAAAAACTACACATGAATTTATGTTTAAAAATAAACAACAAATGTGTTTGACTTTGTATTTGTTGAAACAAATTGTATTTTGTTAGTAATTCTAGTAATAGTAATTATAATAGTATTAATTATTACAGAATATTCTATAATAATATTATTTAAAAATACTGTACATATTTTTGTCTTTTTCTATTTTATTAAATTTTTAGCATTTTTTGCCTAACTATTCTGTAAGTATTCAATTATGTTTAATACTATATTTATTTATTTATTTATCACATGTTTGCATGTTTTATACAAGTAATAATAATAATAATTAATATTTAATAAATATTAAATTATTAATAATTATTAATAATAATAATAAATTACAATAATATTTGGGTAATAATAATATTATTATTAAAATATCGTGAAATATTTAATCATTCAGTGAACTACATTACAACATATTATAGAAACAATATATTGTTATTTCTAATTAGCAGTAAATGTAGAAAATTTGATTTTTTTTGAACACAAAATACTGTATAGAAATAATATATTATACAACTATTTTGACAATTTAATGCTAATATTTTTTTAAACAAAAATTATTACCTGTAATAAAAAAATCTACAAACAAACAATCTTTTAATGATTTGTTATATTTTAATTTAATATTAACAAAACAATAATTTATTACAACTAATTATTTTTGAATTGTCATTCAGCTTTTATTTTATTTTTTAGATAATAGGATATATACAGGTATTAATGCAAAAAAACATTACATTTATTTTTCATTAAATATTTCTCAACAGGTTATTGCAATTTGTTTGATATACAACCGATTACAACGATATGTCAAAACCGGTAATTTTTGTGATCGGAGGGCCCGGATCTGGCAAAGGGACCCAATGCGACAAAATTGTTAAAAAGTAAAACCAATTTATTTTATCATATCATTCATTAATTATTAATAATAATTATTAATTTATAATCAATACATAACTTCTATATATATATAGATATGGTTTCACTCATCTATCGACCGGTGATCTGATTCGTGCAGAAATCAAATCGGGATCCGATTTGGGAAAACAGGTCAATGAAATCGTAAAGACTGGACAACTTGTGGCAAACGATATCGTACTATCACTGCTCAAGACTGCCATCAACAAAGAATCCGCAAAATCCAATGGATTTCTTATTGATGGCTATCCTCGAGAAGTAAACTAAAGAAAAATTATTAATTGATTATCAAATTCTTAAAATTGTTTGATTGTTTGCATATATTATTATTATTATTAAAATAGAGAGATCAGGCCATCAGTTTTGAACGGGACGTCACTCCCTGTGATATGGTTTTGTATTTTGATTGCAGCGATGAAGAGATGACCAAACGATTGTTGTCCAGAGGACAGACCAGTGGCCGATCCGATGACAATGCGGACACAATACGCGATCGTTTGAAAACATTTCACAAACACAGTCAACCGGTAGTCGACTATTTGGGTAAAAAAGTGCGAAAAATTAGTGCCCAGAATAGAGATCCCGAAGATATATTCAAAGAAGTATCGAAAGCAATAGATTCGTTGCCGAAAAAGTCTTAGTGTTTTTTTTTGGTGTTTAAAAAAATGATATCAAAAAAAACTAAGTCATTAAATAAAGTTATTATTAAATATATCTAAAATATAACTAAATTTTGTTTTGTTTTTTTGACGACAATATGTGATCTCATTTGATTGATTGATTGATTGACTAACACTACCACTAATATTATATATTTGAATTAGATTTTTGTTTTATGGCTATTAAATCAAAATTATACAAAAATAATTATAATCACAATAATAATAATATACCGGTATATACATTACAATTTAATATTTAATATACAATATATGATAATTAAATAAATAAATAAATACTTATAATATAATATAAATTCATAATTTAAATAATTTAATTTTTAAGTTAATAAAAATAACAATAATAATTAAATAATTGCTTTTTTGTGATTAATAATTTTCTAAAATAAATAAATAATTATATTTAAATTGTTTAATCTAATTATTATTTAATAAAGAAAATAAAACAATTTTATCATTAAAAAAAATATAACAAAATATTTTTCATAACAATAATATTATAATTACTAGAAATTTTTTAAATTAAAATATCTATTGAATATCAGGTCATTAATTAATTAATTAATTAAATGAAAGTATTGCCTGTAATGGGTATCGAACTCGGGCTCTGACTTTTGCATCAATAATATTGAAAAATTTTTTGTTAAAAAATATCGTTATTTATTGTTTCGAAAAGTATTTTATATATTATTTTGAAAATTCCATAACAAATAACATCTGATTTTTATCTTCAGAAAGTATTGTTCAGTTTGAAGACAACTATAACAACAACAACAACAACAATGACAACGACATCGACGACAGTATCGCCAGTAATGATGGTATCATCGAGTGGTGCGATAAAGAAATCCCGAATCGAGATATTTGTCGATCTGAACGGCCATCTGATGACAATCGGCTTCAATAATCGGTCCACGGATTCGGGCGTCGAGTTGTGTGATGTCATCGATAAGATTAGACAAACGCTTAGCTTAAATAAGTTTAATCTGAAGACACATCAGTTTGAGGTAATGGATCCAAACAACAACAACAGATTATTTTTAACATATCATATATTTTTTACATCTAATTAAATCTCTTGTCTTTTTCAAAGGTTTTCAATGAAACAGACAAACAATTTGTCAGACTTCGGACAAAACGGACACTTGTGGACAATGGTTCGCGTATTAGAGCCGTCAGTAAAGTGAAACAACCGCAACAACAACGTCGAGAGATAGCCGCTGGCATTGGCGGCAGCAAAGCGTTCAAATGTGCGGTCGAATTGGTGGACACAAACAGCAACTATCAGTTTGAGATTAGCGCCGATTACTGTAACAGCAATTATCATAAATTGGCTCTCATTAAGTCCCGATGTCGACAGTTTGTTGACCAACACTGCGAAAGCCAAAACGTCCGCAAAAATTTAAAACTTGAGGTCAGTATTTCATTTGAAAGACTTTACCGGTAGTTTGACCGCAACGGTAATAGTTATCACTTTATTATATATATATATTTATTGATGGTTTTCAGGTATACGATGGAAGACTACAAAAATATCTTGAATTAAGTTTCAAAAAAAATAGTCAACTCGGCGGCAATGAGGCCAAAGTTCGGGCCACTATTACTAACCAAATCGATGATCGCCGTAGTAATAGTAGAAGATCATTGAACACGTCTGACATCAAGAACGAAGATACCGTTGTCGACGGCAACCGGAAAATGGTATCATTGGACTCAAAGTTAGTCTCATTCATATCGATGTTGGATACTATTAACTATCCGTCCATCGATTGGAAACTCTTTGCCCAAAATATGGTTACATTTGGTTATATTTATTTCGATGAAAACGAATGCAAAAACTTTTTTCAGTTTCTAACTGAAGAATACTATCATTTACTAAATCGTGTGGATATTAGCGACGATGAAAAGTACTTTATTTGGCCGCTATTTAAAGTGTTTAACGAATTTGATTTGAAACCATCGATGTCGACAACTTTTGTGGCACAACAACAACAACAAGTTTGTGACAATAAGTCAAAGTCATTGTCGACTCATGATCTTCAGTCAATTGTTAAGAAATACATTACTAATGAATTTGAACGAGTCTTCAAACCGCTCAATGAGATGACTATTAGTGATGATAAATATGTGTCTGAATCGACATCAGATGATGTGTCCAATGAGTCAAAAGATGATAATTTAGGCGAAGAGGTGAACACTAGTGTCGATCAAGAGGTTAGTGATGATTGACAATATAGTAGCTGTAAATATATACCTGTTTATCATATTTGTAATATTTTTTATTTGTTGTTGAAAAATATGTATATTTAGAAACTTAAACAATACTTTACTAATGTATAGAAAAAGTAATATTTTTTAATTATACCATTTTTTAAAAATTTATTTAATTGTCTTTTTCTATCTTAAAATTTTGTCAAATATTTTTTTGGCACTTTTTTCTGTAATTTTTTTTTATTGAAATTCAAGCGAAAAAAAAGCAATAAACAAAAGTTAGATATACTGTACTGTAATTTTAAAAAACTATAGGTGCAGTCAATATATCATAAAATTTATATTTATATTATAATACAATAATATACTGTAATATACTGTATAAACAATAATAAATGTTTTATATAATATATTTTATAACAAATAAATTTAATTATTTTTTTATAAACATATAATAATATTATTGGTTTTATTACTACTAAATAATTTATATTTACTTTATTATTATTATTATCACATAATAGCGACTAAAACGATTGGTTATGCAATTGAAAGCACTGTCAATACAGAGCACATGTAGTTGTAATGAATCCCTGGAAACCAACCAAACAAACCATAACAACAACAATAACATCTGTATTAATAATACGACTACTCTTATGGCGCGTAATGATTGTAAACAACAACAACAACATCACCAAAGAAGAGAAGGAGATGTCAAACAATTGGGCGATCAATTAAGTCGAAAACTGAAGATCAATAGTACCACCAATAAGAATAAGATGATCAACAATGACAACAACAATACTGTTGTTGTCGCCACCGCCGCCTCCGCTGCCATCGCCGTCGACGGCGACAATAACAACAAGAAGATGGACAACACGAACGACAAGAGGCCAGAGAAGACGTTTGTCAAACGGGTGTCCAAAGCCGACAAACTGAAGGAGAGAATGAATTTCCAGAAGTTGTCGATTCCCATCAAATATATTGACTTTCGAAACCCGAGAAATCGTTTTCATAATCAATTAAATCCTAATTTTATTGAAATACTGAAGACCGGTACCATTGATAACATGTATGCGATATCATTATATATATATATTTATTATTATTAATTGGATTTTTTTTAAAAAAATCTCTTTAATAGATACTTAAGAAAGGCTGTCACCAATAGTCGTGAAGTTGACGATCAAATCGATAACTTTAGAAATCTTGTGTTATTATCGCATAGAGATCATCAAAATCGCAATTTTCTCAAAGAACTGCTTGAAGTGGTGTTAAACGAGTCGGGCATTGACTGTCAGTTTTATTTTTTCGGATCGACTGCCAATTCGGTCGGTTTTCGCAATTCAGATATCGATTTGTTTGTCGAAATTCGTCAGTTGGATAATCTTTGCAATACTTTAGATTTCAATACATCAATGAGCTATTTGATGGAAATGCGAAACATTTTGAAAAGATATTTCTGGTTTTATATTCCCACACCGATAGCTAGTCTTCGGTGTCCAATCGTTAAGATTAATTTCAAACTGTTTCGCGAAAAGTTTCTCAATAATCCCCGAATGTTGGATCTCTTCAGATCTCTTGAATCACTGGGAATCTGTTGCGATATCAATATTACTAATGCTTTAGGTCTACAAAATACCAAACTTATCAGCTTTTACTGTGATCTCGATCGGCGTTTTCAAGACTTGGCAATCATATTGAGATATTGGACCAAAATGAATGACTTTATCGGCGGCGCCGACAACGCCTTCACCAGCTATGCACTCACACAGTTGGTAATCTTTTTTTGCCAAAACCAGAGTCCACCCATATTGCCGACTCTCGATCAACTAAGAGAACCGTTAGATCCCGCCGCCAATCGCAAGATAATCGATGGCTGGGATTGTAGTTTTTGTTGCGACAAACTATTGATACCTCAATCGCAAAACACTGAATCGGTTATCGATTTGTTGCCAAAGTTTTTTAAGTTTTTCGCTGACTTTAATTTTACAACTCATGTCATACAATTGAGAACAGGAAAAGCCGTCCATAAGTACCACTTTAATCAACAAATTAAGACAACGTTGAACAGCGAAGCAGTTAACGGTAATCTTCATTTCAAGATGACATCGTTTTGCTGTATTCAAGACCCGTTCAATTTGGAGCACAATTTGACCGCAAATCTAAGTTTTTCTATTTTTGATAAATTTCTTCTTTATATCCGAAGCATTGCAGTCAAAAGTGATATTATTTTTTCGAAAACAAAGAAAGTCAAAGACTGGGGTATTTCGAAGATAATCTCAAAGTTTGATCCGACCGATGATTATCAATCACTGCTCGGCCGTAATATTAGTATTCCGAATGCCAGAGGATGTGTTAGTCATGAAGACATTACCTCACAGGAAATTATCAAAACATTTGCAAATCAAATCTGCTGTTTGACTACTGATATCTTTGAGAATGTCTACAAAATTCAGACCAATTTGATTGGTAAATATGATGTGATTTACGGCAAATATTCGCCGTTTGCCGAGTTTTTGATGGACTTGAAGGCAATCGACATACAAGTTATCGATTCTAATAATCGGGGACTCATTCGCAGTGAACTTAAAGACAGTATAGACAAAATTAGTCGCGTAAATAAAGAAACGACTGTTACGGAAACCATTATCCAGCGCTATAGTGACAAACAATTACCTGAGGAACAGTCGGCTGAGTGTTATTTTGTGGCCATGTGTGTGGCCCGACCGTCGGGACCGTACGTCGAGTACGAAATTATCAAATGTACTGAAAGTAAATCCATTAAAAAACAATTGAAGACATTGTTTGAGTCGGTAATCAAACTAATCGATGAAAAAGTGTCTGATATTCAGGACTAATGTTTTGTTAGTGTTGATGTTTGACATGAATTTTAATTATTTTTATTAATTAGTGTTCTTTAATATATCTTTTTTTTAAAAAATAAAAAAGTTATATTATATAAATTGTTTACCCAATCGCTCATAATTTAGTGATTTTTTAAAAAAATAAATAAAAATAAGTTATTTAATATTAATAAAGTTACCATATATTTATCATGTTTAATGTATTTTGTATATTATCATTATTATTATAGTTGTCTGTGATATAATTGAACAAGGTATGTTTTATTTGTTGTTGTTGATTATGTGTAGTAATAGATTTAAAAATATCTATTTAAATATTTCCCTGAAAACTACATTAATATTTATTTAATTATAGGTTATAATCAAGTAATATATATATATTTAAAATAAAATTTAGTACACAGATAAACTATTAAATATCTATAATTAGTTTGCACTAAACTATTGAATTAATGCTATAGTGTGTGTGTGTTTGTGTAATAACATACATTAGGAGAAAAAGTAAATATTAATAGTTACTGTATTGGTGTTAATTTTTAAATTTTTTTTATAAATCAGTATCAATTAATTGATAGAAATTAATAGTTTTTAAAATTACCATATGTTTTTAATGATTATTATTGTCAATAATTTATTGGTTAAATTATTGAAATAATACTATTAATAATATACATTTCATTTTTATTTCTTATTTATTTATTAATTAATTTTTATTAAGTTAGTTATATGTCCATAATTTATAGTTTATAAATTAAAAATTACCATAAAATTACTATTAATAAAATAGTATTGTATTAGACTATTACCAGATGCGCTATTTGAGTGTTAATAATGATATTTTTTTGTAAAAATTTATATTATGATTCATAAGATTATTTTTTATGAAATATAATCAATTTTGATATGTTTAAAATAATTATAAGATCAATAAATATATATATATATATATATATATATATATATATATATATATATATGACACATTAATATATTTTTAAAATTATTATATTTATTATTAAACACATTATTCTCATTTAATTTTTAAAAATATTTATTATATATAAATTTATATAATGCTTATTTTATACTTTTGATATAATAAGTTACAAAAACATAAAATAATTAACTTATTATACTATAGTACTGCAATTACTAGTATATTTTTAAATAATGTTTAATTATAATAATTGATAATTTTATCAGGAATATTTATTGTTGGACTTAAAACTATATTTAACTGATTAAATGACTAAAGTAATTGCATAACTGGCTTATATAGCTCACGAGATAATTAAATATATGATATTATACTATTAATATATATAAAAAATTAATTTATATAATGGTGACAAATATATTTAATTAATAAAAATGATATCTAAATTAAAAATTTTTATATATATAAAAATAAATATTTAAATGGTAAATATATGTATCATTTATTTGTATACTTTTTATTTGCGTTTAACTTTTGTATATTGATTTTGATGTTATACAGTATTAATATAAGTATAAATGTTTGGGTACACCTATAATTAATATATAACACAACAAACATGAATATATTGTTAAATTATTATTATTTAAGTACATTTAAAAACATTGATTTGTTTTAGTACCATTTGAAGGTTACTTTAAGTACAATATTACAATAATTAATATAATAAATACATTTAAGTATAATTAGAAATACTGTAAAAATTTTCTATACAGTATATACTACATACACAGTACTGTATAAATAATGAATATTAGTGTATATTTATTCCAATATTATAGTAATAGTTTTTTTGTGTGTACATATATAGACACTGTATGGCTATAATTGTTAAATAATTTAATCATTTTTATTAAGTGATAGATAACATAGTATTGACTGTAAATATGATTTGATAAACGAAGGACAGATAAGTTCATAATTGTTTATAATAAGTTTGGATTCACTTTTTTTCAGTTAATATAATTACATTTTCATAGTTTTGAGTTTTCATACACCAAACTTTTATCATATATTTTATGTGCAATTTTTATAGTTTCTAAAAAAATTCAGTAAATAATTTAGTGTCACTAATATAATGGGCACCATATTAGTGGTTCCGATGATAATCGGAATAAATAAGCTAGTTAAATTATATAAAGAAATCAATGGCAAAATGTGGACATATCTGATGAATTTAATCCCATTATTGTGGCGAAGACGACAACATAAGACCAACAGAGTTGTGACACACAATGTCTGGAAAGATAATATATACGACAGCGGAATAATACCATTTCCTCATGAATGGCAATACGACTGTCCATCACATGTAATGTCATATATATAAATATATTAAATTTATAATAAACTAAATCATAATTTTAATTGTATTAAACTTAAAATTTATTTAGACTGTAAAATATCATATAATTATTTGTCGATTTGCATTATTATTTTTACAATTTTACAATATCTGTAGTAATTAACAAATTATTTTATTTAATTAATAATAGCTTTTCTTATAGAAAACTTACAATTTAATAACTTTAGTAATAAATTATAGGCATATTTATAAAATTTATTAACTGCTATGATATTTATTATTTAATTATTATTTCATAAAATTAACATATATTTTAAAATATATTTTAATTAAAATAACAGAATAAAAATGAAGATATAGTTATATATGGTGTGAATTCATCGAAACAATGTATTTATATAACAATCAATTGGAAACCCAATGGAGTGAACAATAAAAACAATGCAACGATTAATATGAGAATCGATGACAACAATGATTGCTATACTTTGGAGGAAACACAAGAAGTCGAGTATAGGAAAGGAGAGTATAGAGTGTCGGGACTCGGGTTAGAGATATTGTCGGCATTTAGAAGAAAACGGATTAAGTTTAGGGGATATCTGTTGAAGAATAACAAAGAATTGGTTTACATTCAGTTCAGATTCTTATGGATAGCAATGTCTAGAGTTTATGACTTTACTTATGATTTTGACGACTCTTTTCTGGCAAAAGAGTTAACATTTTCGCCGAAATCACATTTGAATGCCGAAGACATACTCGAAGATCGTTTGGAACAATTCGGTCAAATAAAGGGTACGTTTAAAGAGGAAAAGGAAACGGAAAGAAATATATATTTTTGGGGATCTATGAGTAAAAAGTACTTAACATCACATAAAAAGAGAAATATTACAAGAATTTGCGGATTTACTAAAAAAGGTATTTATTTAACTAACATTGAAATTAGTACTAAAACTAATTAATTAAAATAATATAAACAGGTATTGGTTTTGATATCGGATTTGTCAAAAATGATGGTAACGTTGAGTACCGGTTCGGTATGTTATTCAATAGAGTCAAACGTTTCCATAAACTGTTGGGTCTGACGATCAATAAATCTGATTTTGAGAGTTTAAAAAACGGATCAAACATTCAATTTACTGCCAAATTTGATGACAAAGAGTATAAGTTTGAGATAAAACAGTCAGCAAATAGTTTTGCTCAAAGTTTATGGATCGATGACATTGAAGGCAAGTCTAAAAATTATCAATAAGACTATAATAAAGATCACAATTAAAAATATAAAACAAAATAATAAATATTTTTTTACTCATATTAGGAAAATGTATTATTAGTGAAGAAAATGAGACTGAATTTCAACGACAGATTAGACCAACAAATGATTTACCAAAAAATTCGTCACTTGTTTTAGGTTTGAATGAAGAGTCGGCTCAAAGAGTAGATCTAACGGGAGGTAAAGGTAGCTCTTTGGCAGTACTTATGAATTTAAGCCAACAATTAGTTAGAGATAATAACAAACATCAGTTCAGTGTCGCCAATGGTGTTGTTGTCACTACTAATGCTTACGAAATACTTTTGAATGAAGACAAAGAATTATTGGAAGCGATTCAAGCATTAGAGAAATCGCCACAAAAAGACTTAAAGACTGATTGCGAGAATTTAGTGAATCTAATATCAAGTCATAAATTACCAAAAATGATAAAACAAACGATTGAAGAAAAGTTAAACAATAATTTTAGTGATTTTGAAAACAAGTTGTTTGCCGTTAGATCTTCCGGTGCTTCTGAAGATTCTGAGGAAATGTCAGCCGCCGGACAAATGACTACTTATTTAGGCGTCAAAGGACTCGACAATATATACTCGTCTGTAATGAAGTGCTGGTCGTCTCAGTTCTCACACATAGCTGTTGAGTATAAGAGAGGTTACGGACAGCCTATCAATAGTCCGATGGCTGTTGTGATACAAGAGATGATAGCGTGTGAGTCGGCGGGTGTTATGTTTACTTGTGATCCGATTACTGGAGACGAAAGAGTTATTGAAGTGACAGCTAATTATGGTTTAGGCGAAGTATTTATTAATTTTTTTCATAGATTTTAGTAATATTGTAGTTATTTTTTAATTATAAATTTATTAACAAAAATGATTAACTTCTAGTCAGTGGTGTCGGCGTCAGCAGAACCGGACACAATTAAATTGTCGGTAAATATTGAGTCCAACTCATTATCAAAACCACGAAATATTAAAAGCATTGAAAACAAAGTAATCGGTGCAAAGAAAACATCCATAAAATTGTCTGAAAATGGAGGCACTGTTGAGGAAGAAATCAATGATAATACTAATTGTTGTGTTTCTGATGAAGATTTATATCAATTGGGAGATTTGGCACTAATTGTTAGTATTAATGTCTTAATAACTTTTATTGAATAATATTTATTTACAGATTCACAAACATTACGGTAATGTCAGAGATATAGAGTGGGGTCTAAAAGGGGGCGAAATATTTATGCTTCAATCGCGACCCGTCACTAATTTGGACAATTCATACACCGATTATGAAATAATGCATGAAATGGATAGTCCTCATCAAACCGAGTATGAGATTTATTCCCGGGCCCACTGGGGAGAGAACTTTCCCGGAGCGTCGTCGTGGTTGGTCTACACGTGGACTTTTGCCAACAAAAGTGGATTTTTTGTATGATATATATATAATAATAATAATTTTATTAATTTACTAAATAATTATTTTCTTAACTAATTAGAGATGGAGTGTTGAAGAAGGAAAAGCTACCGAAGATGACTACAATCCATACACATCAGGCTTTGGTGTCCAATACAATCAATTGATGTTTAATATGACTAATGTATGACAACTTTATAACAATCAATTGCATAATAATTAGATCAACTTTTTTTTATAAATAATTATTTTAAATATTTTTGTATTAAATTTTAGGGTTTTTTCGATATGTTTTCTGAATATCCGGAGTCAGATCAGGCAAAGCAAATGGTTCTCGCATTCTTTGGCCATCACATCGAAGACAAAGATGTTTTGAACGCATTTCTCGATACTCGTAAAATGAATAAGAAATTAAGTTTATTTAAAAAATTGAAATCATTGATGAAATTGATACATATGGTTGTGTGGGGACCGAAAACATTGATGAAAGACAAACAATATTTTATGGATGAAATCAAATACGATTTGGTCGACAATATTAAGAAATTTAAGACATCTAAAGATATATTGGATGGTATTATTGCCGATTACGGTAAAGTAGCTTCGGTTCAGTTTAAGAATCACGGTCCGGCATCTATAGGATCGACACTAAAACATCTACTATTGAGGACTGCTCTCGAAGGAGCCCAAAGTTAGTTAATACTATTTTATAAAAGTTTGTTTTTTTTGGTATTATTTTTTTAAAACTTTAAACATAGGACAACCTTTTTTTTGGTAATATTAATAGTTTTTATTATTTTTTTAAACAGAAAACAATCCTAATTTTGAGTCGGACTTCAATTTGATGATCTCGTCGTGCAATGAAGTGATCAGCGCCGAAGTGCCCAATCATTTGCGTGAAATCGCCAAATCAATCAAAGATAAGGAACAGTTCAAGACGTTGAGCGACGAGGAAGCACTTAAAGTACTAATAGAAGGTAGCGATAGTGCATCGAAAAAGTTTAAAGATTTTCTTGAAAAACATGGACACAGAGGTTACCGGGAGTTTGATCCCATGTATCTGCCCTGGGGTGAGGATCCCATACCTTGTATTAAAAATATTAAAGTGAGTCATACAGAGAAATAATAGATAGTGTTTAACAATTAAATTACTAATAATTTAAGGCTATATTAACGGGAAGTGAAGCACAATTGGAGCCGAAAGTTGCCAAATCAGTGGATCAGGTTATCGATGAATTGAAGACTAAACTGTCGTTTACAAGAAAGCTATTAATAAGCAAACTATTGCTTCCGTGGAGTCGTTCGGGAGTCGGCTATCGCGAGATATCCAAGTATTTTATGATTTGGATGAATGACAGACAGAAAAAAGGATTTCGTTATTTGGCTAAACAAATGGTCGCCGACGGACTGCTACCGTCAACCGATTCCTTCTTTTATTTGACTTCGGAAGAGGTGTACAATCTGTGTAATGGTAGCCGCGATCCGTTAATTATGACTCGTTTGCGACACAGGAAACGGTTGTATCAGAAAATGAATAAATATAAATTCGATGAGTTTGTTAAGGGACCAGAAATGATACCCAGAAATGTAGGCACTCTTTGACTTTTTATAGTACTGAACATATGGTCACAAAAAAAATATTAATTTATTATATAATACTTTGTATCCTATAGTTTGATGAACGCATAACAATACCGACAAACACTACTGGTTTGGTTCAAATGACGGGAACACCGGTCAGTAATGGAGTGGTTAAGGCCAGGGTTTGTGTGGCCGAAGATATTACTGATGCCGACGCTATTCAGGTATAATTTTTTTTAAAAATTGGACATCCAATGACATAACAGTTATTTGTTGATTAAACTTAATTATATATTTTTTTAAATGACAAATAGCCGGGAGATATACTGATAACATACTCAACGGATATCGGTTGGAGTCCATACTTTCCATTGTTGTCCGGTATTGTCACTGAAATCGGTGGAACCATATCTCACGGTGCGGTTATCGCCCGGGAATACGGTATTCCCAGTTTGATTGCTATTGAGGGCGTGTGTCGTACCTTCAAAACGGGTGATATCTGTGTTTTGGACATACAGTCCGCTACCATCACTAAAGTTGAATAACTTTTATTTAGTCAACAAATTATCTTATTATAAATAATTTATTTGATTTTAATAATTTTTATAAAAATGTTTAACTCATAAATTTTATAACAATTTTATAACTATTTAATTTTTTAATAAATTGTTTTTATATCTGCCAAAAATGTGGTAAAATTTTTTTTAGTTAAATAATTATTATAATAATTAAAAATGTTTTCTAATATGAATTTCTTTGTAGTTATATATAAATCATATATTTATATATATTACCGGTAAAGTATAATGTTTATACATAAATAAATTACATCTATATATAAATTTTAAATATATAAAATAATATATAACATTTAAAGGATTACAGTTTAAAATATATGTTTCAAATTTTATATTATAATTATATATGAATATGAAAAATATTATATAAAACTTTAATTCTTATTTTTAAAAGAACATAATTTTAAAAAATCATTAAATTATAAATAATTCTGATTTATATTAATATAAAATCTTCTCGTTTTTTATTTAGTATTTAGTAATTAAATTTAATTAAAAAAATTTGATTAAATAACTTTATAATCATTAAACAAAAAGTTTGTCTGTAATTGCTTTCTAGCATTTTCAAATGTTTTTATTTTTGTGAATTTATGTCGATTTTTTTCATTATGTTAAACAAGTGTTTTTGGGTACACTCATCTAAATTTATAATTAAAAAAATATAACACAACAAACATATGATAATATTTAAAAATAATCACTAAATATATGTATGTATTATCAGTACATTTAGAACAGTATTTGTTATTAATGTACTATACATTGATATCTTATTACATTTTTGAAGGTTAATTAAAGCTATATATTATATTATATTATTATTATTATATATATATGTATAATATTACACTTACTTACAGTAAGTACAGGTATACACTGTCTAATGAATTTATATGAAAATATTGACAGTAATGATCTGATAAGCTATGGGTTTATAATTTTATTTCTAAGTTTGGATTGACTTTTCTATATAAATACTTTATATGCATCAATCAAAATATCAATTTACAATTGTTTAGAAAATTTGTATGTTTTAACCAAAAATTAAATATCTATATATATATTAATTAAAATAAAATATTTTTTTTAAATAGTTTATTAATGTTAATAAAAAATTAGTGCTACAAATCTATATAATGGGCACTATATTAGTTGTTCCGATGATAATCGGAAGTAATAAACTATTTAAGTTATATAAAGAAATCAATGGCAAACTATGGACATATCTAATGAATTTAGTGTCACTATTATGGCGAAGACGACAATATAAGACCAACAGAATTGTGACACACAATGTCTGGAAAGATGACGTTCACGACAGCGGAATAATACCATTCCCTCACGAGTGGCAATACGACTGTCCATCACAAGTATGTCATATTTTTAAAAAAAAAATTATAATAAACTAAATCATAATTTTAATTGTATTAAACTTTTAAAATTTTTCTAATAATCTAATTTTTATTTAGCATTACATAATGAAATAACTTTATATTGCATCATACAGTATAATAAGTTGATAATTTAATATTACAGTTATAATAATATTATATACAAATCGTATTTTTAGATATTTGAGAGTTTTTCAAATTCATTATTGAAAACTAATTTATTTTATAAATTATTAAACATATTTATAAAACTTAATAACTGTTATGTTAGTTAATTAAATTATATTTATGCAAAATTCAAATAAAATCTAAAATATATAAAAATGTAAACATTTATTGATAGCAATTGTTAAAACATTTTATTTATTTGGTATATATTGTATATAAATATTTAATTTATATACTTAAATACTTTTATATTTTAATTACAGAATAAAAATGAAGATATAGTTATATATGGTGTGAATTCATCGAAACAATGTATTTATATAACAATTAATTGGAAACCCAATGGAGTTAACAATAAAAACAATGCAACGATTAATATGAGAATCGATGACAACAATGATTGCTATACTTTGGAGGAAACACAAGAAGTCGAGTATAGGAAAGGAGAGTATAGAGTGTCGGGACTCGGGTTAGAGATATTGTCACCGTTTAGGAGGAAAAGGATTAAATTTAGAGGATATCTGTTGAAGAATAACAAAAAATTGGTTTATATTCAGTTCAGATTCTTATGGATAGCAATGTCTAGAGTTTATGACTTTACTCATGATTTTGACGACTCTTTTCTGGCAAAAGAGTTAACATTTTTGCCGAAATCACATTTGAATGCCGAAGATATACTCGAAGATCGTTTGGAACAATTCGGTCAAATAAAGGGTACGTTTAAAGAGGAAAAGCAAACGGAAAGAAATATATATTTTTGGGGATCTATGAGTAAAAAATACTTAACATCACATAAAAAGAGAAATATTACAAGAATTTTCGGATTTACTAAAAAAGGTATTTATTTAACTAACACTGAAATTAGTACTAAAACTAATTAATTAAAATAATATAAACAGGTATTGGTTTTGATATCGGATTTGTCAAAAATGATGGTAACGTTGAGTATCGGTTCGGTATGTTATTCAACAAAATCAACAGAATTCACAAAGTGATAGATCTATCGATCAATAAATCGGATTTTGAGAATTTAAAAAACGGATCAAACATTCAATTTAAAGCCTCGTTTGACGACAAAGAGTATAAGTTTGAGATAAAACAGTCGACAAATAGTTTGACTCAAAGTTTATGGATCGATGACATTGAAGGTAATTTATATAAAGCAATTAATATCATATAATATCTAATAATTATTTTCTTATTAATAGGAAAATGTATTATTAGTGAAGAAATAGAGACTGAATTTCAACCACAGATTAGACCAACAAATGATTTGCCAAATAATTTGTCACTTGTTTTAGGTTTGAATGAAGAGTCGGCTCAAAGAGTAGATCTAACGGGAGGTAAAGGTAGCTCTTTGGCAGTACTTATGAATTTAAGTCAAAAATTGGTTAAAAATAACTATAAACAACAGTTTAGTGTCGCCAATGGTGTTGTTGTCACTACTAATGCTTACGAAATACTTTTAAAAGAAAACAAAGATTTATTGAAAGCAATTGAAAATTTGGAAAAATCGACACAACTTTCACAAAAAGAGTTGAAATCTAAATGCGATGAAGTAATGGACTTAATTGCAAATCAAAGATTACCACAAACTATACAAAAAGCAATTGAAGACAAATTGAGAGCTAATTTCAATGATTTTGAAAACAAGTTGTTTGCCGTTAGATCTTCCGGTGCTTCTGAAGATTCTGAAGAGATGTCAGCCGCCGGACAAATGACTACTTATTTAGGCGTCAAAGGACTCGACAATATATACTCGTCTGTAATGAAGTGCTGGTCGTCTCAGTTCTCACACATAGCTGTTGAGTATAAGAGAGGTTACGGACAGCCTATCAATAGTCCGATGGCTGTTGTGATACAAGAGATGATAGCGTGTGAGTCGGCGGGTGTTATGTTTACTTGTGATCCGATTACTGGAGACGAAAGAGTTATTGAAGTGACAGCTAATTATGGTTTGGGAGAAGTATTGATTATTTTTTACATTTTAAAAGCTATTTTTAAAATAATAAATTAAATAAATAATTATAAAATTTATAGTCAGTGGTGTCGGCGTCAGCAGAACCGGATACAATCAAACTGTCTGTTAATATTGAATCTAATTCTTTATCAAAATCAAGATATATTAAGGGAATTGAAAACAAAGTTATCGGAAGCAAGAAATCATTTATAAAACTATCTGAAAATGGTGGCACTGTTGAGGAATATGTTAACGATAGCAGCAAATGCTGTTTAACTGATGAAGATTTATATCGATTGGGAGATTTGGCACTAATTGTTAGTATTAATGTCTTAAATAACTTTTATTGAATAATATTTATTTACAGATTCACAAACACTACGGTAATGTCAGAGATATAGAGTGGGGTCTAAAAGGGGGCGAAATATTTATGCTTCAGTCGCGACCCGTCACTAATTTGGACAATTCGTACACCGATTACGAGATAATGCATGAAATGGATACTCCTCACCAAACCGAGTACGAGATCTACTCCCCGGCCCATTGGGGCGCAGTTTTTCCCGGAGCGTCGTCGTGGTTGGTCTACACGTGGACTTTTGCCAACAAAAGTGGATTTTTTGTATAATGAATTAATTTTGATTAATTTACTTACAATAATAATCATTATATATTTTTTCGGTATCATTAGAGATATGGTATTGAAGAAGGATCAGTTACCGAAGATGACTACAATCCATTTACATTAGGAATGGGAGTCCAATACAATCAATTAATGTTTAATATAACAAATGTAATCAATTATTTATATATGAGTTTTCAAAAATTATTAAAATAACATTTTATTTTTTGAATTAAATTTTAGGGTTTGTTTGGTATGTTTGCTGACTATCCGGACTCGGACTCAGACAAGCAAATGGTTCTCGCATTCTTTGGCCATCACATTGAAGACAAAGATGTCTTAAACGTATTTTGCGAAAATCGTAAAACAAAACCAAAATTAGGTTTATTTAAGAAATTGAAATCATTGGTGAAATTTATAAATATAATTGTGTGGGCACCGAAAACATTGATGAAAGACAAACATTATTTTATGGATGAAATCAAATACGATTTGGTCGACAATATTAAAAAATATAAGTCATCTAAGGATGTCTTGGACGGTATTATTGCCGATTACGGTAAAATAGCATCGGTTCAGTTCAAAAATCATGGACCAGCATGTATAGGATCAACTGTCAAACATCTACTGTTGAGGACAGCCCTGGAAGGGGCACAAAGTTAGTTGATATTAGTTTTGTTTAAATTATTAGTTTTTTGGAAATATTTTTTTTGTGAAACTCTAAACAGAGGACAACCCTAATATCGAGTCGGACTTTAATTTGTTGATCTCGTCGTGCAATGAAGTGATCAGCGCCGAAGTGCCCAATCATTTGCGTGAAATCGCTAAATCAATCAAAGATAAGGAACAGTTCAAGACGTTGAGCGACGAGGAAGCGCTCAAAGTATTACAAGAGGGCACCGATAGTGCATCGAAAAGTTTTAAAGATTTTCTTGAAAAACATGGGCACAGAGGTTACCGGGAGTTTGATCCCATGTACCTGCCCTGGGGTGAGGATCCCGTACCGTGTATTAAAAATATTAAAGTGAGTCAAAAAATAATACATGATATGGGGTTTAATAATTTAAATGCTTATTATTTAAGGCTATATTAACGGGAAGTGAAGCACAATTTGAGCCAAAAATTTTCAAATCAGTGGATCAGGTTATCGATGAATTGAAGACTAAACTGTCGTTTACAAGAAAACTATTAATAAGCAAACTATTGCTTCCGTGGAGTCGTTCGGGTGTCGGCTATCGAGAGATATCCAAGTATTTTATGATTTGGATGAATGACAGACAGAAAAAGGGATTTCACTTTTTGGCCAAACAAATGGTTGCCGACGGACTGTTGCCATCAATCGATTCATTCTTTTATTTGACTTCGGAAGAGGTGTACAATCTGTGTAATGGTAGCCGCGATCCGTTAATTATGACTCGTTTGCGACACAGGAAACGGTTGTATCAGAAAATGAATAAATATAAATTCGATGAGTTTGTTAAGGGACCAGAAATGATACCCAGAAATGTAGGCACTCTTTGACTTTTTATAGTACTGAACATATGGTCACAAAAAAAAATATTAATTTATTATATAATACTTTGTATCCTATAGTTTGATGAACGCATAACAATACCGACAAACACTACTGGTTTGGTTCAAATGACGGGAACACCGGTCAGTAATGGAGTGGTTAAGGCCAGAGTTTGTGTGGCCGAAGATATTACTGATGCCGACGCTATTCAGGTATAAATTTTTTAAAATATTAACATCCAATGACATAACACTTATTTGTTGATTAAACTTAATTATATATTTTTTAAATGACAAATAGCCGGGAGATATACTGATAACATACTCAACGGATATCGGTTGGAGTCCATACTTTCCATTGTTGTCCGGTATTGTCACTGAAATCGGTGGAACCATATCTCACGGTGCGGTTATTGCCCGGGAATACGGTATTCCCAGTTTGATTGCTATTGAGGGCGTGTGTCATACCTTCAAAACGGGTGATATATGTGTTTTGGACACACAGTCCGCTACTATCACTAAAGTGGGATAACTTTTTTAGGCAACAAATTATCTAATAATATAATTTTTATTTAAAAAATGCTTTACAGTACTTATGAATTTTATAGACATTTTATAACCATAATTTTCATCATAAATTATTTTATATCCCTCAAAAATTTGGTGCAATATTTTTTTAGTTTAATAAATAATAATAAATTTATCTTAATTACTTTTTTTGACTATAAATATTATTTAAATAATTATAAAAATCAAATCAATTTTACATATGTATCTAATTTATAATTAACATACAATATAATATATAATAGTAAACTGTATTTTAATTAAAAATTTGTAAAGTATATACAGTATATATACCGTATATAACATATATTTATAGACAATTATTTCATAATAAAAAAAATATATTGTATTTTTAAATCATTGATTCAAACGTATTAAAACAATATTTATCATTTTTAAAAAAAATTAATTAATTTTTCTTATTAATACTGAATATCACTGAAATTTAGAGTAATATCACTGAAAAAACAGTAGTTTAGAGTAAAATATTACTAATTTATACCTTATGTTTAGTTTTATACCTTTTTTATTTGTTGTTGAATAAATAAATTGAAATTCAATTAAATGAAAAACAAAACATAATAATATAATATTGTATCGAAAAATACATGTTGCTATGTGTTTGGGGGTGTCGTCCCTAAACCAGTCAACAATTTATAAAAATAAATATTGATTTTGTAGAAAAATTTAAGTTAGAAATGTAAGTCTAGTTTTCACACATTCATAATCTGAATCTTATATTTACAATTTTGTTATGTTGTAAAAAAATTTTAATTTAAAAAAATTAACGGTAAATATTAATTATATTATTTACTTTAATTAATTTCTTATGATATTATAATCATTTAATTTATTATTTTATTATCATTTTTATTATTATTAACATTTGCGTTACTGTACAAATTACTTATACAGTAATACAATAAAATTTAATATTAAAAAATATGATATTACAATAGTGTTCATTAAAAATTATAATTAATTAATTGTGAAACATATTAGTTGACATTTAAAAAATTTAAGTCAACATTTTTTTCACTGATAAACTTTCAATATACAGAATGCAATAATAATAATAATATTTAATAAAAAAATTAAAATTCTACAGTATTGACAATGTATTGATAAATGTTATAAAAATTATCATTAATAATAACACATTGATGATACATATAAGGGCATTTAAAAAACAATAATTTTTATACTAATTATTTAATAAATATAATCAATCAGAGATTTGTGTGTTAATAAATCAATATTAAATACTTTGTAGATATATTATTTAAAAATAACTAAACGATTAAACTGAAACTAAATTTATAGACATATTTTACTCATATTACTGTAATTATTAGCAATTTTCACGAATTCCTGAAAGGAATACGTATATGCATTCTATAAGTCTGTCTGTCTGTCTGTCGGTCTGTCTGTCCCACGAGGACATAGGTTCGAATCCACTATCCGCTACAAATTTTTTTTGAATTTTTTTTTGTTTTTTTTCTTATTTAAGTTTATTTATTAGGAAATTGAAGAAAATGGTGTCCAAAAATTAATTAAAAAAATTTTGAATTTTTTTTTGAATTTTTTTGAATATTGATTTTTTATTTTTTTCGTTTTTAAGTTTATTTCTTAGGAAAATAGTAGTTTATTTTGTAATACTGAATCATTTGATACCCCACATGACTATAGTTGTTTATTTTGTCATACTAAATCGTTTGATACCATACATAACTATAGTTGATTTTATTTTATCATACTGAATTTAATTTTTAATTATGATTAGGAATTCGTGTGGAAATGCTTTCTAGCATTCTCAACTGGTTAATTATTAATTTTTAACATTTGAAAATTTCCTATCAAATAAAAAATTGAACCCATGTTAAGTGCAAAATATATATGTATACTTTATATATATACATGTATGAAATACTATATTTATTTATCAATTTAACCCCAAGGCAATTTGGTTTCAATATATGATTAGATACAATAATTATTATATTCAAGGACACTTTCGTATAATTAATATCAATATTGAAATCATAGACTAATATTGAGCTATTTTGCACTGCAGTTTTATTTTTATCAATTGTGACAAAATTAAAGTTATTAGTTTATACAGACGAGTGATTTAACAAAAATAAGTTAAACTATTTTGAAAAACTTTGCAGAGATTTTATTATATTAAATAATATATTTATTTAATTATAGTAATAAAAAAAATCATTACAACATCAATTGTGATTATGACATAAGATTTTGCTTGTTATCTATATATATACTGTACATACAATACTGTATATAAATATATCATACTATTATAAAAATAAAACTTTTATTATAAGTAATATGTTTTTTAATTGATACTAATAGTGTTTATTTTATTTAAAAAAGACTTAATTAATTGATTTTTAAAAAAAGTGAATTTACAATAACTAATTCAATGGGATTGCTGTTATCAATTCCGGTCATTACATTGATTGTCAATAAGTTGATTGAAATAAATCGTGAAATCAATGGCCGATGGATTAGATATTTGTCAGAATTGTGGCAATTATTGTCACGAAGAAGACATGTAAAGACCAATCGTATTATGATTCACGACGTCTTCAAGGATGACGTACATCACTCGGGACTCATTCCCTTTCCTCACGAGTGGACATATGATAGACCATCAAAGGTATGGATTAAAAAAAATTATTTTATATGTTTTGAAAAATAATTATTTATTGAATTTAAAATGACTTATTAAGTAATTATTATATTTTAATTATATAAAACTTAAAAAGTTATGTAGTCTATAAATTTAGATAATTTTAAATTATATTATAATTTTTATTAAACATTTGATAGATTTTATTATTATGATTTCATTTTATTAAAATAGATTTTACTAATATTAGCTAATATATTAAGTATATTAATAATTATTGTTATAATAAAACTGTCAATAAAAATACGATCAAAATTAAGATAAAATAATATAAGATATAAAAAATGAATCAAAATTTTTTATAAAACATTAAAATGCATATTAGGATAAAAATGAAGATTTGCTTATATATGGCGTAAACTCATCCAAACAATCGATTTATATAACAATTAATTGGAAACCCAATGGAGTTAACAATAAAAACAATGCAACGATTAATATGAGAATCGATGACAACAATGATTGCTATACTTTGGAGGAAACACAAGAAGTCGAGTATAGGAAAGGAGAGTATAGAGTGTCGGGACTCGGGTTAGAGATATTGTCGGCATTTAGAAGAAAACGGATTAAGTTTAGGGGATATCTGTTGAAGAATAACAAAGAAGTGGTTTATATTCAGTTCAGATTTTTGTGGTACGCTTTCTCAAGAATTTATGATTACACACATGATTTCGATGACTACTTTATGGCACAAGAGTTGGCAATATCTGCAAAATCCGATAAAACAGAGAGTCAACTAAAAGACCGATTTGAAGACCGATTCGAACAATTCGGTCAAATAAAGGGTACGTTTAGAGAGGAGAAGACATCAGAAAGAAATCTATACTTTTGGGGATCTATTAGTAAAAAGTTTTTAAAAACAAATCAAAATAAGCGAACAATTAATCGGATATTTGGTTACACTAAAGATGGTAAACATCTTATTATTAAAAATAAGTTACTAATTATTAACAAATTTATTAAATTATAATTATTTAAATAGGATTTGGGTTTCATTTGGGTTATGTTTGTAATGAAAACGGAAGTGAATATCGATTTGGGTTTTTGTTCAGAAAAATGGGAAGATTTTTTAAACTACAAAAATTATCACTTTTATCATCAGATTTCAATGATCTAAAAGATAGAAATTTAATACACTTTACCGCAACATTTGATAATAAAGATTATAACTTTGTTATTGAAAAACTTGAAAATAATTTTGCAAAACGACTAATAATTAATGATTCCGAAGGAATGTGTTTTATTACTGAAGAAATTGATACAGAAGTTCAACAACAGATACAATCAATAAATAATATACAAAAAGACTCTTCACTTGTTTTAGGTTTGAATGAAGAGTCGGCTCAAAGAGTAGATCTAACGGGAGGTAAAGGTAGCTCTTTGGCAGTACTTATGAATTTAAGTCAAAAATTGGCTAAAAATAATTATAAACAACAGTTTAGTGTCGCCAATGGTGTTGTAGTTACTACTAATGCTTACGAAATACTTTTAACTGAAAATAAAGATTTATTGAAAGCAATTGAAAATTTGGAAAAATCGACACAACTTTCACAAAAAGAGTTGAAATCTAAATGCGATGAAGTAATGGACTTAATTGCAAATCAAAGATTACCACAAACTATACAAAAAACAATTGAAGAAAAGTTAAAAAATAATTTCAATGATTTTGAAAACAAGTTGTTTGCCGTCAGATCCTCCGGTGCTTCTGAAGATTCTGAAGAAATGTCAGCCGCCGGACAAATGACTACTTATTTAGGCGTCAAAGGACTCGACAATATATACTCGTCTGTAATGAAGTGCTGGTCGTCTCAGTTCTCACACATAGCTGTTGAGTATAAGAGAGGTTACGGACAGCCTATCAATAGTCCGATGGCTGTTGTGATACAAGAGATGATAGCGTGTGAGTCGGCGGGTGTTATGTTTACTTGTGATCCGATTACTGGAGACGAAAGAGTTATTGAAGTGACAGCTAATTATGGTTTGGGAGAAGTGTGTATTAATTAATAATTATATATAACTATAATATTATTGTTAAATTTTAAAATATAATTTTATTTAATATTTTAGTCAGTGGTGTCTGCATCAGCAGAACCGGACACAATTAAATTGTCGGTAAATATTGAGTCCAACTCATTATCAAACACCAGATCTATTAAATCTATTGAAAGCAAAACAATTGGAGCCAAGAAAACATTTATAAAATTGTTAGACAATGGAGGGACTGTTGAGGAAGAGGTCAACAATAATAACGATTGTAGTGTTTCTGATGAAGATTTGTATCGTTTGGGAGATTTAGCATTAGTTGTTAGTAAAGATATTAATTAATTATATTTTATAAAAATATTAATATTTTTTCTTATATAATTTTTTTTTTGTATTTAAAGATTCATAAACATTATGGAAATGCCAGAGATATAGAGTGGGGTCTAAAAGGGGGCGAAATATTTATGCTTCAGTCGCGACCCGTCACTAATTTGGACAATTCGTACACCGATTACGAGATAATGCATGAGTCGGACTCTGCCCATCAAACAGAGTTTGAGATCTACACCCGTACCCATTGGGGTGAAAATTTTCCCGGAGCTTCCTCTTGGATTGTTGTCAATTGGTTTTGGTCTAATAAAAGTTTATTTGTTGTTAGTTTAATATTATTTATATACTATATTTAATTTTTGTCTAATATTATATATATATATATATTTATTTATTTAATAGAGAGGTGGAAATATCGATATAAAAGATTATAATCCATATGTCGATACAATGGGTATCCAATACAATCAAATTATGTTTAATTTGTCAAATGTTAGTAACAAAAAAAATTAATAATAATTTTTTCTATACTAACTAAATAATTGTCCCAACATTTAGGGTCAGTGGGATTTTTTCTCCGATTATCCCGAATCGGAACAATCGCGACAATTTGTTTTATCAATGTTTGGCCATCATTTTGACGACAAAGATGTACTCAATTGTTTCAAACAGAGGCGCCAATTAAAACCAAAGCTAACACTTTGGAAAAAATTGAAACTATTTTCACATATGATTTACTTTACAATTAATGGACCAAAGTTTCTGATGAAAGACAAAACAGATTATATTGAAAGACAAAAGTATGATTTGGTTGAACTTAAACTTAGACATCACAAGACATCCAAAGACATAATGCAAGGAATTTTGAATAATTTTCACGAAATTGCGGGAATGATGTTGAAAAATCACGGACCGGTATCTATGGGCGCATCCATAAAAAATTCATTGCTCAGAAAAATGATTGGTATAATTATTAAACAATTATATTATAATTGATTGATTGAAATTATTAATTTAATAATCATTTTATCAAAAATGTTTATTATTTTTTCTAAATATAATTTATTATTAATTATTAATTGATTGATTAATTGATTGATTAATTGATTGATTAATTGATTGATTAATTGATTGATAAATTGATTCATTAATTGATTCATTAATTGATTGATTAATTGATTGATTAATTGATTGATTGATTGATTAATTGATTCATTAATTGATTCATTAATTGATTGATTGATTAATTAATTGATTAATTGATTCATTAATTGATTCATTAATTGATTCATTAATTGATTGATTAATTGATTGAAATTATTAATTAAGAAAATCTGTCATATTAATTAACATTATATCAAAAATGTTTATTATTTTTTCTAAATATAATTAATAATTTATTATCTAAATTATTATATTTTAGGTGATAATCCAGATCTTGATTCGGATTTCAATTTAATGGTCTCGTCATGCGATGGTGTTATCAGTGCTGAAGTACCCAATTATTTGAGAGAAATTGCAAAATTAATTAAAGACAAAGAAAAGTTCAGACAATTGACTGATGAAGAAGCAGTTCAAGTGTTACGCAATGGCAATGACGAGGCGTCCAAAAAGTTTGAGAAGTTTATTGAAATTCATGGACACAGAGGTTATCGTGAATTGGATCCAATGTATCAAACGTGGAAAGAAGATCCCATTCCTTGTATTAGAAATATTAAAGTAACTATTCATTTGTTATTTCTATACGACTATTATTATTAATAAAACATTTTAATTATTAATAGGCATTACTTACGGGAAATGAATCCCAATTGGAGCCAAAAGTTGGCAAATCTATTGATGAAGTAATGAATGAATTGAAGACACCTTTGAGTTCATTCAAAAAATATTTGATCCGAAATTATTTACTTCCGTGGAGTAGACGTGGAGTCGGATATCGGGAACATTCAAAATATTTTATGATTTGGTTAAACAATAATTGGAGAAAAGGATTCAGATATTTATCAAAACAAATGGTTAGCGAAGGACTCATACCGTCTGCTGAGACTTTCTTTTACTTAACTCCTGATGAAGTGATTGCTCTCTGCAATGGAGATAGAAATCCATTAATTTTGCAGAAAACAAGACACAGGAAGAGATTGTATCCAAAAATGGATAAATACAAGTTTGAAGAGTTTATTAAAGGACCCGAAATGATACCCAAAAATGTAATCATTATTTAGTTTATATAATATGTTACAGTATTTTTTAGTTTTTATTTTTTATAGTTTGAAGACCGCATAATACTACCAACACTTAGCTCAGGTATGGTTCAAATGAAAGGCACTCCTGTTAGCAACGGAACAGTTAAGGCAAGAGTTTGTGTATCTGAAGACATCACAGACGCCGATAATATTCAAGTAATTAATATAAATTAGTTTTCAAAATTGAATTTATTTCTTAATATGTTTTTGTATTCTATTATATGAATAGCCGGGAGATATATTGATAACATATTCAACTGATATCGGTTGGAGTCCATACTTTCCATTACTTTCGGGTCTAATCACTGAAATCGGTGGAACCATATCTCACGGCTCAGTCATTGCTCGTGAATACGGTATTCCCTGTTTGATAGCCATTGATGGCGTATGTCGTGCCTTCAAAACGGGTGATATCTGTGTTTTGGACACACAGTCCGCTACCATCACTAAAGTTGAATAATTATCAATTATAATTTTAGTAATGTAACTATTTTTATAAATTTAGATTTTTAATTCTATTGTTTTTAATCACATTTGTTTATAATATTTAATTTTATTGTTAATAAAAATTATTTTTATAACTAATATTAAATATTAATTTATTTTTAATTTCTAATCAACTAATTAAAATCTAATAAACTTAACAAATATTTAATCATAAATTTACCACAAATAATTATATTAAACAACTAAAACTATCAAAAGTAATAAACATTAATTTCATAACATCTATATATATATAACTAATTCAATTAAATGTTATAATATTTATTTTATTTTATATTATCTTACAAGTTATAACCATGGTGATTTAATAATAACCAGTGTAAATTATGGTAATTGTAATATTATACTGTGTTAATTATTATTATTCATTAATAATATAAACAGTTTACCTTATAATTTTATTTTGCACTTTTGATTTCTTATAAAATCAGGCATTATTATTATAATTAATGTATTATTATATTATATATTATCCAATTATTCATTCAAGTTAGTTACGTTATATTAATTACTAATGTGCAATTGTGTTTATTAAGTGCAAATTATAGACTTAAAATGATTAAATTACAAAAATATAATTAAAATTAATTATAAAAGTTTATACTTTAAATCATAATAATCACCTTGTGTTAATTTGCAAATTATAAATAATTACAAATATAAATTATTTTATATATTAAAACTAAAATGTTTTTTTCATAAATTTTGTAATTAATTCTATTCTATATTTATATTTTGTAATTTATTTTTTTTGAAGTCTATATAATAATCATTTGTTAACAAATAAACTATATATCAATTATTAGTACAGTATTATTATTTTTATAAAAAATAACTATAAATAAATTTTTAATGATTAAAGCAATTGATAAGTTTTGAACCGATTTTAAGTTCATATATATATCATAAACACGACATTTGATAATTATTAAAATTAATATCTTTATATAGAGTATTAAAAATTTATTAATCTTGATGTTACATTATATTAACTTTTGAATTAAACAAGCTAATTTCATATATGTAATAATAATAATAATAATAATACGTAGATAAATAAATTGTACTTAAATACATAAGTTATGTTAGTTGTAGAAATCATAGACCAATATTAAGCTATTTTGCACTACAGTTTTATTTTTATTAATTTTGATAAAATTTTAAGTTTATAGTGATTTAACAAAAACGAGTTCAACTATTGCAGTGATTTAAAAAAAAAATTAAATAATATATTTATTGAATTAAAGTAATAAAAAAGACATTACAACATAATTTGTGATTATGACATAAGATTTTTCTTGTTATATATAAGAAAACTTTTTTAAAAATTATAATAATAGTGTTTTTTTAATAAAAAAAATTTATTAATTGATTTTTAAAAAAGTGAATTTACAATAACTAAATCAATGGGATTGTTGTTATCAATTCCGGTCATTACATTGATTGTCAATAAGTTGATTGAAATAAATCGTGAAATCAATGGCCGATGGATTAGATATTTGTCAGAATTGTGGCAATTATTGTCACGAAGAAGACATGTAAAGACCAATCGTATTATGATTCACGACGTCTTCAAGGATAACGTACATCACTCGGGACTCATTCCCTTTCCTCACGAGTGGACATATGATAGACCATCAAAGGTATGGATTAAAAAAAATAATTCAAAATATCTTCCAAAATTACTAATTATTGACTTAAAAAATCAATATATTATAATTATAAAACTATTAAAAAGTTTATGACTTTGTTAGAATAATAATAATATTTTTAATTTTTTTATAATACTTTGTTTTGATTAAACATTTGATAGATTTTATTATTATAAGTTTATAAAAACATATTAAAATAAGATTAAAATACATAATATTAGGATAAAAATGAAGATTTGCTTATATATGGCGTAAACTCATCCAAACAATCGATTTATATAACAATCAATTGGAAACCCAATGGAGTTAACAATAAAAACAATGCAACGATTAATATGAGAATCGATGACAACAATGATTGCTATACTTTGGAGGAAACACAAGAAGTCGAGTATAGGAAAGGAGAGTATAGAGTGTCGGGACTCGGGTTAGAGATATTGTCGGCATTTAGAAGAAAACGGATTAAGTTTAGGGGATATCTGTTGAAGAATAACAAAGAAGTGGTTTATATTCAGTTCAGATTTTTGTGGTACGCTTTCTCAAGAATTTATGATTACACACATGATTTCGATGACTACTTTCTGGCGCAAGAGTTGGCATTATCTCTAAAATCAGATCAAACAGAAAGTCAACAAAAAGATCGATTTGAAGACCGATTCGAACAATTCGGTCAAATAAAGGGTACGTTTAGAGAGGAGAAGACATCGGAAAGAAATCTATATTTTTGGGGATCTATTAGTAAAAAGTATTTGAAAACAAATCAAAATAAGCGAACAATTAATCGGATATTTGGTTACACTAAAGATGGTATTTATTGCTTAAACATTGTTTTTATAAATTTCTTTTTAAGTATTAATTATTATTTTATAAATAATAGGATTTGGGTTTCATTTGGGTTATGTTTGTAATGAAAACGGAAGTGAATATCGATTTGGGTTTTTGTTCAGAAAAATGGGAAGATTTTTAAAACTAAAAAAACTGTCACTTTTACCGATAGATTTTAATGAATTAAATAACAAAAGTATTATTCAATTTACTGCAACTTTTGAAAATGAAAAGTTTAATTTTGTTATTGAAAAACTTGAAAATAATTTTGCAAAACGACTAATAATTAATGATTCCGAAGGAATGTGTTTTATTACTGAAGAAATTGATACAGAAGTTCAACAACAGATACAATCAATAAATAATATACAAAAAGACTCTTCATTTGTATTAGGTTTGAATGAAGAATCGGCTCAAAGAGTAGATCTAACGGGAGGTAAAGGTAGCTCTTTGGCAGTACTTATGAATTTAAGTAAACAATTAGTGAAAAATAATAGCAAACATCAGTTTAGTGTCGCCAATGGTGTTGTTGTCACTACTAATGCTTACGAAAGACTTTTAGGAGAAAATAAAGATTTATTGAAAGCAATTGAAAATTTGGAAAAATCGACACAACTTTCACCAAAAGAGTTGAAATCTAAATGCGATGAAGTAATGGACTTAATATCAAACTATAGATTATCCCAATCTATACAAAAAGCTATTGAAGAAAAGTTAAACAATAATTTCAATGATTTTGAAAACAAGTTGTTTGCCGTCAGATCCTCCGGTGCTTCTGAAGATTCTGAAGAAATGTCAGCCGCCGGACAAATGACTACTTATTTAGGCGTCAAAGGACTCGACAATATATACTCGTCTGTAATGAAGTGCTGGTCGTCTCAGTTCTCACACATAGCTGTTGAGTATAAGAGAGGTTACGGACAGCCTATCAATAGTCCGATGGCTGTTGTGATACAAGAGATGATAGCGTGTGAGTCGGCGGGTGTTATGTTTACTTGTGATCCGATTACTGGAGACGAAAGAGTTATTGAAGTGACAGCTAATTATGGTTTGGGAGAAGTATTGATTATTTTTTACATTTTAAAAGCTATTTTATAAATTATAAATTTATTAAAAAATTATAAAACTTCCAGTCAGTGGTGTCGGCGTCAGCAGAACCGGATACAATCAAACTGTCCGTTAATATTGAATCTAATTCCTTATCAAAATCAAGATATATTAAAAGCATTGAAAACAAAGTGATCGGAGCCAAGAAAACATTTATAAAACTGTTAGACAATGGAGGAACTGTTGAGGAAGAGGTCAACAATAATAACGATTGTAGTGTTTCTGATGAAGATTTGTATCGTTTGGGAGATTTAGCATTAGTTGTTAGTAACGATATTAATTAATTATATTTTATAAAAATATTAATATTTTTTCTTATATAATTTTTTTTTGTATTTAAAGATTCATAAACATTATGGAAATGCTAGAGATATAGAGTGGGGTTTAAAAGGAGGCGAAATATTTATGCTTCAGTCGCGACCCGTCACTAATTTGGACAATTCGTACACCGATTACGAGATAATGCATGAGTCGGACTCTGCCCATCAAACAGAGTTTGAGATCTACACCCGTACCCATTGGGGTGAAAATTTTCCCGGAGCTTCCTCTTGGATTGTTGTCAATTGGTTTTGGTCTAATAAAAGTTCAATTTTTGTTAGTTATATTTAATTTATTGTTTATTTATATTATTTATAATACCTTATATATATATATCATATATATATATATTTAATATTTACTTTTTATTCAACAGAGAAATGGAAATATCGATATAAAAGATTATAATCCATATATCGAAACAATGGGTATCCAATACAATCAAATTATGTTTAATTTGTCAAATGTTAGTAAAAATATTTATATTAATAATTAACTAAATAATTATCAAAACATTTAGAGTCAGATGGAGTTTTTTTCCGGTTATCCCGAATCGGAACTGTCGAGACAATCTGTTTTATCAATGTTTGGCCATCATTTTGATGACAAAGATGTACTCAATTGTTTCAAACAGATTCGCAAATTAAAACCAAAGCCAACAATTTGGCAAATATTGAAACAAATTTCATATATGATTTACTTTACAATTAATGGACCAAAGTTTCTGATGAAAGACAAAACAGATTATATTGAAAAACAAAAGTATGATTTGGTTGAACTTAAACTTAAACATCACAAGACATCCAAAGACATAATGAAAGCAATTTTGAATAATTTTCACGAAATTGCGGGAATGATGTTGAAAAATCACGGACCGGTATCTATCGGCACATCAATCAAAAATTTTTCGCTCAAAAAAATGATCGGTAATTATATAAATGTTTGCTATTACTGTATTAGTAATTTATTGATTGAAATCTGTCACATCATTTAACATTTTATCAAAAATATTTATTAGTATTTTTTATAAATATAACAAATAATTTATTATCAAAATTATTATATTTTAGGTGATAATCCATATCTTGATTCGGATTTCAATTTAATGGTCTCGTCATGCGATGGTGTTATCAGTGCTGAAGTACCCAATTATTTGAGAGAAATTGCAAAATTAATTAAAGACAAAGAAAAGTTCAGACAATTGACTGATGAAGAAGCAGTTCAAGTGTTACGCAATGGCAATGACGAGGCATCCAAAAAGTTTGAAATGTTTCTTGAAATTCATGGACACAGAGGTTATCGTGAATTGGATCCAATGTATCAAACGTGGAAAGAAGATCCCATTCCTTGTATTAGAAATATTAAAGTAACTATTAATCTGTAATTATATTCAACTGTTATTATTAATACATTTAATTTTTTAATAGGCATTACTTACGGGAAATGAATCCCAATTAGAGCCAAAAGTTGGCAAATCTATTGATGAAGTTATGAATGAATTGAAAACACCTTTGAGTTCATTCAAAAAATATTTGATCCGAAATTATTTGCTTCCGTGGAGTAGACGTGGTGTCGGATATCGGGAACTTTCAAAATATTTTATGATTTGGTTAAACAATAATTGGAGAAAAGGATTCAGATATCTATCAAAACAAATGGTTAGCGAAGGACTCATACCGTCTGCTGAGACTTTCTTTTACTTAACTCCTGATGAAGTGATTGCTCTCTGCAATGGAGATAGAAATCCATTAATTTTGCAGAAAACAAGACACAGGAAGAGATTATATCCAAAAATGGATAAATACAAGTTTGAAGAGTTTATTAAAGGACCCGAAATGATACCCAAAAATGTAATCATTATTTAGTTTATATAATATGTTACAGTATTTTTTAGTTTTTATTTTTTATAGTTTGAAGACCGCATAATACTACCAACACTTAGCTCAGGTATGGTTCAAATGAAAGGCACTCCTGTTAGCAACGGAACAGTTAAGGCAAGAGTTTGTGTATCTGAAGACATCACAGACGCCGATAATATTCAAGTAATTAATATATTATAAATAATATTAGAAAATTGAATTTATTTATTAATATGTTTTTGTATTCTATTATATGAATAGCCGGGAGATATATTGATAACATATTCAACTGATATCGGTTGGAGTCCATACTTTCCATTACTTTCGGGTCTAATCACTGAAATCGGTGGAACCATATCTCATGGCTCAGTCATTGCCCGTGAATACGGTATTCCCTGTTTGATAGCCATTGATGGCGTATGTCGTGCCTTCAAAACGGGTGATATCTGTGTTTTGGATGCAGAGTCCGCTACCATCACTAAAGTTGAATAACTACTGTATAATAGTTTTTAGTAATGTAACTATTTTTAATTCAATTGTTTTTAATCACATTTGTTTATAATATTTAATTTTATTGTTAATAAAAATTATTTTTACAATTAATACTAAGTATTTTTAATTTCTAATCTACTAATTAAAGTCTAATTAACTTAACATATATTTTACCATAAATTCTTATGTACACAAATAACTTATATTATTTATTAAATAAATATATGATTAAATAAAAAATTAAAAATATATAAAGTTAATGCAGTTTTTGAGTCACAGATATCTCTATTAATAAATTAAATTTTATTGTATAGTAATTAATGATATAAAATAAAACTAAATATATTTAATATTAATTTATAAATAAAATAATTTTACACTTTATTTAAATTCGGTATAAATTTTTTTTATCACATAATATTAGAAAATCACTAAATTTTCATTTAATAATCAGATTTCTTGGCATTAATTCATTGTACAGTCCAGTGATGGTCTCCATGAATAGGCATTTCTCTTGACTGCCGATGAATTCAATGGTTACCGACTGTTTGGTTGACATTTGACGACAAATAGTCACCAGATTTATGGCCAACAACTTCATGTCACTCAACAGTATGTAATTGACTCGCAATTTGGTCAACGATTTCATTTCAATCAAGTGTTTTGTCAAATAGTGAACACAAGTAAAACTGCTTAACAAATGCAACACTTTTAGTGACCCGAGTTTGGCCAGACTTGCGAAACATTTTTGGTCACAATTTGGGCAAAAATATGATTCACTTGACTGTTGATCGCATTCACACTGTATGTATAGGCCATTGATTTCCAACTTTTCCAATGATTGCAATGTCTGTCGGAAAATATCAAATGATTTGACATCAAAATGACATGAATTAAGCCGAAGATGTTTGACATTCAATGGATAGCGTTTGGGATCTAATTGAAGACCATTGTCGGCGATCAGTCGCGTCACTGATAAATAGTCAAGACTTTGACGATTACAACTCAATTGTTTTACTATTTGTGTCAAAGATAGCGAATGACAACTAATGGACAACTCTTGAAGTTGCAGAAGACGACAGATTTGAGAAAACATTTGATCGGATATATGATAGTCAACGATATGAAGACATCGGATCTTTAATTTTCTGTCAGTTATCAGTGATAACAATGTTTGGACATCTCTGTCGTCCAAAGAGTCACTGAACCAGAACGGAGAACAATCGATCTCAAGACTGATCAACGAATCAGAGACCGACGCCAAAGCCGTATGCAATGGTTTAAAGTGAATGACTCGCAGTCTCTGTAATACTTTGAAGTGTTGGATCAGTTGAGCGACGTTTTGGTGGATATCTTCCTCTTGAAAGTAGCACTCAATCGACAGATGACGAATGCGATCACCGAAGAGGCGGCCAATTGTTTGCAAGTCTTTCAAATAATAGGTCAAGAAGTTGCTGCCCAAACACAGACACTCCAGTTTGACCAACGAGTTGGCCATTAACTCAATTGCCGTCAAATTCAGTTCTTGGTTGAGATAAAGACACCGAATGTTTGGACACTTGTCTATCACTGTCTTCATGTCTTCCGAACTCAAAATAGTCTTTTTAGTGATGACTGACTTCAAGTCTCTGTATTCAATCGACTCGTGTATCTGATGTTGTGGTCGACGACAGAGTTTCGATTCGTTTGTTTTGCCAAATCTCAGACACCGGCGCTGCCGAAGAACCGAACGAATACATTGATGAAACTGTTTGGATGTTATCTCCAATCGAAACAATTGACAACAATTGATATAATGGAGTATCAGTTCCAACACATCGTTACATAAAATCCAAGAATTTTTGTCACTATTTTTGTCCATTAGTTTTATATGTGATAATTGTTTTGCAAATAAAAAAAACCGTTTATATAATTAATAACTAATTAATTAATTAAGTAATTATTAGTAATAAAAAAATATTTGAATTACTATACAAATCACGTGAAAAATTCATAAACTAATCAAAAAAAATAAAAAAATAAAATACAAAACAATTGTTTCAATCACAAGATGTTTTGAAACTTTTTTTTTGAAATATTGATTAATATATTAAATACTTTTTAAAAAAAACAAGTCATCGTATGTTTTAAGATTTTGTTTGCTTTTTCTGATTATCACTAAAATTGTTTTATTAATTAACCAAATGTCCAAAAGATCTGAAATCGTTGACAAACATTGTAAAGATCTGAACAAAATTTCAAAACAATGGGAGGACTCCTTCCCGAAGGCAAAGAAAGGATTGATCGATGAGAAAGGATTTGCCAAAAAGCGCAAAGAATTAACAGAAAAACTAAACAAATTTCGTAAAGAAGAAGAGGAAGCCATCAATGAATTCAAAAGAGTTGATAATCTCTATAACGAAGAGTTTATCAGAAATGAGCGCCAATTGGCAGAACTGGATGGACAGCAAAACACACTATCATTTCAGGCACAGGCGTCCAATAGTTTGCAATTTGAAAGACGATCGCAACAAATGAATCAGTTATTTCACGACTTCCAGAACGAGATCCGACAAGTGGTCGACAAACATAAATCTCAAGTCAACCGATTGGAT